CACGTTTTGTCCCAGGGCATTTTCAGTTTGTCTCACTTCTTTTCATTCATTCCCTCACCGATACGGCCTCGCGGCGTGTACTTTTGCTGCGGAATCTCGTAGCAAGCCGACGCTCGAATGGCCTCGTGACCCTTAAGTGGAATAGTCTACTATGCAGAATGCAGAGTCGACTTCAGCTTATGGAGCTCGACTTGGGGTCTCGAGCCTATCCAGATCTCCGAATTACTGCTTTCCGTCATTGCGCCAGGAAGGACAATTGCTTTTCCACTTATGGCATAGCCGGAGGAATCCTCAACCTGGTAAAAGTCCGCAGAATTGAATTTCCCTGGCTTTCAGCTAGTCAAGCCAAAGTCTCGAAGCTTGAGGATGAGGATGCATAGCAGCGCTCGCACCCTCGTTTCCCTCTCGTTTTGTAATCTAGGATGATCGCATCGACAGTGTGTACGAGAAGCCAGGCATTACTAGCACTACTAGCACAACGGACGGGAACATGACACGGTGAGGTCGAGGTACCTATCTCAATTGTCGAGCCAAATGTTTTACCAGCTACCTGGGTAGGTGGTTTGCGCATGTTCGCATGTTGTACAGCAGTTAGCGCAAGCTGCACGAAGCTGCATCTCATTTAGTCCTTTGCAGGTGGTGTGGCTGCAAACACAGCTTATGTTTTTGTCTCAGCTCCGATTCAGCTAGGAAGTCCATCCAGCTGGCGCCATCGTATTCATTCAGCATTGTAGCCCGGAACTATACTCTCAACTTGCAGGAATATGCCATGAACCGCGTTACATGCTAGTGCCTACGAGGATCAACACAAGCATCGTTTTCTTATCAAATGCTCGGCCGGAGTTAGCACGGGTTCTACAAGCGCACGAATTAGTTTGTCCCAGCAAGCGGCAAGCCTATGCAAAAACCGACGGATCCGGTATCGTGGGATTCTTACCGGAGCCACGGACACAACGGGATACATATTATTCCTAGTTCTGATATATATCCGGCCGAGAGATCAAGACGGGATTCCTCGTCGAAGATTCGAAAATACTTAGCTTCGCCGTTGATGCCACTAAAGTCGCTAACTATGCCGTGAAGGGTTATGCTTGCACGCGTAGCTAAACTTGGCGAGGAATCGAGCGGGCTCTCTGAAACGTCCACGCGCGCTCTAGCTTCTCGAACCCGGCAGTTTGGCGCCCTACACCAAATTGCACTATCGCGACGGCGGCTCTACGAAGCTCAAAATGGATTCGGCCGATTCGCAACTCTACCGCGTTCTAAGCTTAGGCTGGTGGAACCTGACTCTGTCACTACGTGTCGTCGGTATCATATGAATATTTTCCATTTTGTTGAGCAGCGTTAGACACGCGCTGTTGCCCGCCGGGTCACTAGAGACCCGGAGCACTGTACCGTCCCTAACTGCCGGGTTCGATAGGTCCTTCGGGCCCTCGGCTGGCTCCGGTAACATATAAACCCGCGCTTCTACCAACTAGCTTCAGAGCGAGCACTTTACAAGGAAAACCCAGGTGACTGATCAAACTATGTGAGTTTAGGGCTTGACGGGCAGCGCTATTCTTGCTCAATGATCTACACTCTAGACGCATTACTCCGGGTTCTGAGTCAGGTAAGTTAGGTAGGTATTTGTCGGTTTAATCCGCTAACATGTAGGCTCGAACCGATAGGGAATTCTGGGATTATAGATTTTTTTTCTCCATAACTTGAACTAGCAAAGCTTGTCTGTGCTATGTATCGACTCTCTTTAGTTCTGTTGCACAATGGACTCTTGTGACGAGCAAACATGGCATGAGAAAAGGGGCACGGATTTTCTTGCCATCGTTGGCTCGAGTAACCGAATAGATGAGAGTATTTATTCTGACTTCGGTAAATAGAAAACATAGAAAACATAGATTTTAAGAATAATTCCGGGTATGAAATGAGAAAGCAACTTCCTAATTGGTGATAATCTATAATTACAAATATCTTGTTCGCTATTCGTCAACGTATAATCTTACCATCATCCATAATCAACTTCCTCAACCATGAACCACGAACCGGGAGCCTGAATCTCGAATCCTTGTAGTTTAATTACTCTGTGCAACATTCACAATAACGTTTCCAAAGCTTCCATGTTACCGTGACGGTTATGTTTTACGTAAGGATGTGTACACCATTTACCTACCAGGTACTCAATATACGTTCTCCTATCTACATGGCGTCGAGAGATCTCAACATCTGCCTTCCCCTTTTCACTGCATACACACCTTCAGCTCGTAACCGTATGTACCTACCTGCCTTCTATACCCACGCTATAGAACAAGCTAAAGCGACCGCGTCGTTACAGAAATAACGATGTTAGAGTCGAGCACGAAAAAAGTACATATACGACTATAACAGCCTAGTCTATCGATGCTTTACCTACATACATGTCTAAAACCTCATTACTACCTAGTTACATATAGTGCCTATCCGATTATCCGGTCTCCCCAAGACAAAACCCCCCCGTTCGATTCTCCAGAGTCGACCCCGTCGTTCGCGGAGGAACGCGTGTGGGACCGTGTATCTAGGTACGTACGTTGTTTCTCCCAGGGCGCCGGTAGACCCGGGAGACCGGGACAGCATGTAGTATAGTATGTACCTAGTAGTCAAGGTGTATGTATGTAGAAAAGGGGGAGGCCTCTATTACACACAACAAGACCGGTATGCATGTATGTAAGTAGGTATCTAGTCAGCTACATGTATATCTTCCCCCTTCCATTTATGCTATCTCCCCTCCTATCCCCTGACCAAAATCTCCTGCAGGCACCCGCGCGCCCCCCCAATCCTGAACCTGACGATCGGAGTCGACGAGAGACATTCCCGCAGGAACGTTTCCTCGCCCTCGTCGTCTTTTTGTCTCACGATGCGGCAGTGATGGACGGGAGGCAGAAGAAAGGAAAAAAAGGGGGGGCGGGAGGAGGGTGAGGAAAAAGGGGAAAGCAAGCGCAGGTCGAGGAAACGGGCATAGGAGAATTAATCAGGAGATATCTATCAACGACAGGGACATACATGTCTGCGTTAGGTACGTAATCACTAGGTAGGTATGAGAGGCTATGTAACTGGTACCTGGTTCCGCACGTATGGGATGTCTTGATGTATGTCCTCCCAGTACTCTGGGATCTAGGATGGGAGGATGCAGCGTATAGAGGTACATAGATAATATGTAGTAGAGCTTTGCTGTAGTGGATTGTATATCCCTAAGTAGGTACGCAGCATAGACACTACTTACGATCTTGACTATGTACATAGATAATAATATAACTACACCACGTAAATATCCAAACGCGTAAACAGCCCCAAACCTCAAAACCCACCCCTCGCAACAACATCCCCAAACCCAAACCAAACCAAACCCTCATCCCCTTTCGTGACCTCAACCTGAAACGGAGCGCCGCGACACAAGTACGCGCGCGCACGTAGAAACACAGGAAATGCGCAGCGAGGCCGGCCTACCTACATACATACCTACACATAACCAACAGAGATCGCGCGCATGTCGTCCGTATGACATTACACCCATCCCATCCCATCCCACCCCACCCCACTTGCCCACTGTACGTATACAACCCAGCCCCGACGCGGGCCAGTCCAGCGCTATCTATCAAGCCGGTGTTTGCGTCCCGCGTTCGTGGGACCTAGGAACCAGTTCCGCGCCCAGGATCCCAAGCCCAAAAGACACACATACCCTAGGTAGGTAGAATTGAGAAAGAGAGAAAGAAGAACCATACGCTCGGTGTGGCTCGGCGAAGCCCTCCCCTCCCTTCCATATTTCCCTTTTCGTCCTCACATTACACAAGATCGGCTAACCAACATCTCGTCCGTTCGCGCGGGTTTCCATCCATGTTATCGGGAGAACCGCGAAGGTTTGCGCGTAGTATAGGTAGGTACGTATCTAAAGTCCGGGAATATCCTCTTCTCAAATCCCCTTCCCTAGTCGTATATCAATCATCCTTACGGCCGTTGCAAGGCACGCAACAGATTTCCAACGCAGTAGGTACATAATGTAGGCGTGCCAGCAATAATTCCGGTGGTTTGAGGGGTAAAAAGGGCGAGAATTAGGCTGGCCTGGGATCGGAAATTTTAGCTTCTCTCTTCCTTCTCTCCCTGCGAATTGCCGGGTAGGAGAAAAGAATTAGGCGAGTTGTCTCGGGTCGACGCCTGACATGACATGACAATTCCATTTAGTGAACGGTGATCGAGTCGCTATGTGATCCCTGCTCCGATGACGAAGACGCCGTTCGCTTAGCAATTACGTTGGGATTGGGGATTGGGGATTAGGAAGGCCGTCCTCAGGACGCTTTGCTATACTTCATACGTAGATGTCTTGGGTCAATGGAAAAGCCCCAGCCTCAAAATCAGGCCAGACGTTTTAACTGACGCGGTTACCATCATTCTCGAGTCGCGGTCGCGCAGTGGCTCATCTCTTGTCTAAGTGCCACACGAGTAAGAGCAGTGCTAAGACACGCAAGTCTTACCGAGCGACTCTTTTCCCGTCTGAACTTGTATCCGCTCCGCGTTTATCTTCCGACAGATGGAACCCCTTTCCCCTGACGGGAGAACTGCAAGTATCCGACTTACCATCTCCGCGGTATGTAATAAAGCCTGCGCTGCGATGGTGCCAGAGACATGGGAGCAAAAAGACTTGGCGAGCGTTGACGACGGCAATCTCTGGGACGGGTCAGATAACAGTACGAAACATCTTGTTTCACGCGGACAAATAATCTCGTACGACCTAACTTTACAACTTTGGGGTTAGAAGGTCGAGAATTGTTTGTGGTGGGCGTCCGCTCGCTTCTTCCGGCGAAGGGGCTATGCCGTGTTAGGTCATACAGCGATCTGGTGGTCTTGGTGGCCCGATGAGGCGGAGGACGACAGTAAACGTTTGCAACGCCAACTGTATTTGATTACCTTTCGTGGTATAGCATCAGATCTGCCGACGCTTGTCCGGTACGATCGTGGCAAAGCAATAAATAGGACGATAACCCACGTTGAGGCACAATCTGCTCTTAATGAAAGGATGATTGCGCTAACGTCGTGGAACTTTGCAACTTTGCAGATGATACATCTATTAGCCACATCTAGATTTTTGGAATATTTGCTGCCTCCCCCTGAGATGGGATGATCCCCATTAAGATGATGGTATCCAACGCCGTACCATGACATACATGCTAGACAAACAAAAAGATCCAGGAAGATAAATGACTATAAGCGAGACTGCATCGGCGGGAAATTGCTCTCCTGCGGCCACTGCACCTCAGGCCAGATATGGCGAATAGCCTCCCAAATATGACTATTGAAAGATCCCAGTTAGCTAGATGGAAAAGGACAGGGGAAATGGCTAGGTTAAGGGTAGCGTAGCGTAGCGAATTCATACCTAACGTAGACGATGTTCAGCCCATCCCTCACTTCTGAGGGAACCTCTCTAGCGTCTTTCTCGTTTTGCGCCGGCAAGAGGACCGTCTTCACTCCAGCACGGTATGCTCCGATGAGCTTCTCCTTGATTCCACCTACCCTCTTCACGTGACCGGAAAGTTGGAATTCACCCTATTCCAAGTGTCAGTATATTACCAATAGAGGGTTAGGAATAGTAAGACTTACAGTCATGGCCATAGTTGGAGGCACAGGTCGCCCGGAAAGGAGTGATATGAGAGCAATTGCCTGAGCCATACCACTTGACGGACCATCCTTCGGCACGGCACCGGAAGGGCAATGTACGTGTAGACTGCGTTTCATCATGATGTTTTCCGTAGGATCCTGAGTCAACCCTAGTTCGTAGGCATGGTTGCGCACCCAACTTCTTGCAACCTTGACACTTTCCTTCAGCACATCCCCAAGATTACCCGTAAGCTCGACACTTCCATCACCAGGCATGTCAAGAACCTCAATGAAGAGAATACCCCCGTTACCACCAGAGCTGTAAGCAACAAGACCAGTCACTATACCTGGTTGACTGGTTTTCTCCGCTATCTCATCTTCAAACTTTTCGATGCCTAGAATAGCTTCGAGATCCTCAATTGTAATGTCTGCCTTGTATGCCTCCGGATGACCACGATCGTTGGCCTCCACAAACTCGACAGCCTTTGCACGGCATACAGAGCCAATCTCTCGCTCGAGGTTACGGACGCCTGACTCGCGAGTGTAGGACTCAATGATCTTTGAAACTACCTCCTCGCTAAAGCGTACTTGATCTTCTGAAAGGCCATTTACCTTGATCTGCTTAGGAACAAGGTGTTGTAACGCGATATGCTTCTTCTCGAGCGTAGTATATCCGGAGAACTCTAAGGTTTCCATACGATCCAGTAGCGGACCCGGAATTGTGTCGAGAGTGTTCGCTGTAGCAATGAACAGGACTTTGCTTAGATCGATCGGAGTGTTGATATAATGGTCGTGGAATGCGTGGTTTTGCTCTGGATCGAGAACCTCGAGCATTGCAGCCGAAGGATCACCGTTATGGTTCGACATACCCAGTTTATCTATCTCGTCTAACAGGAAGACTGGGTTGGCCACGCCAACTTTCCTCAAACCTTGCACGATCAGACCAGGCATCGCGGCAACGTACGTTCGTCGGTGGCCTCGTATTTCCGCTTCGTCCCTAACACCTCCGAGTGAAATGCGATGAAACTTGCGCCCAAGGGCTGTGGCAATCGATCTAGCTATACTAGTCTTGCCAACACCGGGTGGGCCAACTAAGAGCAAGATAGGAGCCTTTTCGACCCGTTTCTTATTCATCAGCATCTGGACTTTAAGGCCGCTTGCCTTTATCTTCTCTTCCAATTCGGGGTCAAGCGTCGCGCCCTCCTTCGCAGCACCTTTACTGGACTCCAGATCGGCGGTCTCCTGTTCGGCTTGTTTGATTTGATGGTTCACTTGTTCATTCGCCGACTGCATCAACCTGACGATGGTAAGGTAAGAGAGCAAGCGCTTCTTCACTTTTTGGATACCGTAATGGTCACCATCAAGCTGCTTCCTGGCGGTTTCTAATGTGCCAACGCTGATTGGGTCATCGGTAACGATGGACCATGGTACCTCCGCTAACGTTTCGAGATACGTCCTGACAACTTGATATTCGGCTTGTGCTGGCATCATCTGTTTCAATCGCTTGAATTCTCTCTCGGCTACCTTAGCAGCTTCAGGTGGGAGCTTAGCATCTTCTATCTTTTTCTCGAGATCTGCCAGATCATCCGGATCATGCTGCTCGCCCGGACCTCCGCCAAACAAACTGAACGGCGAACCGGCACCGAAAGCGAACCCAGGCGAAGTTGGCTTGAGTCCTGGACGCGGTGATTTTGTGATTCGCTTCTTGTCGTTTACTTTATCCGTGTCTTCCGGTTCCCCTTGGACAGGGACACCCGTACTGGTAATGGTGGTAACCTTGATGTTGCCCTTAAGTTCGTCCACCGAACGCTCTAATATCTCGATCACCCTCTGCATACGATCCGAAACGTCGACAGCAGCGAGGACCTGGAGCTTTTCCTCGAGCGAGCCATCGATCACATTCATCATAAAGTCAGCGAGCGAGCCCCCTTCGGCAGGTGCCTTCCTGGCAATGAATTGCTCAAGTCTTCGTGATAGAAGAGGATTCAGACCTCCACTTCCGCTAGATAGTAGGAACGCCGACACGCGGAGATAAGATACTAGCTCCCTCGATAGGCGCTTTAGAGTACCGAAAAGCTCTTGATAATCGGGTCTCTGCAAGTCCTGGGGACTGACTTGATCGGCATGGGGCAACACCCTTGCCTCGAAGAAGGGACGCTCTTGGGTTACCTTCTCGATAGTAACTCTCGAGGTGCCTTGCACGAGCAGGTTGAACTCAGCCCCATTCTGACCTTGGATCGCACTGATCTTGCCGGAGACTCCATAGCCATACAGCTTCTCCGCCTTTATATTATTCTTATCCACGCTCGTGAGCTTGTCATATTTATCCGGATTCAGCTCCAACAACGGTTGGCCACGGCGATTGAGCAGTGGCGACATTAAAGGCACACAAACAACGGGGATCTGGTCGACTCGTCTCGATCCTTTGGAGGCACGTGTGTACATACTCGAAATCAATGCGGGTATATCGGAACGACTCGCTGGTACCGGTATTCGTATAACCGATCCGGGAAAGAGGACGTTGTTCTTTCCCAAGGGGATCACGGGCATGACGACCGGTTGCGCCATGTTGACTTATTTTCCCCTTTGGTTCGTGCGCGATTGGCCGAGGATGGAAGCAATGTAAACAGTAATAAATATCACACAAAATGCAAGTGGTATCGCTGCTATGTTACACAAATAAGCAGACAGGACGACAAATAAGTGTCGTCTGATATATTAGATTCAGATATATGGATGACTTTAGATTTGTTGAGGGTGGATGTATGATGTGTATGGATGTATGGAGGATAAAGGGTTGGATATTTTGATGTCAGTGGCTCGAAGTTTATTGTAGCATTGATGTAGGTATTGATGTACAATGCAGAAGTACATACAGGCATCATCACACCCATTGATGCGCGCGACTAAGCGACTCAGTGCCCTGTAGGCTACGTAGCTCAGGCTCCAGGACAGTTGTCCAGCTAGCCTAGGTACTTTAAGCTTCAGGGGTGAGTTTGGTTGGTTAGCGTGCCGTTCCTTCCAGAAGCTGCGGGAACGGCGAACCAAAACAGGACTTACCGAGGCTCAAACGCTGCGTCTTGTGCCAGCACCCCGGATTCGACCCGGCATCAGGCCGAAAACTCCACCTCACGAGATTCTTGCGGCTAAAAACATTGTGATAATCAATTATATAGATGTGATAATGTGTGATTGATGAGCTGGCACTGTAAGAGTTAACTGTACATATTATATCCACTCGACAACCTTGAAACCTTGAAAACCTTGGAGGTATTCAAGTATTTAAGTCAAGCCAGGTACCTAAGTACCCTGTGGTGTGGCTTTATAGCGGTCTTAGCACTAGGTAATAGGTACTAGCCACAGCAGGTGCCTACGTGTAGTACGGGCGACTACCCCGCGATTTAGCGCATCCATTCAAGAAATTCAATTAAAAAGTTCCCGTCGCGTAAACCGCCATCTAAACGCGTCTCATCCCAAGCACTATCCAAACCATCCGACAACTTACATCACCCTTACTTACTACCTAGTTACAAAGGGTATCATCATGACTTGTATGTGACCCTAAACCATTTCCTCAAGTGTCATATAGCCTTGGAACAGCATTGCCAAGTACGAACAAGATTCAATCAATCTATCTCCGCTCGATACCATCCTCCAATGCTCACAAGGCTATACGACACTTGAAGCCCTCCTACCCCCAGAACGATACTTCCCCCATATACTAACACCCCATCCCACAGCCTACGGCGGCTACTCACGCACCAACTACAACGCCACCGGCGGCGACGACAGCGGCGGCTTCTTCGGGGGCTCTCAAATCTCCGGCTCACAAGGGGGCACCAAGCACCCATCCGAAGAGTCGCTGCGCCCGGTAACCGTGAAACAGATAATCGACGCAGAGCAAGCCTTCGGCAGCGACGGGACGTTCCGGATCGACGGGGTGGACGTATCGCAAGTGACGTTCGTGGGGATGGTGCGGCAGATCAGCCCACAGACGACGAACATAACATACCGACTCGACGACGGCACGGGAGTGGTGGAGGTGAAGCAGTGGCTGGACCCGGACAAACAGGAGACGGACGCGGGAGCGAAGGGGTCTGCGTTCCGGGAGGAGCAGTACGTGCGCGTGTGGGGACGACTGAAGAGTTTCGGGAACAAGCGACATGTAGGCGCGCACGTCATCAAGCCAGTGACGGATTTCAACGAGGTGAACTACCACCTGCTGGAAGCGACGTACGTGCACCTGTTCTTCACGAAAGGGGGTGGGATGGCGGGGGCCGGGGGCATGGGTGCGGGTGGAGACGGCAACGCGGCGGAGGACGACAGCATGTTTGTCGAGAACAACGACGCGGCGTTCCTGCGGGGCGCGACGCCGCGCGCGAAGAAGATGTACCAGTACCTGAACCAGTCGAAGAGCAACGAGGGCGTGAATATCCATATCATTGCGCGCGACACGGGCATGACGGTCCAGGACGCCATGACGGCTGCGGAGGAGTTGCTGGGTAATGGCAAGGTCTACACTACGCTTGACGACGAGACGTTCGCTCTTCTAGAGGGATTCTAAAACTACCTACATATGGACGTTTAGCATGATAAAAGCTAGTGGGGTGAGCAGGCCTATCGTCGATGGTACATCCAGGCGTTCTAAGCACGAGAAATTATGAGCTAAGTAGATACGGGTCGGAAATCACACGGGCACGACAAAGAATGGAACCAAGGTGTATACTGAATGGCCTTATTATGGGCTATCTATCTACCTAGATACGAAACGATTGACTAATGATACCTAAAATGAGGACCCACAGATAATGACAACGAGCAACCCCAAGCATCTTCGATCAAAGTGACTCGTAACTAAACTAATCAGTCCCAGCCCAACCCAACTCAGACGGAACCGAAGACCTGCAGCCACAATGAAGCAGCGTCGTAAGTCCGGCAAAACCCGTACCTAGTATTAGAAAAGGGTATTTCCTAACCAGTCGTCATCAAGCAAAAAAAAGGAGCGTGAGAAAGTAAAATCCAAGAGCTAGCTAGCCCATACGAGGTCCTAGAAGCAAAGTTTGTGTAATTGTAAGTAAGCAAGCAAGCAAAACAAAAGCAACAACCACGCAAAAGCAAACGCGAAAAGACGGAAGCGGTCTGTCTGTCAACCACTGAAGCGTCATCGGATCACAAGAACATTTCGATCACACATTAAATCCCTTTGTCAGCTATTCATCGTGATGTTCAATCGTCATCGTCATCAACAGCATCAGCAGCCGTAACACGGCAGCGGCAACGTCAGCACAACAGCAAACTTTCAATCATCGATCCTTACATCATCTTAAACCCGGCGTTGAGCTTGATGGGGATCGAGTTGGCCAGCTTCTGCGGCTCGCGGACCATGATGGTCAAGCGGACGGGCGACTTGCTGTCGGCGCCGAGGTAGATGTCTCTCTTGGCCTCGAAGCCGAACTTCTTATAGTAAGAGTTATTCTTCAACGAGCTGGACTCGAGGTACATGGGTCGGCCCTCCGCATCAGCCTGTAAACATTCAGCACGCAGATATATATAGACATGGGTTGTGAAGCTGCGATAAGGGGTTGGTTAGGTAATCAAAGGTCCTGATCGGATGGAGCTCGACCGCCTCTTGATATTGCCCCCTTCCCCCTACCTTGTCCACGACAAGTAACGTACCTTGGAGGCCATCTGCTGGATAAGCTTTCTCGCGTAGCCTCTACGCTGGCCGGCGGGCTTGGTGCCCAGGTAGACCAGGTAGTAGCACTCGTTGTCCCTGTCACCCATGGTCTCAACCTTTGCGTTGTGGAGCACCGGTAGCAGCTCTTTGTAGTAGCGCTTCCGGCCCTCCGCAGACAGTTGATAGTAGAGTCTCCACATACCACTGCGGATGACGGTCATCCAGTCGTCCATCTCCTGGCCTGGCGGCATCCTGTATATCACAAAGCGAAACATGTCAGTCAACACGATATTTTAGTTGGGTCTTACCAAGTTAGACGCCGGGAAACAGCAAACCCGAGTTGAGGCCACGTATCGACTCTCGGAATGGTGCGCATACGCAGCCTAGAGCCCTAGATTTCTTTTCCCCGGTTGCCTCTCTTGATCTGATGTCTGATGGCAAACTCACCAGAGCGCCACACCCTCGTAATCCGGTCCGATGGTCGTCACGATGCCCCTGTAACAGTGAGCTGCCACGATGTAGTTGAAGATGTCGACGTGGAGCCTCCATTTGACCTCGTCATCGACACCGACCATGTCGTCCGAATCGAGGAGGTACTGTGCCAATTCATCAGTAGCAAAGGCTTGCGCTAGAGATAGCGCTGCTTCCTTGTACTCCGATATTCCGATTGCACGGACTTGACCCTCCCATGTTTGAGGGATGAGAGAACGCGTCTTCAACTCAACAAGGGAAACACTGTTGCTTACGTGCTCCATGCTGGGCGGCTTTCTACTCAAACCTTTGGCGCCTACGGCCGACGAAATATGATTAGTCACTGTGGTCTGACATTGCGAACAAGGGTGCGAATACGAAGATAGGTAGGTAGTTAAGGTGTAGATAGTTGCAAGCAGCGAGTGGGTGAGGCCACTCACTTTAATTATTATTACTTGATATATCCTGTATACTATCTCCTGTGTGAACTCTAGAGAGTTGCGTTCTGGAGATAGGCATAAATCTCGCGGGATGAGCTAAGCAATTGAGGCTCGTGCGAAGGTCAACAGACATCAATGTTGTCTTGACGAGGGTTCCTTTCCTAGAAACTGAAGGTGTTGTAATTTCAGACAACGGGCGACGTCACGGGGAAAGTAGACGAGGAAGCCCCAGAGTCCGACGGTTGACCGGAAATTTTGAAATTGGATTGAAGCAATGAGATGTGACTAGCGACAAAGAGCGACTAGCGAGAACAAAGAATTGATATTCTTGTAAGTAACTAATCCCGTATGAAGAGATCGGTGTGGTATAGCAAGATTAATCAGCGGTATAGGTAGATATTATTGTGTTATTGTGTTGTTATAACCTCGAAAGTGACTTGTGGCAACCAAGTATATTTTCCCAGGTTGGTGAGAGAAACGAGGGTAAAAGGAATTAGCGTTTCTGAGCGCCCGGGGGTCCTTAAAGAGTTGGCGAGCTCGGTGTACAAAGCACAGTGTATAATCAGCAGGTGAGGCGAGGAGCCAAGGGAGAGTCGCGCGGGATGGGATGCAGAAAGCCTGAATAGTCGATGGTAAGCTGAGGGAGCCGCAGAGGTCGTAGCACTGCAATGCGACCAACCAGCCACTAGAGACTAGAGACTAGAAGTATGACACTATCCCATCCCTATCCATAGCATCCATCCATGGCATCCATGACATCCATGACATCCATGCCCCTCGTGGACTGCTACGTAGTCCGAAATAATAGTGCGTAACCGGTAGTGGCGAAGAAGAACCAGTAGGAGCCAGCAGGAGCCGGTAGTAGCCAGTAGGAGTCGGTATACAAGAAGTCTCATATCAGGATCTACCATTGGCTAGCCGGTACAGCGGATAACGGCAACGGCCGTCTGGGCACTTTACATAAGTCGCCTATCGAATTCGTGGTCACAGTGCGTCCGACCCAACAACTTGGAATAACTCGTTTCCAGGCTTGACCGCATACATTGTCGCATACATTGTAGCATACATTGTACACCAGTCTCGTGCGCGGAGGTGGTGTGAAGGAGGGTTTGATTGCTTGCCTATTGGGGATGACAGGTAGTTGTGCAGTGGTGTTTTCGAGGTGTGGGAGAGTGATGGAAGAGGGTGGGATCGCTATTGGTTAGATCGTGGGTTTAGATTGTTAGCTTGTTAGATGGTTAGACCAGACAACCTTGGAAGCCGTATCGCTTAGTTCTTAATAATACCTCGCCGTAAACAGCGCTCAGGTCGCCCAGGTGTCCCAGGTTGTTGTCAACAGACGATCCCACGTTATCGCACATCCAACCATATCCAACGTCCACTAGAAACTTGTCTCGTCCGTTCCCCGGGAGTACTGGATGCACTGCTTGCAGCTTACTTACATCGTCACCTGATACTGAAACTTGATCTTGACGTCGGCCCTGGCATTTTTGAAATCAACAAGTAGGTATATAGTAGTACAAAGTTCGGAGCCCCGGAATTTAGATAGTCGGCGCTTGATGCGGCCAGCCCAATGTTGAGATCTGACAGCCATCCGGTTGGGCTATGTTTCACCGCAGGCGCAGGATGAGGAAGAGCGTGGGGTTGCAGTACAATTGCGGTTTTTATTTCCGGATGGAGTCATGACTCCAGATTATCCAGGTTATCCCAAGTCTTGAGCTCATCTTTTTTCATAGCTTATTCGTATTCTCGGGTTCTGGTGTATGCGTATGCGTATGCATTCTTAGTAGTAGCAGTAGTAGTAGTGGTATCTTCAAATGTTTCTAAAGTCTAGAAGGTTAGAGCGGTATACTTTATCTCCCCCCTGGAACCGGGGAGGGACATTTGCCTTAATTGGTTAATTCAGTGGTTGATTTAGTGGTTGATTGGTAGGTGCGATGACATTTTAAACGGGGATTTGCATGTTTGAAACGACGAAGCAAATGTTAACCCCCCGCTCTGAAAAAAGTACCGCTTAAGGGATATCTATTGAAATATGCAGTTCGCCATTGGTGTAAGACACGTACTTGGCCTAAGGCCTAAATCTATTCGTCCTTTACCAGATCATCTTGCTGATAAATCAGAAAAAAAGAAAGAAAAGAAGCAAAAGAAATGACTCTCTTCCCCCCTCCTAGATCGTAGTATCTTCCTCAAAGTCCGGATTCACATGCGTCTGATTTCCTGCTCGTTGGTGTACTTCTCGAGACCGGAATCAAGATTCTCCCACCATTCGAAAAGCATAGACTCGCATATGAGTTTAAACCAAGGTGTGAATGTTAGCTTCGGGTCCTTGAACTGAGCCTTTAACTCATCGGGGGTAACGTATTTCGCATCCTTAACTTCATTGGGGTTGGGATCTATATCAACATTCGCCTTGATGAAGAGAATGTAGTCAACTTGTCACACCGGTCAGCACTCTATTACAACGCCGATATGAGCCCTCTATTCGCTTACTCTCGTGTTCACCCCATTTACCATCGCTGGGGGCCTTATAGTGGATTCGGGTCAGGAAGTGGAAATCTTCGAACGGAACCTGTTCCTTCTTGATGCCCAGCTCGTGATCGAGTTTTCGCTGTGCGGCACGCTTCACACCCTCAACCGAGTCCGGCAAGTTTGAGCCGGTCTCGCCGGGGATACCCAAGGGATGCGAACAACATGTGTTCGTCCACATGTCAGGGAACGTGATCTTCTCGGAAGCTCGTTGCTGGAGGAGTAATCGGTTTTTATCATCGAATAGGAAGCAGGAGAAAGCTCGGTGCAACAATCCTTTGTCGATATTGGTCATTAGATGGCCTACGAGGTCAGCCAAGGCTCTACAATCTAGTCTTGAGTCACCACATACATAGCTTCTTGCTAGCGGTTCCAATTGGGTTGTCGTCGTTGTCGAGAACGATGCACACCTCGTCCATTAGTCGAATCTGCTCGGCATCGTGACCCTCTAGCTCCGCCGAGCTGGTGTCTATATCTGGAAATAGACGAAGGATGGTCTCGGCCGATGGGCCATTCTGTGTAACTGTTGTTGTAGTGGACATGGTGACTTATGATCTATAGATACTACCTAATTCTTTGTTCACCGACCGCAATGTTTCGATTTCTTAAGAAAAGGAGAGGGGCAATGCGGGACGATCCCAAGATTTTGGGCGACTTAGGAAATCGTTGCGACCTAGGTTTCGGTATCGATAGTAAATGGGTGGACCCTTGGTGGGGAAATTCGAATTTCAATGGGACCCGAGTATTTTTTAGGGGTCGCAACTAGCGTCAAAACCCACGGACCACACAACATACCAATCTGCAATCTAGATTATTACCTAATTAAACTTCCATGGTTATAGATAGACTCTCGCCTATCGGAGGGAATCAGCCTCAAAATGCAATACAATCATTTTATGTATCAAATTATTCGGATACTGTGCGGATGGTTACCTAAATACATAGGTATACGTACCTACTAGTTTGCGGTGGCGTCTATCTAGATTCCTACCTGAATATTAAAAAGCATGGATATCATTCCGACACGGCTTGAACCTTTCTGTTGTGATACCGCGCTCTATGCATACATATCATACACAACTATCCAGCCATACGTCGACAAATCGCGCAAAATGACACAAACTGCGCCCTGTTGCGTTGGTTGAAGAATACGCATGTAATACACTGCATACGCCAACATCTCGTCATTTCTCGCAATCTCGCAATTATCTTATCAACCAGCCGCATTCCGGTTCTCCGCGTCCCGAGCCGACTGTTCCCAATCCGAAATGTAAGTATACCAGTACTCGACGCCGGCGACGCTGTCACATGTAACCATTAGCACATCCTTTCGAGCGAGGTGTTTACAGAGGAAGGGCGAAGAGAAAGGAAATCCGACTTACAGAGCCAATCCTATTGTGGTGCCCAACCATAAGCCCGTGAGCTTCCAGTCGAGAAGGAAAGCTGTCGTAAACGAAATTGGCAAAGCAATAATGTAGTAGATCGACAAATTTGCGTAACCACCGAATGACTGCTTTCCGATTCCACGAAGAAGTCCGTGGGCAACAGCTGCGAGACCGTCAAAAACTTGCATGCAGGCAACTAACGGCATGACCTTCGCCACCAAGCCGATGACTTCTTCGTCTTGTGTGAATAGCAGAGGAAGTTGATAGCGGAGACCCGCAAGCAAGCACAGGTTGAATAATCCAATAAGACATCCCGCCCAAAAAGCCTTTGACCTGTTAGCTGATGCGTCTCACCGCCCATTCGACAACAACAAACTTACCACTTTGGCTGACGTCTTGGCTGCGTTTATTAACCCCGCTCCTATCAAGTTGGCAACCCGTGTAGAGGCCGCGATTGAGACGGGAAAAGGGATCATAAAGGTTGTTGACGTCAATGTAACCAAAATACTCTGCGCCGCCAGATACGTCGTCCCGAATTGGCTTGTCGCCAATGTAAGAATTTCGAAGGCGAACCATTCAGCCATCACCATGATCATCCCAGGTAACGCAAGCTTGACCATCGGGCCTTTGTTGTGTCAGTGGTCAGTTCATTACGACGTCAAGCTATTGAGTTATTGAACTCACCCCAATTTGTAAGAGCACGACGGGTGAAACCTCCCCAGCATTGTGACCCATCCACAAACGCCACGTACGCAAGTAGCAAGAGAGGCATCAATGTTTGCGTTATCGCAACCGAAATAGGGGCACCGATAAATCCCCACCCGAAATGCCAAACGAGGAGCCAGTTGACAAGAATATTTAAGGGCGCGGCAACCAACAACACGTAAGTCGTTGCAACAAAGAGTCCTTGTGACTGAACAAACCGCTTTCCTGCTTCGAACGCAGCGAAGCCAGGTACACCAGCTGTCACGATTCGAAGGTAAAGACCTGCGAGCTTGGCAGAACGCGCATCGGGTACTATGTGAAGTAGTATATCTTCAGCGAAGAAGAAAAGTACGGCCGCCGGGATAACAAGCGACCACAAGAAATATGTCATCCGTTGGCATTGTAAGCCTACTAGATGTTTGTGACCAGAGCCATATGCCTGGGCGCATAGAGTATCCAAACTCGTCGCTAGTCCCTGCATGGGCGCATAGCAAAGAATATTTGCTGTCATGGTAGCCACTGAATCTTCATTAGTAGAAATAAAGACAGATGAGATAACCCAACTTACAACTAACAGCACCTAGCTCTATCTTTCCGATCCTTCCAACAGCAAATATGCTAGCAATGTTGATACTATATTGCAACAGGAACGTCAAGATCAGCGATCGCGAGTAAATCGCAATTGTCTGTGCTTCTCTCTGCCATGTCGTCTCTAGCTTTCCGGAAGCTACAGCAGCCTCCCACTGATCATTTAAACGATCATGGGGTAAAGTTAAGGAGCTAGGTCTATCGCCTAGCAAAGGTGAAGACTCGGACGGCTGAATAGTGATTCTAGGAACCTCTTCATCACTTGGCGTTCTGCGAATTTTAGTGCTGAAAAGAGCCTTATACAGCTTTGAGAGCATCCCGGGCCGTTCTTCTGGGGTGTGTTTCGGCGGAAGAAAATGGTTGTCTCTCAGAAGACTGCGCTCAGCATTGCGAGATTGTTTCTTCTCGATCCTCGTGAGAACAGGCTCGTTCACGGGATCGATCACTATGCTTGGCCTTCTAAAGCCAAAAGCAACGCCGGTGGGCTGGGTGTATAAGACAGGCCCGCTTTCAGGTTCAGACTCTGATTCAGGCTCGTCGTCATCGAACACATCTTCCTCAGCCTCGTCCTCGGTGCATTCCGCGATATCTCTAGCCAAGATCTCCTGTGCTATGGGAGAAGCAGATGTGAAGGACGAAGCGATATCCAATCCTCTCCTCGTCTGCGGGATCGGTTTTGAGTGTGACATTTTGACGGTCTCTTGGGCAACTCTGATGGACTTTTAAGAACTCCGGAGGACGAGGTTGCCCCTCGGTGTGCTACTCAATTACAAATAAGAAAAGCAAGCCTGGTAAGACAAGAGGCTAGTGAGGTTGGACGAAGTGACTCATCAAATATGGGAAAGCAACAAGATCTCTTTATTACTGTAGAAGTTTTGATTTGAAAAAGATGAGGTTTATCACGGTTAGTATTATGAGGTTGTCAAGTTAAACCGACTTATCTTGATAACCTAACACCTTAAGGAACCTAGACAGTTAGATCGACTCGAGCTTATGGCCCTTTATCTTAGGGGGTCCATATTTAAAGGCGGTTAAGAAATACAATTCCGGGGCTGGGCTCCCCGCCAGCCCGCTTAATGCCCGCCACCGGAGCTCACTATTAAGCAGTTAAGTTGTCTCGTCTCGGTTTAGTCTTAGAATCGGTGGGACGATGCATTGGACTAGGCCTCTAAAGTATAAGATAGAACAGTTAGGAATGAGATGCACATATGGGAAGACTAACGCATATGAATACCAACTTGGGTTAATAGCACAAGGTGAAATGGTGAGTACGTAACTTCGACTTCTGTGTGAGAGCCCACGATGTCTCCACTTTCATAGGTTCGTGCAATGCCCCGGCTTTCCCGCTTTGAGCCGCGGATGCATCACAGCATATTATGTACAACATCTCGACACTAAGACATCCATTTCCTATCGAAACATCATCAAGGGGCTAACAGCAGCTCCCTCCAATCGGCGAGGCTCTATCTAATAGCTAATACATAATTTGGTAATTCTATAATCCTACTCGCATCCCATCATATCTACCTATATAGTATAATCTGCAACACATAACAACAATGCCAACCCCTCAACCGGACATCGAGGAAAACCAGCCCTCATCTTCATGCCGCGACGCCCTCTCCTTCTCAAACCTCCGCCGACCAGTGCAAGTAGGAGATACAAGCCCCAGCAATGTATTCTGGATATGGCCCTTCCTCGGGCCTCTGCTCGTCGTGAATGAGAGCAGCGACACACGCGACCACTGCGCCAATGAGAGGAGTGAGTTCTCATATCCTTGCACCAAAACGCATCACATCCGTTCAACTCGCTAACAAACCTCCTTTTAAAAAAGCCTTCCTATCCTACCTCCGGCTCTCTATTTACATGGCCGTCGTCGCGATAGCCATTGTATCATCCTTCCACCTCAAGTCGCAGCCCTCGGACCTGGAATTGCGCATGGCCCGACCCCTCGGCATCATCTTCTGGCTACTATCTCTAGCCTGTCTAGTCCTCGGATTTGGAAATTACATAAGTTCGTCTTCCCTTACCACCAATATATTACGTTTTGCTAATTTCTGCAAGAAACCCTAGACAAATACAGCAGGAAAGTAGCGATAGTCCAAACGGGCTGGAGGACGCAATCGGTAAGCTCCCTTGCATATGTGCGCCCTTCATCCTAGCTTCACCGCTAACAGGCAAAAAGATCATGTCTCTCATCGCACTGTCGATCGTAAGCACCTGTGTGATTCTACTAGTAATTGAAAAACTCCGAGATGAGAGTTAATTACAATATCCACAACTTCAGCAATCTGTTTTCTTTCTTTTTGCTGATTTGGACGTTATGTACATGATCTCCTTCCATGAATCTGCTGGTATATATACGTTGTATCTCTGCCCAAAGTGCGCCAAACCCCACAACTAAAGACCAGTCACTTAATTCCGATAACTCCAACTATAAGCCTTGCTGATCGTAATTCCTGGGTTATATCGAAATTTTTCGAGGTCTCAGGGACCGTCGTGACCCTTCGTATTTTCTTATCGCCTTAGTCCGTCGCGCAGAACATGTCTTGCGTCGACAAGGGCACGACTTCTTTCTTCTTTTCCAGGTCCGTACTACAACTGCCAACTTTCTCTTTGAACTCTATTGAATACTCTCTGGCGAGTGAATTTAATTCTCCGAAATCCGTCGGCTGGCCATCCCATGTTACTATAGGTAGGTCGTTAAACGAGCGGAGATTCCCCTTGTTGGGAAGGCTGTCAAGGAGGGATACTGGAGCAAGAGGTGTCTCTATACCCACCCGGATCTTTTGTCTAACATTCTCGATTTCTTCTTCGCTCGCATCATCCGCAAGGAGCGGCTTCGAGTTTTCATGACTTGCGTACTCCTCCGGCAGATGGTTTAGCTCGCTGTGGACAGTTGCAAGATTCCTAGCAGTGTCGTCACCAGGATACAACATCCAATAGCCCCGTGCTCGAGCCAGTCTCAAAGCATATTCCAACCAAGACGGATATTGAGTGCTCACGACCTTTTCGGACAAGAGGGCGGGGATGGGATTTAATCCTTGCTTAGCTTCCAATGACCTAGAAACAAAGTCATGGAGTTCCATCCATCTTTCGCCTAAGAATAATACCGCGTTACTAGTAGGCGCCTGCCATAGAAATGAAGTCGAGATCTCCCCATCTGATGCATCTCCGGAATGAGTGCTCTTCAGTAGTGAAGGTGGAGAAAACGCACCCTTCCCATCCAGCAATTTGTTTGGTTGCTCAAGGCTGATACCAAAAAGCCGACGATCCCAATGTTGGTAGGTAGAAACAGCTGAATATCTATATTCCAACAAGGAATATTTTAAATCTATAGGCTAATTAGATGACTTCTTATGCTAAGGGGGTCATGTGGCTTACAGTGGAAGAAATCAGGTGAGAGCTCAACTTGTGGAGAGAGCACTAGTATATGTGAATGTTCTGGTTGAGCTGGCCAGAAAGACTCAAGAAACCTGGCTGAACTTTCCTCCTCACTCATTCTCTGATGAGGTATACGATGTCTAAGCGATAGATAACGAGCGTGAGTCGGATTATATACGTGAGCGGGTGGCCACGTGAATGTTTCGAGGAAGCGCATAGTTGGAGGATCAATATCATGCGGTAGTTCGATAGTGAGATGAGGAACGGAACTTGAAGTATAATCTGCTGCGCTAAGGGATCTAAGAAGTCTGATTAAACTTCCCGATGCGCCTGGTATAGCATGAATGAGTATGTCAATGTGATTTTTGTGCCACACTTGGGTTTGGGTTAGCGGTAGTTAGTACTGTCGAGGGGGCGAACTATCTTACTGCGCAAGGCTTGACTGTCTAGTTTCGCCAACCACTCAAGCCTCTTTATAGATCTACGTGGCAGTTCAATTAGAGTATTCTGTTTTGCCTTGGAGTGTTGTTGCGCAGCCCGTAGAAAGAATGTTTCTTCATCGGTTGAGCCATCTATGAAAATAGCCTGTGGGTGCATATAGTTGAAAATATGATCTGGAAGACAACTTATAAGCAATGTGGTTTATTACGAGAAAATGGCAATACCCACGCAATGCACGAAACACAGCAGTTTCCATCCGATCGTCGGTCGAAACCTGAGTATAATCCGGGCGCGCATCTTACAACAAAGTTAGCAGCCGTATACATTTCCCCAGACGTCTCATGTCGCACCGTGAAATATGATCTGGCAAGAATCGTCGATGCCATTGACTTTCCGAAGCTCTTGTATATCGATATCGCTCCGGCTCATCAAAGCAAAGTGTACGTAACTCTTTAGGTCGGATCCCATCTGACAAGCAATCGGCAAGAGGGTTGCGGCGCTCTTGAGGCTTGAAGATGCGAAGAGAACATTTCTATTTATTACCATGTTCCCCCTTGTGCCAGTGATGCCTTGCAACGTTGGGGCAAGCTCAAGGAACCTGATAGGGCCGTTGAATATGCGCTCGGGTGTGCTCGGTATGTGACTTTGAGGGTTGGGAAAGGCGGCATTAGATCGGTCGGGGGCAGGACGGCTGGGAATATTCGCGGAAGGGTCTGGATATGTGTAACTAGGACGGCGCATTTGCGCATTGGGACCGAGGACCGGGATATTCTTAATGAAGAGGTAGACGATCGAACCTACAACAAGCACGAGAGCTATACGTTTAAGAGACCGTCGCGGAGGGACTCTGGCTGGGTTCCAATTCGGTTGTCGCAAGCCACTGCCATTCTTAAAAGACTTGTGGTCGTCATCCTTTTTGCCCAACTCTTCATCGCTCAAGAAGAAGCCTCGCATCTTCCCCCATGTAGACATGCCAAAGCTCTGGCGCGAGAGCAAAAAAGGCGAGAAAGCAAACAGGTATGTACCTTATATTACAGATCGGTCCTAGAGAAGTTTGAAAGCTGCATCTCAAATGACAACTTTTCAATTGGGCAAATTTAGTAACTTGAAGCTTCAATGTTGATAAAAATAAAATGACGAATCTTGGAAGCTACCCTGATACCTCAATACCTGACACCTAATAGGTACCGTCTCGATAGGGCAAGGGCAGTCGAGTTGAATCGAAGTCCCACTAACACAACCTTGAAGTTTGGGGCTGAGCGACGATGAAGCTCTAGGGAGCGACGATCCCGTTGCTCTTTTAGATGTCCTTAAGAGGTCCTAGCTTACATACATGTAGGGTCGCAGATTCCCCATAGAGCTAACCCATATTGTAATATAATCCAGTTCGTTCTAGGCAAGTCTGACGGATACATACAGACATCGTATTGGATAGGCAGGATATGCCTATTATGCACGTACTAAGTCAAAGAGGGGGGTATTCGAGTAGGGGGGGTATTCGACACCCCCACTTTTGTGGTGAGATCTCAACCAATGAGAAGTGGATGCACCCAAACGGGCCACTTTATTCGACGTACCTTTTTCTTTTTTTCTTTCAAGAACCTTGAACCAATCAGAAGGCTCAATACTATACGCTATGCCATATGAAGCTAAGAAAAGATAACAGCCAATTAGCTTTAAATATACTATACCAATCGGGAATTGTGGATTTTTAGACCTTTATCGCAATTGGCCCTTACATCTAACCATTTCCGCTTAGCGCAAGCTTTTAGCCAATAGATCGTTATGGAATTATTCAGTCACGCTTTATTTTAGCCCTAAAACCCACGCTAGTCCCCGCCTAATGGAGCTCGTTGATTGGTTCGCCACTCTCAAAGTATTACGTGACGTCATCGGGACTGCAAAAACCTTTGTCCGGGCTGACGTACTCGCAAGTCAATTGGTCAGGTCTGAGTCAAAATGTACTAAACCTAAGAAGGTTAGCGGTTACCGAAATAGGTATTTTATTTAGATTGAGGATATTGTGCGCGCTAGACAAGAGGGGGAAAGCGCACTAATCTTAGCTGGGTTTAGTAGTAGGATTTAATTGGTCGTTATTAAGAAGCTATACCTAGAATAGTAATTAAAGCTTCATGAACCAATGAAAAGCTGAGAATCTATCTTTCAGTTGCTAATGTACCGCGCTATACCATATATGATTAGGGTCTCACCACAAAAAGTGGGGGTGTCGAATACCCCCCCTACTCGAATACCCCCCTTTTTGACTTATGCGTACATTGTAAAGTACATACAAACTTGGACGAAAACGTGTTATTTGCCAGGGTAGCTGCTTGGAAAATGGAGGTCCGGCTACTTGCATCACGACGCGATTGATGGGGATCCATAATTTAATGTTCTTGGCAGATCGGTTGACCCCACCAGGTAGGAACATCCAAAAGCCCCACCAAAGAAATACGGGCAGGTACCTACGCAGGTACCTAGATACATCCACTGTAAAATTGCAGACTTAGGAAGTTATGGTGGGGGGCATCGAGCCTTACACAATCTTGCAGCCAAACCGCTGGAAATTTTCTACAGAAATTTGATATTCAGATTTCACGTGCAGCTGTGAGATCCATCACCAAACAAGATTTTTTCTCACGTTCCAGTTTCCGGTGGGATTCCATTTCAAAGACGGATTGAGAAACCCTAATTTTCAAGTTCACCACTCGGTTTCTATTCACGATGGGTAAATCCCGTCGGAATAGGGCCAAAGGCAGCCAGCGCCCTAATCCGATTACTAAACCCGTGAAGCCACTCTCCGACCCTGAATTAATAGCGATAAGAGAAAAAAGCATCTTGCCCGTCATAAAGGATCTTCAGAGCACAGAACCAAAATCCCGGACTACTGCCGCTAGAGCTATCTCCAACATAGTACAGGACCCCAAATGTAGAAAGCTACTTCTACGAGAAAAGATTGTTCATATTATCCTCACCGAGACGTTGACTGATACAAGCCTAGAGGGTCGAGCTGCTGGATGGGAGATTCTCCGCGTTCTCGTTGCCGAGGAAGAGCAGGATTTCTGTATTCACTTATACCGAGTGGATATTATGACTGCTATTCAACATGCCTGTAAAAACGTAAGATTTATAGTCCCCTATAATTCATGAATATCCAACAAAACATTAACTATCATATAGTTAAGCCATACCCTCACGAGAGAAGATCCTCCGTTCAGCAGGAGTTCAAGAGCTGAGCAGCTTTTCGTCTGGAACATTGCCGAGTCGCTCACAGCGATCATCACAGCTCTAGCTGAAGCCCAGGATGAAGCTCTCGATGCGGCGGTGTCTTCACAGCCGATCGTTCATTTTCTTTTCCTTTTGGTTGTTCTCGATAAAACAATTGCGCCAGTCATAAACAATGTTCTATCGTGTATGATAACGTTATCCGAAGACAACCAGCAATTTGCAGAGGCGATCCTTTCCGGCACCGAATTCATACAGGTTTACAATCGCCTGTTTAGATTTAGGACTGGTAACGATTACAAGGCTGTCTTAGCCTGTGCCGTTCTACACAACGCATATTCTGGGGCGCAATGGAATGATCGTAACCTCGGAAAGGATGGTGCCTGCGATGCTGTCCTTATTCCCATGCTTGCTCAGACGCTTGAGCACACTCGGTTGAACATGAGAGCGGCTAATGGCCACGGCTCATCAAATCCAGCCGAGATTCTGCAGTTGGCTCTGGAAGTACTGGCATCAATCGGCACTACTCTTCAGGAGACTCTAGAGAAAGGTGGACGTGGAAAAAAAGAGAAAAAGGGGGAGACTGATGATAAGGACATCGCCATGGATGGTGGCGATGACGAGCAACTTTCTGATAATGTATCGGGCGACGAGGATGATGAGATGGATGAAGACGAAATGGAGGCAGATATGGAGATGGTCACCGGGGTAGACGACCACGACGATGAAATTGAAGGCTTAGACGACTTGCCTACCTTGAAAGAGCTTATCCATAAAGCAATCCCGGAACTGGTTAAATTAATCCAATCCTGCGACGGCAACGACGAGATCTCGAAGTATATTCTCAACCACGCTGTCACTGCTTTAAATAACATCTCTTGGACAGTAAGCTGTCTAGATTTCTCCGACAAATCGAATACAGCGATATCTCGCGCCTGGACACCTGTGGCGCAGAAGATTTGGGAACAGATAATAGCGCCGGTTCTTTCGAACGACACAAGCGACGTACAGCTTGCGACTACCGTGACCAGCCTTGCATGGGCCATTGCAAGAACTCTGCATGGTCAGAAGTTCCTCAGTGGAGATGAACACAAGAAATTTATATCACTCTATCACGCATCCAAAGGCCTGAACGAGAACCACGAAGATCCATTCCAAGGCCTGGGCGTCAAATGCATTGGAGTGTTAGGGCAACTCGCACTTGCGGCACCTGTGGCGTTGAACCGAGAGATAGGCATATTCCTTCTCACAGTCGTCAAAGGACTACCTGAGACTTCAGCTGCAGATGCTGTAGAGGCCTTGAACCAATTATTCGACATATATGGCGACGAAAGTAATGAATGCGATAAGGAGGTCTTCTGGAAGGACAACTTCCTGCAACATCTTGGGGAAGCCGCGCCGAAAGTGAAGGCTATGGTGAAAACAGTCGATAAGAGACAATCGGGCGAATTGCGGGTGCGTGCTGAGGAAGCGAATTTGAATCTTTCTAGATTCATACCGTATAAGCAGAAACGCAAACCCTGAAAAATGAGATACTGCTAAGCTCGGCGGACTTAGATACCTAGATAGTAAAATGTACAGGTCTACGAATTGAGAGTGATTGTTCCTAAAGCCTTTAGTTGTCGATATTTAGGGAGGGGAATGGCGGTGGGGGCTGAGATAGATCCGTGGACAGTCGCTTATCAAGGTCCTTTAAGACGAAGGCTAGGAGGGGTTTCCTCCTCTTCGCTTCGTTTTGCTACGATAGGTCTGCTGTGTGCAGTCATCACATGCCGTGGAGAAAGAACACGCAACCACCACATAATACACTCACCTTAAATACTCTGTCCCCTTTTGGCATGGTACGTTTGGCTGAAGTAGAGGCCAGCCACGGTCCATGTGCCATGTATGTAGAAACGACCATTTCGATCTTAATATCACTAAGGGAGTTAGGCTCATGGAAGCTTCGGTCAATTAATAGAACTCACGTCGTGGCCCATGGCAAGTTCCATCCCTCAACTCCTGAGAAAAACCTGATTCTAGAGCCGTCGAGCGCGCCGTTCCCTGCAAGTAGAAAAAACAACCTTAGCAATTGAGCCAACCAGCCAATCCCGTTCCGCGAAAAACCCAGACACCACGCAGGGCGAACGAAGCCCGCGCGGAGTAAACAGGTTTTCTCTTCTTCGTCGTCTTCGACTTCTTTCTTAACCGATAGGCTTCAGCTTCTTTTTCTTCTTCTTGTCGTCGCCGGACTTGGACTTCTGGAACTGGCGCCAGCTGTCGATGCGCTGGTCGCGGGTGCTCTCCCAGTCCTGCTCGTGCTGGCGCTTGCGCTTGCGGTCCTCGACCTCCTGGTCGGCTCGGCGCTGCTCGCGGCCCTCCTCCTGCATCTGCGCCTTGGCCTGGCGCTTGCGCCGCATCTCGTTGTCGATGAGCACCTCGCGGGTCTTCACCCTCCACTGCTGCGCGAATTCCTCCGTCTTCAGCTCCGGGCTGTCTACCGTCCACTTGTTCTCGCGGATCAGCAGCATGCGCGCGTCTGCGATCGCCTCGTCGAGCCGCTCCCGGTGCTTCTCGTCCATCAGTTCCGTCTGCGCCTTCTTCAGCCTGTCGAAGGCTTCCGGGGCTTGTGGGTTTTTCGTCTTGTCGGGATGGATGAGGAGTGACTTCTTGCGGTACGTCGCCTTGATGTCGGATTCGGGGACGCCGGGGTTCAGGTCTAGAACTGCGTAGCTGTTATGGGAGTTAGATTTCATTCTTGATTTGATAGTAACTCGTAGTGAAGACTTACGCATCTAAGCGGAAGGCCTTCAAGATGCGATCTATTTCGGCATCCTAAAATGAATCATGTTAGTCAATATCAATCTTGCAATGACGATTGGAGGTCAGCTTGCCTTGTCGAACTCCTTTGACTCCGCCTCAAGCGCGTCGAGAGCGTCCTTATCCTCAACAGGATCTTTTGGATCCTTCTCTTTGGAAGCCATATTTGATTTGAAAGTGAGAAAAGAAACAATAACAGTCGACGGCTCAAAATCAAGAGTAGACGGGGTTTAAAAGGTAAGAACGAAGGTGTTAAAGGTCCGAATCCGGGGGTGATGGGGCGAGGAGATAAGAAGTTGCGATAGGTGCTCGTTCAGAGATGTAAACCTGGAAGTGATGACCCATGTACCTGTACGGTACAAGTTTAGCGGGGCTTTAGTTCTTATCGGCCAGTCACGCTAGGCGATAACAGCGGCCAGGGTCCTACGACTCAGAAAAAAAGTTCTGGATGCGCCCCACGAGAACTTCAACTTGAGATCGTATGCAATACATTGAGTTTCAACCAATTTAACAGGGCCTTGGTCTTGGTATTGAAACTGTTTGAATATCTATGTAGGCTTCATATTGCTTTACAAATATATCGCAAACATGCCGTCTCGTGCGGTATCGCCGGCACGATCCGAAAACGAAGTCGACATCTTAGGCTCGCTGTTCACTGATAGCGTTGGTAGGCCAGATGGGAAAAACAAGAAGAATGTAGCGCAAGATGACCTTGGGTTCGATTTTCTAGAGGGTAGCGATGACGACGATGGGGGCGATGAGGCTTTCATTGCCCTCAAACAGGCCGCTTCGTTTCGGAAAACTACCAATCTAAAAGGGAAATCCGTGAAGAAAGGTGGCGGCTTTCAAGCTATGGGTTCGTACAACATGCAGCGAGATGAAGCTCTATTCTACGTCTCAGGTAACTAACAGGACTTTTTATAGGACTCAATGCGAATCTATTAAGAGCGATCACGAGAAAGGGGTTCTCAGTCCCTACCCCCATCCAGCGCAAAGCTATACCATTAATCATGGAGAGGAGAGATGTTGTTGGTATGGCGAGAACAGGTTCCGGAAAGACCGCTGCATTCGTCATCCCTATGATAGAACGCCTGAGAGCTCATAGCGCAACAATTGGATCAAGAGCACTGATTCTTTCTCCATCTCGAGAACTTGCCATCCAGACTCTAAAGGTTGTAAAGGAATTCGGCCGCGGAACAGATTTAAAATGCGTGCTACTCGTTGGAGGTGACAGTTTGGAGGAGCAATTTAGCTCTATGACTTCGAATCCCGACATTGTCATTGCTACGCCCGGTCGATTCCTGCATCTCAAAGTTGAGATGTCTCTCGATCTATCTTCCATCCAATATGTCGTATTCGACGAGGCTGACAGACTTTTCGAGATGGGTTTTGCCGCGCAACTTACTGAGATCTTGCACGCCCTACCTTTATCAAGACAGAGTCTGCTCTTCTCGGCAACTTTACCCGCTTCATTAGTCGAGTTTGCCCGCGCAGGTCTACAAGATCCTAGTCTTGTCCGACTAGATGCTGAGACGAAGATCTCCCCGGACTTACAATCGGCTTTCTTCAGTGTAAAGAGTGCTGAGAAAGAAGGTGCCCTTTTACATATCCTACATGACGTTATTAAGATGCCTATGGGTTTGCCAGAAGGGGTTCAGCCAGAGTCGGACAATATTTCGAAAAAGAGAAAGCGGGGATCAGATGCGCCCAGAGGAAGGGAAAAGCCGACGGAACACTCCACGATCATTTTCACTGCTACAAAACATCACGTCGAATATATACAATCTCTGCTCAACGAAGCGGGATTCGCAGTCTCCTATGTCTACGGTTCTTTAGACCAGACGGCCAGAAAAGACCAAGTCGAAAACTTCAGGCGCGGCCGTTCCAACATTCTAGTTGTGACAGATGTCGCCGCGCGAGGTATCGATATCCCCATTCTTGCCAACGTCATCAACTACGACTTTCCCCCGCAACCGAAAATCTTTGTGCATCGAGTCGGACGTACGGCAAGAGCTGGACAGAGAGGTTGGAGTTACAGTCTAGTCAGAGACACAGATGCGCCATATTTGTTGGATCTTCAGTTATTCCTAGGCAAGAAGCTCGTCCTTGGCAAAGAAGGCAAGGACTCCAGCAACTTTGCAGAGGATATAGCCGTTGGTGCGCCGATACGGAGTAAAGTAGAGTCCAACGTAGAATGGCTCAACAAGGTCTTAGGCGAGAGCGAGGATATTAGTGCCCTCCGCCGAGTAGCGGGGAAGGCCGAGAAGCTGTACCTGAGAACACGCAACTCCGCCTCCAGCCAGAGCGCCCGAAGAGCAAGGGAAATCGTCGCATCGAAAAATTGGATGCAATTACACGCCATCTTCGGCGACCAGCTCGGAGAAGCTGAGGATGCCCGAGCCGAGATGCTAGCCAAGATCAGTGGCTTCAAGCCACAGGAAACAATCTTCGAAATCGGAAGGTCCGCCAAGGCGGGCCGCAACGACGCCGCCGATGTCATGAAGTCGCTTCGCGAGCGCTTTGGCCCTCGAAGAACCGGTAAGGAAGTTGAAGAAGCGGAAGAATCAGACGAGGCTATGGAAGTAGACGGCCCAGAAGCCTTCGATGACGAAGATGAAGCCGCAGCAGTAGACGAGCAAGAAGACAGCCCAGCCGCGGCTGAAGACTCCGACTCCGACCTCGAAGTCACCATATCCAACCACACATCCAGCACACGCCCCAAAGACGCCACCTCATCCTACCAAGACACCGAAGTCTTCATGTCATACACCCCGCGCACAGTCAACGCCGCCGAAGAGCGCGGATACGGCGTCCACTCCGGGTCCAACACACTCCCACAACACACCTCGCGCGCACAAGCCTCATCGAGTTTCGTCGAAGCAGCCCGCGATTTAACCATGGACTTAACCAACGACGAAACAGCCAAGAACTTCGGCGTCCCGACGCGCGCGCGCATGCGCTGGGACAAGAAACAAGCGAAATACGTATCCCGCGACAACGACGACGACGGCTCCCGCGCACAGGCCGGAACGGGCACGGGCAAACGCTTGATCCGCGGAGAAAGCGGAGTCAAGATCGCAGCGAGTTTCCAAAGCGGGCGATTTGACAAATGGAGACGCGCGCAGCGCATGGGTAAACTGCCGCGCGTAGGCGAGTTTGAGAAGAGGCAGTTTGGGGGGAATAACAACGGTGGGCCAGGCGATGCAGGGAATGGGGGTAGGTTCAGACATAAGCAAGAAAAGGCGCCGAAGGAAGCGGATAAATTCCGCGACGACTACCACGTGCGGAAGAAGCGGGTGGCGGAGGCCAAGGAGAAGCGGGTTGGACGGTTTAAGGATGGTGCGGGGAGTAGGAAGGAGATTAAGAACGTGGATGATATCCGCAAGGCGAGGGTTCTTAAGGAGAAAAAGAAGGCGAAGAATGCTAGGCCGTCGAGGAAGTGAAGGTGGTGGTGGTGATGATGGGAGGAAGGAGATATGTAACTACTACGTCAAGATCACTACGATGAGGAATAAACATATCATCAAGTACAGAAGATGAAAGTTTCGATTGTTTCCATCATTTTATAATGCATTGACCTGGAGCGAGGTCGCACTCTAACTTTGCGATGCTCGGCGATGCATTATTTGCCGTTTAATAGTACAAGTTTCACCGACTTGACAACCAGCCTCCTACCAGTTAAGCCTGACCTTTACGTGTCGGGCAAACGACGAGATAGTTTTTAGTCAATGTCAACTCCTCCCAATTGCCTATTTTCCATCGTCCCAGTCCGGATTCTAGTGGCATATTAGTACGAGATGCATTGGAATATATTAATGCTAAGGGTTAATGAGGACTTACCTTGCGAAGAATCACTAGTCCTTCTAGTGTGCTGCTGAGACTGATGTATTGCTCGTCCTCAAGTTCCGCTCGCTCGCCGTATGCTAGAAGCACAGGCGTGCTTTGTGTCTGCCATCCGGTGATCGTCTTGGGTCGACCTGCCTGACCGACCACATCAACGGCTTGACCAACGCGGACATTGACCGTCAAGGGGTTGAGGCCCTCATCTAGCGTAACGAGGAAGCGGGGATGCATGGCGGTGATGAGGAAGTATAGGAGGTAGTGGGAATTGGAAGTCACGAATTGCTTGGCGTCGATCATGGCGACGAGAATGGCGAGCAGACCTGATGTCGCCACTCGTGACAGGATCTGTCGATCTGTGTGGAAGGGGCTAAGAGACATGGTGCCCTTGCCCATGTGTAAGAGACCTTGCGCAATACGAACCATGAACAATGATTCTTGGTCTCTGTGGTAGTAGCTGGCTAATTGTCGAAGAAGCTGTGCTAATCTGGCGTTGTTCGTGCCGGCGCCGAGCAATCCCATGGCAAAGATTGCATTTATCGCGACATCATTGTCATTGTCGTGACTGTACCGGGATAGTGTATCGTAGACCTTCATCTGTGGGTTGCTAGGGCTAATCAAACCCATAGCCAACGGCACGACACGCCGAATGTTGGCCTCGCCATAGTGCATCAGATGACCAAATTGTCTCAGAACCATCTCTTGTCCGACTTCTTCGCCCATCGCAACTAGCGCAATTCCGAGAACCGCATACATTTGCAATAACTCCTCGCCCTTCTTATCATCTGAGTCAGGGTCGATATGCTCGTTGCAGATATGTAGTAGTTCTTGGATCTTCAACACAGCTCCAGTACCAGCCCAGGCACAAACCTCGCAAAGAATGGCAGTTGGCTTGGCCATAGGGTGAGAAACTGCCTTGAGAGTCTCTAGAATAACATCGACTTCTTCTTGGCGACCAAAGAAGAGAAGGCCGAGACCCAAGGCTAAGAATCGAACCCACTTATCAGAAAACTGGTTTCCACGGTCTTCGTCCATAAGAACACTCATGATCTCCTCAGTCGCCAGCGGGTTGGCAGAGCCAACACACGTCATGCCACAAGCCAGAGCGGCCATTGCGGCGGTCTGCATATCGCTATCCGGGTTTGTAACAATGGGTAACAAGTGCTCCAACACCTCTTCCTTATGCGAGCCTGCGTAGGAAAGCCCAAGTCCCATGATGGCAGCTATTCGTATAAGAGGATTCTTATGTTCAAGCTTTTCCGGGTCAGCGAGTAGCGCTATACTAGGGTCGCTGTCCATGCGAACACCTGAGGTCATGATGCCAATAGCGAGCATACTGCCTGCCACAATCAGGGGCTCTCCAGAGTAGGTGTATTTATCGATCTTATCGAGTCCATTTTCAACATCCCACATAAGTAGAGTCCCGAGGGAGGCCACGGTTGATACCATACCTTCATCCTTCGTCTTCCACACCCAGGACTCCTTGTCCTCTTCCACGAGCATCATTTTATCGTTGCCGAAGCCGGCGTTGACGAATCCATTGACGAATGCAGCGGCTAGATTGTGTCGCGCAGAGTCTAGATTCGTCATGCCAGCTACACGGGTGCTCTCCAGATGGCTCTTGTAGATATCTTCCGTGGTCTTAGGTTCGAGAATGTTCAATTCTTTGCCTAGAACCTTGAAGTACTCGGCCAACTTGACGTTTGAAACGGTATCTTCTATGTCCTGCATATCTTCTGGCGAAGCGTGGGTGTTTCTGTGTACGTTAACCCAGCTCTTCTGACGGCCAATCAAGAAACCCATCTGCTTCTTTAGCGCCGGATCCTCTGTAGAGTCGAAGACATTGGTGATGAGGTCGATGTCATTGAGCCTGATAGCGATATTCATAGCCGGGGTCAGTTCCTTATAGGCCATGTAGATCGTATATGCAGTTCGCAGAAATTGATCGTTTTCCGGATAGGTTAGGAGGTTGACCATGCTGACAAGGTATAAGCAGACACGGGAGTAGGTGTTCTCGTCGACGAACTTGGGTAGCTCTTCGATAATCTCGAGCTCGCTCATAAGATCGACAGCATCAGCCTCGGCGTTGCTCTTCAAGAATAAGGGCACGAGGACCAATGCGAGATCTATTAGATCTTTAACGGGTTCCTCCACAGCGACCCGTTTTCCGTAAACCTCGCCAATCTCCAAGGCCAGATGACGCACATATTCATGGCCCCACGATCCTATGTCTTCCGTCGGTGATAGTAAACGGAACTTCAGGGTGTCTTGGCGGTCTTCGTCTGAAAAGGTCATACCTATGACCGATAAGACATCCGCCAACGAGGATTTGTCATCGCCCTCAGGCCACTCTTCGTAGAGTTTTGTCATAGTCGGGTAGTGGGGTCTGAGGAACTTCAAGGGTTTCGGTACTGCAGTCATGGAGGATGTCGAAGTCTTGATGGAATTCTTCATGGCCTCCAAGGCCGGCTTGTAGAGGGATGCATCGGATTCCTGCGAATTACATTAGCGCTTCCAGATGATGTATTAATAGGTCGGAGCACATTTGTCATACTGTTAATCGCTCGACAAACATGTCAAGCTCACTCTTGAGTTGCTGGTCTTCCTCGCTCAACTCCTCCGCAGCTGCATACATGTTAGCATGGGCAAACAAATTCTAGCATCTAATTAGCGGGGAGAAAACACACAACCGATCTTGTCCTCATCTTTCTTGCCGTTAGCTTGAGGCTGGCCATCTGTGTTTTTCTTATCCTCTTCAGCCTTTTTCTCAACTGCCTCGGCCGATCCTCCGTGGGCATCCCCGCCACGTTTAGTTTTCGCCATGGTGGTCGTCGTCGAGGGAGAAGGTGAACGTAGCAGCTAAGACAAAAAGTATAGAATAAGCTCCGAGGCGACGGTTTCTCAGATGAAGAAATTCAGTCGTGGTAGTGTATGTAGACAAGTTAAATATTAATATGATCGGGCAATTTAATGTCCACGGCGGGGGAGAAATGATTGAGTTTGTTTTGGTTTGTTGGTGTGTGTTTTATTTAACGATGGAAATCGGATAAGCTTTCTTAAAGCGAAAGCTGCTTAATCGACAGGTCGGGTCGAAGCTTCCCCAAGGCAAGGCGGAAGGGTTTACTATTAGGTACGCGACTGCTCTGCCGCCTATTGCTTAGTCTTATTTTTAGGTGGTCAGTGCTTTTGACAATGCCACAGCCTTCCGATTTATTGATGTCGAACTAACCAATCAGTATTTCGTACCGACAGTGAATTTTGATCCAATCAGAAGCTGATAAAAAAAGAAACTCGGCCAATAGAAACGGATTCACTAAACCCTTAACTTCTCTGTACATCAGGGTACATACTTGACGAACCTTATCTTATCGACGATAAGATTATCACCCAGATTTTTGTGTAGAACTTGGTGGGGTTATTCTGGTTATTCTACTAATTCGACATCCAACTTCGTTAATAAGTGTGCGACCGACAAACACTATTCTCCCGATTCAGATATCTCGTCTCCCAGTTTAGTCAACATCACCAGCAAGTCAGACTACAACCAGATCCATCATACCACCTCGTAAACAACGAGGAACCCGCCGTCATGAAGCTCGATACGAAAGCCATGCGGCATCTCACAGCCGAGGATTGGCGAGTCCTCACAGCCGTACGGACCTCCCCTATCCCAACTCCAACCCAACTAACAACCAACCCCATAGTGCGAAATCGGCAGCCGCAACCACGAACTAATCCCAACGCCCCTAATCGAATCCCTCTCCAAGCTTCGGGGCGGCGCAAGCCGCGTACACAAATCAATCTCAGCACTCGCCAAAGTCGGGCTCATCGCGCGCGTCAAAGAAGCCAAGTACGACGGATACCGCCTGACCTACGGCGGCGTCGACTACCTCGCGCTGCACACGTACGCCTCGCGCAAGGAGGTGTACAGCGTGGGGAACCGGATCGGGGTGGGCAAGGAGAGCGATATCCTAGTAGTAGCGGACGAGACGGGGTCGCAGCGGGTCCTGAAGATCCACCGACTGGGTCGGATCTCCTTCCGCACCGTGAAGTCCAACCGGGACTACCTGCGCAAGCGGCAGGGCGGCAGTTGGATGTACCTTTCACGACTAGCTGCCGAGAAGGAGTACGCATTCATGTGCGCGCTGCGGGAGGAAGGGTTTCCCGTTCCGAAGCCGTTGTCGCAGAGCCGGCACACCGTGCTCATGGAGCTCATCGACGCCTTCCCCCTCCGCCAAGTCTCGCAGATCCCGGACCCCGCCGCCCTATACGCCGAGTTAATATCCCTAATCCTACGCCTAGCGCGGCACGGGTTGATTCACGGTGACTTCAACGAATTCAACATCCTAATCAAGGAGGAATCAGAAAAGCCGGAACCCTCCGCCAAGGGCAAGGAAGTAGAGAAGGGGCCAGCGGAGGAGCAGCAAGAGAAGGAAAAGTCCACTGTGATACCTATCTTAATCGATTTTCCCCAGATGGTATCCATGGACCACCAGAATGCCGAAATGTACTTTGATCGCGACGTCAACTGTGTCAAGAGGTTCTTCGAGCGGCGCTTCCACTTCGTCGGCACACAGCCAGGGCCGTTCTTTAAAGATGCCAAGAAGACGGTAGGAAAAGACGGGGCCAAGAGGCTCGATGCTGCGGTCGAGGCATCAGGCTTTTCAAAGAAGGCACTTAAGGACTTAGAGGCCGCCATCAGGGAACAACAAGCGACGAGGGAACAGGCCGGTTCGGGAGGAGAATACGACGCTTCATCAACGAGTGAAGACGAGAATGAAGATGAAGACGAAGACGAAAACGACGATGAAGATACAGAAGCAGACGAGTCGAATACTGTGGGTGATGATCAAGGAGCCAACGCCTCTATAATAGGCTTGAGTAAACTTTCAATTGGAAATGAGACGTGATCACCGAATAGCCACTTAAGATGAGCTCAATTGATACCCCATTCACACAATGCCGTATTTCATAAATAACGATGTGCATAGGTGTCAACCGCATGCTCTATCATGCTGCCACACGTGTTCACTAATCCTACCTACGATCACAAACAGAAAATTACTGTAAAAACATTTTAGACACCATGATCTCATATTGATGTCTCCCTAACTAACTGCATTCGCCAATTCTCTGCTGTGGGATGGAAGATTAATGACGTATGGGTAAAAATGAGAAGGTAAAACTTGCCACAACCTGCCGTTGATACACTTTTCCTTGTATCGTACACTATTAAGCGTTCTGATGATCGGGTGCGACATACCAACTCGACTTTAGAAGTCAGAAAAAAGAAAGGGGATAGAAGAAAACTGGATCTCAAAACAAACAACAACGGAAACAAACTCAGATCGTCCCATCCGGACACCATATCATACCACCCATAAAACCACTACGGCAACGATGTCCTATCGGCAAGACACCTGCCACAAAAATAAGAGAAGGAGTACAAAAGTACACCAGTACAAGGTGGTCAACAATACTGAGAAGACCACCATTACTCCTTCTCTTGCTTCACAGGGGATGATTGGTTACTACCGTGTGCGACCAGCGGGGACTCGACTCGAATTTCGACGTCTTCGCCGGTCCTAGCACGATATTAGTTCTTCAATGACGTTTGCGGTGGTGACGTCCACGGCGATCATACCGGCGAGTTGTATCAACCATACCGGTCCAAGTACCACTGCCATGAGGACGACGACCCTGAGTACCTTCCTGCTGCTGAGCGCCACCCTGCTGTTGGGAGCCATTCTGCTGCTGAGGGCCGTTCTGCTGAGCAGCCAGCATTGCTCGTTGAGAATTGCCTCTAGAGATACAACGTTAGCCAATTTATGAAGGAACACCGTGCGAAGCCGGAAACTTACCCTTGGCCACCTCCAGCACCACCATTGTGACGATAAGGAGGTCCATGAGAAGGGCCTGCTCCCACAAGAGTCGTGCCGTAAGCGCTGACATTATACTCGTTGGTACGCCACTGACGGCGCTTAGCCGTAACTCGCTTGAGCTCCTTCTGTCGCTGCGAATCCGCATAGCGAATCTGTAGCGGGAGGTTCTCACGACCGAGAAGCATGCCCTGGAAATGCTTAATAATACTGTCACAGACTTCGCGAGATTCAAATCTAAGAGCAAAGTTAGATATTTAAATCGTTAAATATTTTTCAAACTTAATCTTACCGAGCGAAACCGACACCTCGGCTGACGTGCGTAACCTGGTCCTCCAGGACCTTGCTGGATAGGACCAAAAAGTTCTGGAAGAGAGTATTGATCTCCTACGGGGGCTGTTAGATGACAAGTCTTGCAAAGAATAATGGGCACCTTACAAGTTCTCTCCAGCCTCTGGGAAGGTTAGACAAATACAAGTTCGTGGTGTCAGGATCGCCCTCTTGGCGAAGTCGGGAGTTGAACGACTCCTAATATCTGTTAGCCTTTGATCGATAGGTGCAAGTCGTCGCCCAGCTATAAGCGGGAAGTACTAACTCTTGCAAAGCCGACTTCGTAGCCTCGACGATAGAAGCCGCGAATACAATTCTCTGAATCGCGAACATCATAGAACTTGGCAAAACCGAAGCTAGATCTTGTGTTAATTAACGCTTCTAATATTATTATGAATTGCTTACCCCTTGCAAGCTCCAGTGCTAGCATCAATAATAGCCTTAGACGTCTCTACCTTGCCAAAGCGTTCCGCATACTTCAAAAGAAGCGTGTCATCCGTGGTGGGGTGGAAACCGCGGATGTAGACGTTGCGGTTTCCGGGCAGGGGGTTAACAAGGCTCTGTTCGAGAGTCTTCATATTCTCTGCCGGAGTAAAGACAGCCGGAATGGCGAAAGGAATGCTAGGCTCTCGATCGAGGAGAGGGGACTTGGGCTCCTGAAGAGCCTCGGCAGCCACAATCTGGTGAGGCGAAGGGGTCGTGTACGTAGAACGATCAAAGACCGTGACACGAGGACCCTGGTCCCGAGAGGCCATACTTCCGAGGAAAGGCGTGGCCGGGGTAGACTCATTAGTAGAGTACGACGAACGTCGAATGTCTAGACCCGGAACATCTCGAGAACTAGTCTCAGTACGCTCGTGGCTCATGCCAGTGCGCGATGGCGTGTACGGAAAATACATGTGGGCTGGGTTAGCATAACCAGGCTGAACGATGTATGGAGTACCACCTGCGTAACCCTCGGGCTGAGCTGGCGCATAACCAAGAGTTGGAATGCCGTAAGTGGGGACACCAGAAGCCATCGAGGGGGAAATGGCGACTTGAATGATACGACCATCCTGAGTGGTCATGGGCATCATTCCCGGGATGTGGGGAATTCCGTTAATACCAAGACCGCCAAACTGGTTCATCATGGCGTTCATATTGGCTTCGGCGACAGCGTGGCTCTGGATACCATTGTCGTTGGCGCCATCGTGGGCAACCTGGGCCGAAGCCTGGTAGCCATCATGAGCCTCTTCATTGTCACGAGTTGCAACGAGAGCCCGAAACTCGGCTCTCTCTGCATCCGTAAGCTCGGAGATACGTACTGGCATATGACCGTTAAACGGTGAATGCTCGTTGTCACTAGGACCAGGCATTGTGATGGATTTAGAATAAGTCAATAGACTGCTGTAGAAGTGTATGGTGTCAGTAAATTTTGCACGATATTAGTTAACGACAATCCATGATAATGAAGAGTAGACAAGATAAATAAAGGGAAAACACGAGCATTATAAGGAAGTTTGATGGCACTGATAATTGTTTTAGGAAGAGCGTGGAAGATTGAATGATATTGAAAGAATCGTTCTGGCTGGTCTAGGATTTATACGAAATGATGGGTCTGCTAGTGTTGGGTGCGTATAGAAATCCATGACTTGTTGGTAATAAGTGTACTAGGAAGTCGTCGATGGGTTTGTGAACGAGGGAGGGAGTACAGACCTCGTACAAAGCGTTGTATTGGTCGAGACTGGTAGCAGGACGTGGAAGATACCTGTCAAAAGACGAGTTAGCTTTGGTTTGAAAGAGATGATGTAAGTGGAAAAGGGGGAAACTCGCACGTTGCTAAGCTAATCAGTTATTAGACGGCCAGGACAAGGAAAACGAGTAAGAGATAGACGAAGAGAAATTACACGAAAGGGAAGCATTAACGATGTGATTAAACCAGTGTTTTAAAAAGGTAAAAAATAATTAAGACGGTGTTGGGGATTGGTTAGAGATAGGGGTATAGGGTTGTATGTTAGTATGATAATGTTCATGTAGTGATCATGGGTATGCCTCGAGGGAACCATGTTGTGCCTTGACTGGTCTTGTGGCTTGGGGTGCGTAGAAAAAAGCCAAAAAAGTGAATGTGTATAGTAGTCAAAGGTGTTTACCAAGAATAAGAACGAACACTCAACCAACCTTGGAAATTCTGGCTGGTAATGCCAATGCTAGAACCAAGACGATTGGGATGAAGCGAGTGGGAACGAGTAAGATAGAGTAGCTAGAGAGCAAGATTGAAAACGAAGAGATCGTGAGTTGGATGAGTTGATGCTATGCTGGAGAACCAAGTGTAAGGGTAGTGTGAAAAGGAAACGAAAGACTGAAGAGAGTGAAGAAGAAGAAAAGGGAGATATCATGGGTGGAGAAATAATGGAAAGGTATTACATAAAAAAGATCGTACTTACCTGCGTCGAAGGTCGATGCTAGGTCGATGCTTACTTGAAGAATAGTTGGAAAGCGTGTAGGAGTTTCCTGGTTGTTTTTGGGTAGTCGCAAAATTGTCCAAGACGGAAGGCGTCAGTGAAGGCGTTTGGATGCAATTGCCTTAGAAAGTTGAAGACGTAATAGTGCGAAGGTGACTTGACGGTCGATGGATAGGACAACTAAAGATGCTTGTCCTAAGATGCTTGCCCAAGTATGCTTAGTATCAGAAGATAAGTGAAAGTGTGAAAGATCGGAAGGTGTAAGTTGCAGAGAACAATTATGATCCTGTTGGGATCCGGGGACGGAAGTGTGACAAAATTGATGGAAAGAATAGAAAGACAGGAAGATTTACGAGAATAAAAGATTTCCAAGTATCCGTAGCTAATCAGTAGAAGTAGTAGGATGGTGGGTGACGACTCCTACGCAGATTGTCCAAAATCGTACTTCAAAAAATATATTCAACATTGTCGTCGGTACAAAGATACTTGTGAGATACGTACCAAATCCACAAGTACAAATACGTGTGGATATGTGTGGATTTATATGCAAACTTAAGTACCTTTTTGTATAACATTAGAAGTTCTTCATCGTCATCATGAAAATACATACATAATACCTACCTATGTACTCGTTGACTACAGGGCATTAAGTTAATACACGAATCAACCATATTCATAATTAATCGTCCCTTTTATCAGTCTCATCGCTGAGCGATGCTAATACCTGTGATCTGCACGAAAATTAACAGTTGATATACATCTACAAAGGTACCTCTGCGTTAGTTAGCATTTTTACAGAGTTCGTAGATATTTCCGTATTCTCCCTAGACATCGTACTATACAATATTCTCCTTATATTAGGCTTATTAATAGATGCACAGGACTTAATTATACTGAAAGCAACGACTTTTAAATATAGCCATCTTTTTACTAGCAATATGACGAAAGGGGGAAATATAGGGGTATGCAATTATTGAGCTACACATTCTTGGGGTAAAAAAAGAAGACATAGAGAACGAAACTTTGGTTTAAAACGACGTGAAATCTTAGTATTAGACCATCGGTGTGCTAAGCTCGTATAATATTAAAAACAATCAATGCCGTGCAGATGTTATGTTATGGCATTGGAGCCCCTGGATAGACGATTGTACTTCGTAAGTTAAGTTTGATCCTATATTCAGCTAGATTCGCCCTTTCTCGGAATAAGTCCAAGTCACTCATGAGGCCAATGAACAAGTATCTCCTTCGAAACGACGCCCTCTAGGATAGTGGAACATGTTTTGATACCTAGGTAGGTACTTACAGGTCGAATTGACATCATGTTTAAACAACTTACATGTTCCTATCGCGGACGTTTAGGCAATCATACCACAAATGCTTCAGAATGTCCAACTTAGGGAGCCTGTTGAAAATTTAAATGACCGTGGCTGTATCTCGCCCTCGCTTACCTACTCAACGTTCAACCGAACCTCAAGCAAGCCTATGCCCATTGGGTTTCTGCACATATTCACAATCTCCAGGTGCTGGTCTGCTTCTTTGATTATCTTCTCGAAATCTTCCTTGCTCCTCTCCTTGGCGCCATGCAGCACCATCATACAGAGGTCGATCTGTCTCAAGTGATGCTCTTGAAACCTGGTGGTCGTGCCGCTCTCGGGTAAGATTATATCGCTGATGAGCAACGGAGTACCGCGGCCGCATCGCTTCAGAGCCGGAACGACCGCCCGAACTATTTTGACCGCATCCTTATCGTTGTAGTTGTGAAGGCACTGACGTATGATGAAAGCGGATGCGTCGTGAACGGGCTGCGGGTTGAAGAAGTCGTGCTGCTGAAAAGTGACACGGTCGCCAACATCTTGATGCGCCTGAGAAAGCATATGGGGTGAGATGTCTTGAACGATGAATTGAAGTGAGGGGAACATCTGCAGTTATCTCGTCGGCATAACAAGGACATCACCATGTCACTGTAACATATCTACTCACGCGTGCGAGTTCGACAGAAGTGTGTCCATTCCCACCACCGATGTCAACAACTTTTCCGGTCTTCAAGGATTCCCATGGAAAGCCATCGTATAGCTCATCGATGTGCCGATTTACTAGGTAGCAATAACTTAGAGTCGCCTTATGAACTGAGTAGAAAAGTGATTGACTTACGTCGAGACCAGCTGCCCATAGCCTTGGCAAACCTCTGTGCCTTTCCTGGCCTCTGTTCATAGTATTGGTACATTGAGGTACCATATCTCTGATGAAAGACTGACCGCGATATATCCAAGTCAAACGGTGAACTGGAAATCATGGCTGATGCCTCGCACGCAACTTTGAACATGTCATCCATCTGCATATCAGCTGCGGCATAGAACTCAGGGTTTCGAGAAAGAAACGCTGAGTTAGCTGTATGCATAAAGCTCCCAGGCTCATCCTCGACTTCTTTAAAGATGCGATGTGTCGCTAGCATTTTCAGGATCCGGCCTGTACGACCTTCGTCCATGCCTGTTTTCTGCGCAATCTCAGCTTCGCTCGACTTCATGATGCTCGTCGATGAAGAGGCCTTGGGCAGAGGAACATGGTTGAAAAATCCACGGTCAAGGGCAACTTGCAGAGCTGCGAGGTCATAGTGTGAGAAGATGAGCTCCTTCAGCGTGTTCTTCGGTCCGTTGACTAGACGAAATATGTCATGCAACGCATCATTCAAAGGTGCGCGAAGGGCTTCATATTCAGGAGTCTCTGGGACATCCCCTTCATCTGCCGTAAAACTTGGTTCAGGAAACGAATTGGCAATCAGATAAAAGCAGATCTGTGAAGACAAAGATAGGATTCGTTTGGCAACTGTGATAATCGAGATATCTTCCTGCTGAATCGATATGGGGGCCATTGTCAAGCAAATTGTCTACTAAGCGGTAACAGGGTACATAGACATAATACAAGGATAGGGGGGAATGCATCCGGAACTCGCTGTTCCATGTTGGAAATGGAATATATCTACCTACATTATCTAGGTGATAGGTACACTACCGGGTGGGTATCTATAGCCATTAGGGGTAAGCATCATGCTGTTAATACGGCAATAATACTACACGTAGTAGTTCCAAGGTTCCCTATTCTGTTGGTCCTTGGAAAGGCTGTTGGTAGGAGATTAGGAGTATTCTGTACAGAAAGAAAATACGAAGTAGTGATCACGCTTCAGCCCTGTTGAGATGGGTGTCTGCTGACATAATATAATGGCCCCCACTTGCCCCGCTCGGGAGTGTATGACAGTGGGGGTTTATTGGGTCCACAAGCTTTAATTTGCTTATTAGCAGGGATGGTGTGGGTCGGCAGAAGTACTGCCAGCCGTCGGATTTAGTACCTACAAGCACAAGCACTCACAGAAAATACTCAACTACCTTTCGCTCTCACAATAATACTCATATTTAGAGGCAGTAACAAAAATCGGAAAAAGAAATCGAACAATGCCATTCCCATCCCTATCTGGATTGTGTACCTCCCGTCTCATCTCCACCATTAGGAACTATCTTACAGCCACCTTTTTACATATCGCTTTTGTTACAATCTTGGTTGGATCGACGATGAGCTGGCGATTTGAAATAGTTGTCTAATCGCACGATTCTTCACTTGTCCTTTGAATCGTCGTAACAGCCTGTTACAGAGTCAGTCATCTCATACGATTTTCCCGATGGAGTGAGGCTGGGTTTGTATATAGAGGGTATGGAATGTAGGTTCTCTGAGGAGTGCCAACTAACCAGTCGTTATTCGATAGGGCAGCTGGCCCATCTCCAACCCTTCGCTTAGCTCTGCTATAGTCTTCTTGAGTATGTCAATGACGAACTCTCTACTATAGTAGCTATCGTCCCAGGCCGCTAAGAGTGTGAACTCTCCACACCAGCTGTATGGATTGAATATTATCATCGGCGTTGCGCAGTCGCAGCTAACCCAGAAATCCGTGACGTACAGTTTTGGTGCATCGGTCGCACCGTCACTACTGCCACAATATTCCTTCTTTATCAATGCGTCCATCTTTCCAAAGCTGCTGATCACCGGTGTTCTGGGGAATGGGCATCCCGGCGAGGGAAACATGGAGAAAAGCTCCGTCATCTTTTCGATGTACGGCTCGGTCAGCTGCAAAAGACTTAGTGTTTTTGCGCCTGCTTCGCCAGGCCTTTTATAACGTGTGATGTCCTGAGAGTAGATAGCTCTCAATTCATGTGCCAGTTCACCGAAACTTTTGCTCGGCATGCTGTCACCATTCTCTAATTGTTTAGCTACTCCGTCGATACGTAGCGGCATTCCCGAGACATAATTACCGGCTGGCTGCGAGCACCCTTGAGCCCCAGCTGCTATCAGCGCTCCCCGGAGATCGACCGGTGCGAAGAAAACGTATGAGTCCGCTCCTGGATCTTGGGGGAACCGTGCTGTGGTGCGAATGACGGCCGCATTTAGAGCGCTGGTGACGGAAACTCCTTGTGCACGACAGGCGTTGACAAGGTTTGCCGTGTTCTCTGCATCAATACGCAGAGCTGCGCGTCCACATACGCTAGGCGCTGCTGTGTCGGCACCTGGTCGGGTAGGGAAACCAATACTTCGTCCACCATCTACAAAGATCTTCGCCAGCTCATCAGCGTCCGATGCCTCACCCTGCGGGCCTCGTACATACATTTGGACCAGATCTTCAAGAGTCGAGGGGACAGTTAGTGGCGGTTCGGTCAAATCGTTGTCCAGATGAACATCAAGCCCAGTTTGCAGTTTATTTGCCAGCGTGGATAAGAAGGCCTCGGCTAGTAGGACTAGCCCGAAACCGTCAGTACGCCAATGCGAAGTTCGTATAACTATCTGTCCTGGGTCTGGGAGCCAGTGACATGTAGCGGTACTCCTTCTTGGGGACGGGGCGGAGAATAGTACGTCGACGTTAGGGCAGTCTGGGTGCGCCGAAAACGAGGTGCGAAAGTTAGACTCGTTCCATGATTTTAGGGTAATCATTGGCTGTTTATGACTGTCGGACTTGTTGGGGGGAGAGGCTTCAGCGCGTAAAACTGGAAACTGCCGTCCGACTTCCTCCCAAGCACTCGCGATATATTCCTCCATGTTCGTCAAGGTTGGCGGGAAACGAACTTGGACGATCGTAAAGAATGCGGTGTGTTCGCGGTTAGTCGAACCCCTAACCTCGCTAATACTTTCGGTCATTTTCTCGAGGGCACCCAAGGGACGAGAGAAGGATCCAGACTGTTTTGGCAGTGTACCTTTGGTCGTTATATGGGAAGGACGTATCGATTCCCTATTGTTGGGATGGGGCTCTACTTGACGCACCGTAGAAACGGCTCTAAACTGCTTAGGCATTGTATGGAATATGCGTTTCAGCAACGGGGTCTTGTGGGGAATGAGGCGGGAAACCAGCATCGTGGGAGTCATTGTGAGTGACGAGTGAAGACTTCAAACTTATGACAGCAACCAACATTCACGTGATGAAGAAGTCCTCAGCAGAAACTCAGAATAGGATTCTAACATTGCTTTCGACCCTGGTTTGATTGATATAGTGGGCCGAAAGCAGTGCCAATACTAAATAGTTTCTCTAGGCCTACCATACACCAAATTGATACACCTATTCCATCACAAATTTAAGAAAATTAGGTCCGAGAGGGATCAAAATCCTTCCCCCGTAAACTTCATCGCCCGCGAACCGTCTGACCTCCGCTGTTAACGTCTGGCAAGTTGGTTGGTTGATATTTTAAGTTCGGGATAAGAATGGCCTTTTCTCTCTGGTACCTATGTTTTCAGGGGCTTATGGTGTACCAAGATATCAGCTACGGAGATCTATATATTATTAGGCCTTACGATCCTATGATGACAGTGACTCTATCGTATAGATTAGGCCGATAAGTCAGCTGAAACCCTCAGCTGTTCTCTATGTTCCGTTGCCCCGGCGCAGCTTTCTAGCCTTACCTGTGTCGTTCTAAGAGAGGCTAAGATAGGATAAAGGCCAATCATAACGCAGCAGCTCTCGCAATGAGGGTGGCTTTGATTTTATCACCTTGTTGGAAAAAGGACATCGTAGTGGTGGTATGGTAGGACTTCTAGAGTCGTGGGGGTATAGCTGTGATGGTTACACCATATTTATAACTGGATAGATCTCCGTTCGCACATGTAGCCCCCAAGTTTTAAGGCTGGATATGTCTTGGTTTTGCTGTGTCTGACCCATCCAGTATTTCCGTCCAATGGTAAATAGGTATCTACACAAAGGCAATCCAAGTTAGTGTCATGTGTAAGAAGTTAGGTTTGTGCAAGAGAGCTATCCTGGTCTGAGTACTTAATGGCTGTGGTGGTGGATAGGCCGTATTGTCTACCTAGGTACCTACCTAAGGAGTATAGGTGTTAGCCAGAATATATCTATATTTATAGCTACAGGGTCACTCTCCCCCCGTATCTTCGCATTCATACCTACAGACAAACCAAATAGATTACCCTAGTATATCCCAGCCTGGTATGGACCAATACGTCAAAACTACGTTTGTTGTAACATCGTTTATAGGATGGGTTCTATGTGTAGCTATCTGGCGCGCCTATCTCAGCCCTTTAGCGCACATCCCTGGGCCACGCCTAGCGGCACTCACATATCTGTAAGTATATAGCTATTTTTTAGTTGAAATAACGACTAACTTCGAGTTCTTGTAGGTACGAAGCCTACCATGATGTGTGGCTCGGCGGGCAATATACTTTCAAAATCATGGAGTTGCATAAGAAGTATGGGCCGATTGTCCGGATCTCACCAGGGGAACTCCATATTGCAGATCCAGTAGGTCATACGCGTTGTCAGTCAGGTTGTCGGGAATAACTTAGATTAGGTAGGATTTCTACGACACCATCTACGCAAGTTCTGCTGCTCCGCGACGGTCTGATAAGGACCCCAGTTACACAAGGTTCATAGGACTCGACCTAAGTGTCTTTTCCACGATTCATCATGAACTCCATCGCCAGCGTCGCTCCGCTCTTCAGCCGTATTTCAGTATGGTGAATGTGAGAAAACTGCAACCAGTTATACAGGAGAGGCTTGGCGTCATGATGAAGCGAATGAACGAGCTCAGGGATACGGGCGAGATACTGAACGCAAGTTGCATGTTCTCGGCCTTGGGAAATGGTAATACTCCACGATAATTAAATTGAATAGGGGCTGACAAAATGGTAACAAGATGTCGTAAATATTTATTCGTTCGCGCGCTGCGACCATAGGCTTGGTGAGGCTCCATTGAAACTTCTCGCTTGGGTACTTATTGACTTTTAGAATCCCCTGGCTTCGACCCCTCGTCACGAGAAGCTTCTCTTTCAGGTATCAGCTCCATCCATTTCATGAAGCATATTTCATGGATCAATGACGTGATGAAAACACTGCCCGAGGCCACTGTGGAGAGGTTATTGCCAATGCTAGCGTCGTTCCTCAAACAAAAACAGACATCTAGAAAGCAGATTGAGAAGATCATAGCTGGTGAAAATGATGAATGGAGAGGAAAAGACCATCCGACCATATTCCATGCCATACTAGACTCAAAACTTCCACCTCATGAAAAGACGGTGGATCGGTTGTCCGACGATGCTCAAGTCATAGTTATGGCTGGTACACTTACTACAGCATCAGCCTTGGAGCTGATAACGTTCTGGCTCCTAAGCCAACCGAAGACTCTGCAGAAGCTGAAGGAAGAATTGCGTACTGCAATGCCCACGGCCGATGACGTAGGCAAAGTACCACTCGCTACGCTGGAGAGCCTGCCTTATCTGACAGCAGTCATCAAAGAAGGCTTGCGGTTAAGCTACGGTCTATCAGCACGCTCACAACGTATTGATCCCGACAACTCCATAGTATTTACGGACAATGTGACAGGGAAAGTATGGGTGATACCACCCAAGACGCCGGTGAGCATAACCAACGTACAAGTCCACCACGACGAGAATATTTTCCCCCGCAGCAAAAGTTTCATTGCCGAACGATGGCTCGGCGAGGCTGGGAAGAAACTAGAGAGGCACCTCACCAGTTTTGGCAGAGGCAGCCGCAGTTGCTTGGGTGTCAATCTTGCATACGGTGAGTTATATTTGACACTGTCATATATTTGGAGGCTTTGGGGCAGCAAAGATGCGGCACTCAGCGACGACGTCGGCGTGCTTAGCCTGTTTCAGACAGGTTTGCGTGATGTCGAGATAGAGGCGGATCATTTTATTCCCACGCCACAGAAGGGCTCCCAGGGTATTCGGGTGAAGGTTTATGGAGTGTGATATGTCAGACGGGAGTCATTACTCCCTGCCCACCGGATAGCTGATAGCTCGGTGCGTTGGTGATCTATATGTGTGGGGTAGATTAAGCGCGTCAAAAAAAAGCGAGGATACGATCCATTACCAACGCGGCGGTCCGATTCTAGATCAGTACGTTATAATATACCGCGACCTATACCTGTAAGCTTACTCCTGCATACTGCTTACCATGTGGTACGAGATATTGTGTGTTCCAGGCCTTATTACTCGTCTCATAAATGCATCGAGACGATCCATGGATACCTATCTTGAGGTGGTTAGACGCAGCGAGTAGATAATCACATCGGCGGCTGTCTTTAGTCCTTAGGATCGACGGCTGATGAGGTAGGTACTATTCGGAACTGAGACATCACTAGGCTCGTCTGTCTGTCCGTATCCCTAAACCACGTAAGCTCGAATCTTGACGCCATATTAGGACTAAGGCGTCGATGACAAAGCCTAATTTCTAACAGTGTATATAGAAGAATAGGATGGTTCGCATCTTTGTGATAGACTTGAGGGACATTGTGTGTGGAGCATGATGCCAGTCCATCGGCGTAAGGCTGGTTCATCTGGGTCGCAATCCATGTCTTCGGGAATCGATCGATACTTAGACCCAAAGATGATGTTTATGAAGCCATTGCCTTATGGACTAGGCAGACTAGGCAGCTAGAGTAGCAGGGTAGTACAATGCCAACCAGCCTACCAGTTTTATTAGCGAAACCTTACCTGGCATAAAAAGAGCTCATATGTACTTCGTACGCTACTTACACCCCCTTGCCAATTATACCTAGTTCGTACCTACCTCCTAGTATTGATTTTGTTGGCTGCTTCAATAGTACTTATTAGGTGGCTTCCTGTTGTGTTACCTAAATTGCTTTTAACAACATTGATCCCGGCAATATGCTGTACTCATGCAGTCATCACACCTCTAGTTCTGACAATCGGTCTTCTTGTTGTCCGACAGCTCGACTTGTCGCTCTGGCTGCCACTTCTTCGCGGCGAGCATGCTCTTGGTTATTCCCTTGATGATCTAGTTAGATGTCAAACAGATTTTCGTTCAGAACTTGACCTGTATCGATGACTTCTCGGATTTTTAGCATACCAATTCCAGCTATAAAATCCGAGATAATGCAGCATTGGTTTATATGTTCCGTTAAGCTAATTCAATGAATGCTTGACCCTTATTGAGAGAGCGTCTACCACGAACTAACCCCTTTAATCCATTGCAGCTGGGAGAGAAAAAAAATAGAAAAAAAGGGAGCATGTTCTTGAAAGGGAACTCTATGTTATATGTCGGTTGGTTTCTAGGGAGCGGGTATTATGAAGTCAAACGAACCGGGCGTCAGTCCTGTTGCTGGTATAGGTAATACTAGGTACCCAAGTCTCAGAGAGCTTCTTATACCTCACCCTGTGAACTCTTCGGCCCAGTCGTAATGGAGGCTTTACTCTTCGCGGATCTCAACTTCACAAGATGCACCTCATTACCGTGCTCATCGATATGTTGGTAGATATTGGACTTCGAACCCACGCTCCCGGTCGCGAATGAACCGCTACGATTAGACCTAAGAAGCCGGTCTATCGAGCTGGTAGCTTGCTTAGCCAGGTGGGTTGTCGGCTTTGGCACAGTCGGTGCCGTGAAGACAAGAATCGCTGCTGTCATTTCAACGAGACAAAAGACGCCAGCTTGTGAGAAATTGTAGGCAACATCGTCCGATTCGGCATATATATACCCCAAAACTGTTCGAGTAATGGCTGCCGCGACCGATCTATATACCTCCCATTAGCCAAGGAGTACGGATATCTGGCTTTTAAGATAGGACTTACATAACACCCACGGCAAAGACGAGGGAGACGCCGATCCTCTTGTTGCTTGACATCTGAAGTCTCCAGATGATTCCCTGTGGTAACAGTAGGATGAACAGGTCTATAATAGCGTTGATAGTGCCTGTGACAATTGGGAGCTTTATGGTGTTGATACAGGTGCCTCCTTCGATCGTCTTGTCCCACCAGTATGCACGGGGTCTGCAGGACCCAGCATCGATCATTATGGCGATAAAATACATGAGGACGTTGATCGTCCCCAGAATGTAGCATGTCCATTTGAAAGCAGTGCGCGGCCCAGCTAATATGAATATGTGAATCCATTCAAGCAGAATGAGTGGCTTGATTGTCATCATTACGGTCTCGTAGAACATAAGCCCGTAAAAGCCATTCTATATATCACGTTGTCAATGAGCCGGCTCACTCGAATGAGGATACAGAATACAGGAAATCACTAACTTCATAAAATGGAGCTAGGTCCCTAACGCGAAAATTCCATGTGTGGACAAAATTTCCCGTCGTACCGTTCATTTTAATCCAGTATACACAATGTGCAATGAATATTCCCTAATAGCGGCGTTATCATATTAGTTACTAGCTAGCTAGTCGGGAACTTAAAGGCATACAAACGTCGGCACTAGGAGATCTATGGAAATGTTAGCCTCTAACCATGATGTGGACGGAGGGGGAACATCTTACAGTCCTCGATTCGTGAAGCTTTCAGGAAGACGAACTTGGCGTATAGGCGCATAGCGACGAAGGCAGTGACAATTATAATACACACCGTATAAACTGCGACGACCACATCGTTTTTATTTGGTGGGTTGTTAAGGTCCTGCACCTCTCCTGGGGGAGGGTCCATAGCTGGGAGGTCGAGGGGATTATCAGCCATCTTGTCATTGATCGATGTGGATATGAAGGTGACGGTGGTGATGCCTTCTTTCCATCGCAATAGCTAAGGAGAAAGCCGTAGAGGTAGAACGATGGAAGATATCTCCCGCGAGTCTAGCGACATCCATACGCTGAATGGCTACCCATTCACCTACTCCCCTTCACCTCTTCAGCTCCCTTCACCCCCCTCTCCACGTGTGAGTGTTACACGGGCGCCACATAAGGTGATCACCACCAATCAGTCGAGGACGACAATGCCAAGACTCACGTCCAAATGTGAGCACTGAATCCTATTCGCGGCGTGGGATAAGCAGTAAGCCAACTTACATATCGCCTGAGTTTCTGCTGCAGGCTGGACTCATTTACGCAATCCATTATTAGGACAACCGGCTTTCGCGTCCGTAGCAAGGGGGTGATGAGATGCGGGTGACGTTGAATTGTCCATGCACGATGTTCTCAAATTTTTAAAATTAAAGGAAAGGCAATAATAACTTGTAAAGTCCTAGGTACCTCCTACCTAATATTAAGTGTGATTATCACTTTTTTCAAGTAACACAAATACAAACAAACCACAAGGCAAGAGCTACCCCGCGCAGCCCGGACCCGGAACGGCTGATATATTTCGGGTTTCCCTCCGCTCAAAAGAATACTAAGTAAGTAAGAAGTAAGCATACCTAATCAACACTTGATAAAATATCACTGCGTATCTATCTCAACTTTCATCATATCACAATGACTGCTCCTTACGAACTTATCTATTATACAGGCGTTCCGGGCCGTGGTGAACATGTCCGGTTGATCCTTGAGGAAGCCGGTGCTCCTTACCAAGACACTCAATTTCTGACTTTTGATGAAGCCCGTCAGCGCGTCACGACCTGGCTTGCTGGTGGCGGCCATGGAAACCCGCGTTACTTCGCACCACCTCTCTTCAAGCATGGAGACCTTGTCATCTCCCAGACTCCCAATATCCTTCTGTACCTTGGCCCTAAGCTCGGGCTTGCTGGCTCTCAAGATGATGATCTCTACCGAGTGAATGCCCTTGCTCTCACCGCACTCGATGGCTTAAGCAACGAGGTGCACGACTCCCACCACCCCATCGCCGTCATGCTACCTTGGGAAGACCAGAAAGAGGAAAGTAAAAGACGTAGTAAGGAATGGGTCCAGAATCGCCTACCTTCTCACCTCTCGTACTGGCAGAAGGTGTTAGAGAACGAGGAGCGGGGCCCGGGGCCATGGCTATTAGGGAACACATTCACCTACGCCGATTTGGTCCTATTCCAGGTATGTTCTCTCTATCCTCATGCCTGTTGTATTCTTGAGATTCCCCCTTGATTGATCACCTAGTATAGTGTCTTGATGGTACGCACTACGCTTTCCCCAAGGCAATGAAGCAGGCCAGAGAGACTGGGAAATACGATAGGGTATTCAAGCTATGGGAAGACGTCAAGGCTCGGCCCAACATAGCCGCGTACCTTGCCAGTAACAGAAGACAGAAATACCAAGACTGGGGCGTCTACCGGCACTACGATGACAATGACGTAGTTGCCGAGTAGCTTCTACCAGTAAAAAGGACGAGAGTTCATACATGCGGTTTAAAAATGAATATGAGTGGTAGCTTGATAGCAATAAGTCTAAGGTATCAGGGATACCTAATATATGAAGAATCATCGCGCTATTTTGCAGGTTATCTCCAACTTACACGATGTAGAAAATACTGGCTTCAAAACGCCAGCCTAACCTTCACAGCCCATGCTAGATGCCGTCATTAGCCATAGAACAGGGATACAGGTATCTTCTTCTACACTTTTGATTAGACCTAGTAGCGCCACAAATTTTAACGCGGGAGGCTGCATAGAATCGAATACCGGAAAAGGACGTTTGTTCTGTGTGTGTTCGCTCCCACATGGTAAACGACCAAGCCTGACAGCCTAGCCAGACCATAATTCGAAAGAAGGCTCCCAGTATGGCTAATCACATCGACGCACTATTCGGCACATACCGCGTTCAAATCGATGGTACTCCCATTTAGGTAGAAACCCCGAAAAAGCAAAAACCAATATAATAACTCAGCACCTATAGAGAAGTACCATGCAGCAGGATACCTCGCGCTGCTCGCGTTGACGCAGCCTCGCACAGAGCCTGCATTTCAGCCCCCCGAATACGTAGATGGGCGTGTCGATCCCCCGCCGTTTCGACGATGTCTCACCCGACACAACGCCTCGAAAGGCGGGTGACGGATGAACGGAGAAGTGGGGATCCGGTCTACATGATGATAGATAATGCTGTGACGCCCCAACCACACGGTATGTCGAGCTCCCAAGACACTAACGGTAGTTTCCTCGCGATACGAGCCAGTAGACGAACGAGGACATCCCATCAAGTGGTTGCGTTAGTCCCGGTAGGATGGGTCATCGTAGCATCTTGAGGCTCACTGTCTATTGCCTTGCACTTCAAGGTTGCGTCGCATATCTGCCTATCTTACAGACGTGCGATAACAAGGCAACCTGTTGTTTTTCAACGTCGTTGTCCTAGCCTCAGACGTGCTAGGCTGGGGCGCGAAGATAGAGAACCCCCTGAAGGATCGCGGACTATGGAGCAGTCGTTGCTTCGCTATCAGCTGTTAGCAGCTGAGATCCCCTAGTAAGCACCTCTAGGACTCCTTTAACGTGTTCTTCGTAGATAGAATCAGGCTTGGATTCGACTTTTAAAGTACCGCAGTAGGATCTTGACGGCTAGGCTATAAGCGCTCTTTGGAATCACAGTTCTTATCATGGCCGGCGATCAGAGGTTAGGATATGTTTACCCCCTTCTTATGTTGACATGTCCCCGGTAAGATCTACCTACCAAGATCCAAGTCTCCTATGCCTTGAAGCTCTCCTTTTCTCAATTTCTAATCGTATTTCCAAATTTTCATAATGCCAGACCTAGAGAAGGGAAAAGTCAACGGTTTCTCACAAGCTAAAGACCGTCAAGATGGCCCTAATAACTTGGCTGATTACCCTTCACACGCCATTGCCGTCGTCGGTATGGCTGGCAGATTTCCCGACGCAGACTCAGTCGACGAGCTTTGGGAGCTTTTGCTCGAAGGAAAATCAACGGTGAGGCCTGCAGATGTTGAAAGACTTCAGCTATCGCAGAGTGGCAACTACGCAAATATGAATTGGTGGGGGAATTGGCTCCGTGACCCAGAGGCCTTCGACCACCGCTTCTTCAAGAAGTCATCTCGTGAGGCCATCGCCTGGGATCCGCAGCAGAGGGTCCTGCTCCAGGTCATCTATGAAGCGTTAGAGTCGGCAGGCTACTTTGGTCTATCTTCAGCCCCTGAGGCAGATGACTACGGCTGTTACATCGGAGCGGTTATGAACAGTTATTATGATAATCTCGCATGCCATCCACCTACTACGTACGCCACTATCGGGACAGGACGATGTTTTTTTAGTGGTAGCATGAGCCATTATTTCGGGTGGACAGGTCCATCGTTGACCATCGATACAGCTTGCTCATCGTCACTGGTGGCTATCAACACAGCCTGTCGAGCTATTTGGTCCGGTGAATGTTCTCGGGCTGTTGCCGGTGGTACCAATATTATATCAAGTCCGGGTGACTTCCACAATCTCAATGCAGTGGGCTTCCTAAGTCCAACTGGGCAGTGTAAACCATTTGATGCTGGCGCTGATGGTTATTGTCGAGGTGAAGGCGTCGGGGTCGTCGTTCTCAAGCGGCTCTCCGATGCTATTCAAGAAAATGACAATATCCTTGGTGTAATCGTTGGGTCCGCAGCAAACCAGAATCGTAACTTCAGTCACATCACAGTTCCACATTCGGACTCACAGGTTGACCTGTACCACAAAGTGATGAAACTCGGAAATGTGAAACCGGAATCTGTGACCTACGTAGAGGCTCACGGAACTGGAACTGTGGTTGGTGATCCGATCGAGGTCCGCAGTATTCGCGATGCCTACGGTGGGCCTCAAAGAGATTCTCTTCTCCATTTCAGCTCTATCAAGGGTAATATAGGCCATACGGAGGCTGCTGCAGGTGTTTCTGGCCTGATCAAAGTTCTTCTCATGATGAGGCATGGAAAGATACCTAGGCAAGCAAGCTACAGCGAGCTGAACCCTATAATACCCTCTCTGAGTCCAGATCGGATGGAGATACCTACGAGCGTTCTGCCCTGGAACCCTCCCATTCGGTTGGCAGGTGTGAATAGTCACGGTGCCGCTGGTAGCAACTCAGCACTAATAGTACGCGAGAAGCCATCATTAGGCTATACGGCGGCGCCCATAAGCCTCGAGAAGTATCCAGTGATACTCTCTGCTGGTTCGCTCAACAGTCTGTCCATGTATAGCGAGAAGCTGCTCGGTTGGTTAAAGGAAGCCAAGACTGGGACTGCTAATCTCCTATCATCGCTAACATTCAACCTTGCTGATCGAGCAAACCACACATTACCATATAAACTTTCTACGTCGGTATCCAGAATTCAAGATCTCGAGTCCAAACTCAAAGCCGCGTCCTCTGGCTTAGGCATAAACACAGTTGACAACCCCAAACCAATAATTCTCGTATTCGGAGGTCAAGAAAGTGACTTCGTTGGGCTATCTCACGACGTATATCGCTCCTCAAAAGTGTTCCGCAGTCACCTCGATAATTGCAACGAGATTCTAGTTTCCAGGGGGTTAGAAAGCCTTTATCCATCCATCTTCAAATCAGAACCAACAGAAAACCTGCCGATTTTACATGCGGCTCTTTTTGCTGTGCAATATGCATCCGCCAAAGCTTGGATTGATTGTGGACTGAGAGTCGACGGGGTGATTGGACATAGCTTCGGCCAGCTGACTGCACTTTGTATTTCTGGCTGCCTCTCACTCCCCGATACGCTGACATTAGTGGTGGAAAGGGCGTCTCTGATGGAGAAATACTGGGGTGATGAGCGAGGGACGATGGTGTCTATGCAAACAGACCGTCATACTGTTGACCAAGTTCTCCACTCCCTCAAGGCCCAAGATAATGAATTTTCTGCCGAGATTGCTTGCTACAATGGCCCAAGGAATCATGTGGTGGTAGGCTCTTCTAAGTCTATGGACCTCTTAGAACAACACATCGCGAATGACCCGTCCCTTCACGATTCAGTTCGCACCAAGAGACTCCGGGTAACTCATGGTTTCCATTCACGTTTTACCAAGCCCATCTTGTCTCATCTCACAAGAGTGGCCAATAAATTAAGTTGGAGGCAACCTACACTGCATCTTGAGACTACTGACGAAGCCAATAGCATCACCCAACCTAACTTCGAAATCATTCCACGGCATACAAGATTTCCAGTCTTCTTTCAACAGGCGGTAGAGAGGCTCATCACGCGGTTCTCTCAGATCACCTGGATCGAAACTGGTCGAGGATCTTCGGTCATCCAACTCGTGAAAGATTCAGTACCAGATCCGGAAGGACATGTGTTTTTATCACCACGGCTCACTTCTTCCAATGCGCAAAACTCTCTCACCGACGTAACTGTCGAGCTATGGGGATCTGGGCATGCTGTGCAGTATTGGCCATTTCATAGAAGCCAAAAGCCCGAATTTGAATATCTAAGCTTGCCACCGTACCAATTCGAGAGAACACGACACTGGCTCCCGTACATAAGCAGAGCCCCTGAAAAAAGAGTGTCAAAAAACGAAGAGGTAGAAGAAACACATGAGCTTGTCTCCTTCTTGCGGTTTAAAGATAGATCCGAAAATGAAGCATTATTTCGAATTGATCCTCGATCCGATCGCTTCCAAACCTTAGTAGGTGGCCACGTCATGGCTGGCGAGACACTCGTTCCAGCCGCTCTGTATTTCGAGATCATAGCTCGCGCAGCTTTGATGCTTCAGAAAGATACCGACGTGGAAGAATACGTGCCCACCGTCGATGACTTGGCCATGAGATATCCAATTGGTCGCGATACCTCAACTGAGATTACACTTATGCTGAAACGCCTCAAGGACGTACATCCTTCATGGGCATTTGCTATCACTACTAAATCTGGCGAGAGCCAAAAAACGGAGCCTTCTGAGCAATCTATAGGCATAGTATCCCTTAAGAAGCGTAGTGATGCACAAGCAGCCCGAAATTTCCAGCGATTCGAGTCGATAACCGGCCATCGTCGATACGCGGAAGTGTTCAACCATCCGGATGCCGAGAGGATGCAAGGAAATCATGTCTATCGTGCATTCAGCACCGTCGTCAATTACGGCGAATGTTTCCGGGGCGTCAAGGAGATAGCTTGCGTGGGACATGAAGTTGCCGGGAAGGTGGTCATAACTCCAGACATAACAGCTCCTGCGGACCAGCGCCTCTGCGATACCCCTATGATCGACAGTCTTATGCAGTTTGCTGGCTTTCTAGTGAACTATTTCAACAATCCAAGCCTTGATGAAGTCCTCCTTTGTATGCATATCGAACACATTGAGATTGGTGGAAGCTTCAATCCTGACGCCAGAGAATGGATCGTGTACGCCAATCAGAGTGATAATGACGAATGTGATGCATCATCAGATATCTACATATTCGAGGCTGGAAGTAAGACGATGGTCATGACTGTCTTTGGATGCCGCTTCATGAAGATGCGGAAAGACGTACTTGGGCAGATTTTGAAGGACGTCAACAGATCCGGAACCTCACTCGTAGAATCACGGAAGCCATTGGCTCAGGCTGTTGAGAAGACGGGCCCTGTCATTCCAGACCCCCCGCAAAATTCGGCTAGGGAGTCCTCAAGTAAGCGAGACGAGCTATTCCAAGTACTATCCAATATTACCGACCTTCCACTCGAAGAGATCAAAGATGACTCTACCTTAGAAAACCTTGGGATAGACTCGCTGATGGCAACTGAGGTGTTGAACGATATTCGGACAGCCTTCAACTTGAACATTGATCTAACAAGTTTCCTGTTATTCCCTAATGCGAGCGCTATTGTGACTTATATCAATGAAAGCCTCGGAATTAGTAGCGAGGATGGCGAATTAGATACGCCACCATCTTCAAACGGATTCAATGATGTTAGTTCAACCGTTCCAAAAGGGGCCCAAATTACCAAATCAAAGCTTTCGGAAAGCGTCAATCGACCTACCATCGTATCAGCGTTTGATGATTTCAACGAGATAAGGCATGGATACGACAAGTTCGCCGAAATAACCAAAGCCACCGGCTTCTGGTCCGAAGCATATCCTCACCAGGCCAGACTCGTGCTGGCCTACGTCGTAGAAGCGTTCGCCAAACTCGGCTGCGACTGGACCAATCTCCAGCCCGGCGACCCCATCCCCGAGTTAAAAACGCTAGAAAAACACGGTCGATTTATGCTTCAGCTCCACCGCATCCTCGAAGACGGGAAACTGATCTCTCACACTCACCAAGGCTTCCTTCGCACCAACTCCCCTATCCCCCAGACCCCCGCTGAAACCATCTACCACCAAATCCTCAACACCCACCCCCAGCACGACATCGTCAACAAGCTAATAAGAACCGTCGGCTCGCAACTATCCAGCTGTCTAACCGGCGAACAAGACGGCCTGCAAGTCGTCTTCGGCGACAAAGACACGAAAAAAACCCTCGAAACCATGTACGAATTCTGGCCACTCCTGCGCACCGCAACCCTCCTCCTCGGGGCCTTCCTCCTCAAAGCCCTCACCAACGCCGTCGGGAGCGGTAAATTCCGCATTCTAGAAGTCGGCGCCGGGACAGGCGGCACGACGCGGTATATCGTCAACCACCTGCAAACCCACGGTATCCCGTTCGAGTACACCTTCACCGACATCTCGCCCTCGCTCGTAGCCGCCGCGAAGAAGCAGTTCAAAGGCGTAGCCGAGATGTCTTTCGAAGTCCTTGACGTCGAGAAGCCGGTGCGCGCGGAACACAGGGAGGCGTTCCACTGCGTCGTCGCGACGAACTGTATCCACGCGACGCGGGACCTCGTGGTATCTCTGACCCATCTCCGCGAGATGCTCCGCGAAGACGGGGCGTTGACGCTGGTCGAGACGACGAGGAATATGTTCTGGCTTGACGTCGTGGTCGGTCTTTTCGAGGGGTGGTGGTTGTTTGAGGATGACCGCGAGCATGCGCTGGTTGATGAGCGCCACTGGGAGCGGGTTCTGCGGAAGGCGGGATTTGGACATGTTTTGTGGTCTGATGGCGAGTCGCCGGAGGCGAAGACTGTGCGTGTTATCGGTGCGTTTCCGCGCGGAGGTCTTAAGGGGGTTAATGGTGTGGCGCCGTCTTCTAAGCCGGGCTTGGAGACGGTCGTGTATAAAAAGGTAGGGGATCTGGAAATTCACGCGGATATATACTACCCTTCCGAGGAAATGGTTTCAAATAAAAAGCTTCCAATCGGTAAGTAAAAGATACATTTAAACAACTCAGTTTTTTGCCCCGTTGCTAAATATTTCCCGCAGCTTTGATGATCCACGGAGGCAGCCACATTCTCTTCTCTAGAAAAGACATCCGACCCGCGCAAACGGACCTTCTACTTGAAAAGGGTTTCCTACCAGTAAGCCTAGACCATCGACTTTGCCCCGAAGTAAGTCTCTCCGAGGGGCCGATGGTAGATATCTGCGATGCGCTCCACTGGGCCCGTCATACACTACCCGACCTCGTATCCCTTCAATCCGGGCTACAAGCCGACGGGGAGAGGGTCGTAGTAATAGGATGGTCATCAGGGGGCCAACTCGCCATGTCCCTCGCATGGACAGCGCCTAAAATCGGGTTGCGGCCACCAGAAGCCATCCTCGCATTCTACTGTCCGACGAACTACGACGACGAGTGGTGGCGACACCCGATCCAGCCCATCGGCGCGGCCGACAAAGGCGAGGACTACGACGTCCTCGCAGCCGTGCAAGACGAGCCGATCACCAACTACGACGTAGTGCGCGCATGGGAACCCCTTTCGGACCAGCGCATCCACACGGACGCGCGGTGTCGCATCGTGCTGCACATGAACTGGAAAGCGCAGACTCTGCCAGTGATCCTCGGGGGGCTGCCCAGCCGGGGCAAAACGGGCGAATACGCCTGGGTAGAAGACTGGAACACGCTCGCACAGCCGGGGGCCGACAAAATCGCCGCCGCGAGTCCGCTCGCGCAGATCCGACAGGGGAACTACCGCACGCCGACGTTTATAATCCACGGCACGGCGGACGACCTGATCCCATGGCAGCAGAGCCAGGGGACGTACGAAGCGATGGTGGAGCAGAACATCCCGGCGCAATTAGCTCTGGTCGAGGGAGCGCCACATATCTGCGATCGGAGCAGCGATCCGAACTCGGAAGGCTGGAAGGCGACTGTGAAGGGGTACGAGTTTCTTGCATTGTACGTGTTCTAGGTATTGGGAGGGGGTTATGGAATATGTCACCGCTAGATGAGATGATGGCACTACTATATGCTTCTTTCTCTTTCTCCCCTTCATTCTATCCGAGAATTTTGAACTACGTTCGTTTGTACTGTAAGAATTTACCTAGAAGTACGTTGTATTGTAACTGTAATCATGAAAATGGAACCGCTCTTCTTACAACTCCGAGACCGGACGAGTGATTACACGGGGAGATGCGGAAAGGCTTAGTGAGACCGGTCACCCGGGCTAGTTTTTAGAGGCTTATATCAATCTATAAACGAAATTACGGTAGGTAGCGACCAAGCTATATACGCAAAGAACATACGGAGCCCTATATTAGACCGCGTATTGGGTACCCGAACCGAGATTGTGCCATCGCCCAAGCCGCGCCAGTAAAAAGCTCACACCTCCGTGACTCCGAACAAGGCCAGCAGCGAATCTCTTCTATGCAAAGTCTATCTGCAACGCTCACCCTGCCATGCATTAAAAATACCAAGCCGCCGAATGCTCGGCCCTTATGACCAGACGTCCTCCTATACAATTCATTAGTATCGACGACAGCAAAATCTTAACGATGAGTGGAAATGAATAGAGGGTTGCTAGTCGTAAAATAGACCGTAGAGTGGGTTGATTTAGGGGCATATTGTTGTAGCTTACCTGGTATTGGTTAGAGGCCCTCATGTTTTTGACGATCTCCTCTGCTTTCGTCTCAGGAATGCCACGCTTCTCTGCAATAATCTGCGCCAAGACGGTGTTGACTTCTCGGGCCATGTTCGCCGCGTCGCCACAAACGTAGATGTAGGCCTTCTTCTCGAGCAATTCGTTGACTTCTTGGGCTCTCTCCTTCAGTCGATGTTGGACATAAACCTTCTTGGGCCCTTCTCGTGAGAATGCATTGATCATCTCAAACTGGTCGCCGAGAGCCTTCTTGTAGTCCTGCTGTATTGTGAGTTAATGGTCAAAATTAGCGTGGGCACTATACATACCTCCCATTCCGACTCGTACATGAAATCCTCGTCCCGTCTTCGGCAACCAAAGAAAAGTAGCGTACGACCAACGTTCTCACCAGATTCGGCCTGTTTAGCTCGTTCCTGGACAAATCCGCGGAAGGGAGCCACACCAGTACCAGGGCCAATGAGAATAATGGGCTTGGAGGGATCAGAAGGCAACTTGAAATTCGAGTGGCGCACGTGTACAGGTACGTGGATACCGTCATACTTGTTCCTTGGGCCGTGGAGTTCGTAGGTGAGACCGAAAGGTTCGGGGTTAGGATCGCCATTTTGCTTCTGTTTCAAAGCAAGTAGGTAGTTTGTAGCCACACCCTTGAAGGGATCGGTACGACCGGGAATCAACTGGTTTTCAACGACAGCGGTGATGGAAATCTTTTTAGGTTGAACCAAGGAAGAGGACGAAATCGAATAGTAACGGGGCTGAAGCTTAGTGAGACCCTCGATGAATGCCGAAAAGGGAACGTTGGTCCATTTCTGTCCATTACTGACGACGTTCAGAGTCCTAGCGATGTTGTAGTGATTCTTGCTAACCTTATCCTGGAAATAGTCCTTGTCATTACCGAGCTTAGTCATCTCCGCCTTGGTATCGTCATCGGGAGCAAATGCAGCTAGCGTGCCTAAGAATTGACGAGATACTGGGGCGCCAATCTCAAGGTGGTACCGGATAATGGCATCGTAGGTGGTAGGGGTGGGGAAAGGCACTTTAGCTGTGGGTTCGAGAGCCTTAACGCTAATGACAGTATCCTTCTTGTCTTCGAGTCCCAGGACGCCAAGGAGTAGATCAACTTCATGCCCAGCGTTCGTCGGCCAAATTGCAATGTGATCGCCAGTTTGGTAGGTCAGGTTAGAGCCGCTAATATCAACTTCCAGGTGAAGGCAGTTTCTATCTTTAACAGAGAACAATTCCTTGGATTCAGCAATGGGGGCAATGTACGGGTTGTGGGCATTGAAGGGACCTTTAGCAGTTCCCTCGAGATGCATTTTGTTGGGCTCGCCCAGGTACACTTCGGGAGAATCCTTAGTGAGACCTTCCCGCTCAGTAATGCCAAAGATAGGTTCGTAGACGGCTTCTCGTTCCTCAAGACCCATACTCTCCGCAAGCGCAGCCCACATGGGATCCTTCCAAGCCAAGAAATCTTCTTCCATAGTACCCGCGCCGTCGTCACCTTCTCCAGCCTCGCCAATTCTCTTGGCGCCTAGCTTCTCTAGAGCCTTGTTGACATTGCGAACCATCGAGTTGTAGTGTTCATAGGTGTTATTTCCTAGACCGAAAGCGACAAATTTGAGATTCTCGAGAGGGGCATCCGAGCTCTGGGAGAAAGACGGCTCTTCACCAGTGATAAATTCGTAGAAGTCAACGGCATTGTCGGTAGGCTCGCCTTCGCCATACGTAGCTAGGACGAACATAACAACCTTGTCAGAGGGGATCGTGTCGAGATTGTCAAAGTCATAGTCTTCGAGATCGGCGACCATAGTTTCCAAGCCGAATCGACTCTTACCCTCTTTTGCCAACCTCGAAGCGTAGTCCTCGGCGGTACCGGTCTGAGAACCGTAGAATATGACGCAGTTCTTCCCGGACTCTTCCATTTTTTCGAGGATATTTCTCGTCTTTCCGGCCTTGAGGCCGTTTGTGTTGGCAAAGGCATTGGCGTAGGGATCCTTGGCAATGCCCCAAACTTTGCCTTTGGTAAAGTAGGCGGCGGTGCCTACCAGGATGGCAGCGAGGACAATTATGTCCAGGGTGTCAAGTTGAGCCATCTTGACGGGCTTGCTTAGGTGACCTTAAAGTTGGTTCCAGGATTCTGACACGGCAGGAGGGTACGTCGAGTAGGGTAAACCGGATCAATGGGACATTTGGAAAAAGTTCCTATAGTTCCTATATTGTTAAGCTGTCCTACGTTGCAAGACGATAACTGACGAGAGCTAGCAGCTACCGATTCGAGGCTCCCTAAAGAAAAGGCGCTGCGACGCTGCAACGTGTCTTAGTTCCGTACTGCGTACTGCGTAGTCGGCTGAGGAAAGGAAGGGCAAAGTTGGGGAACTCCTTTGAAATTTCTCAGCTAGGAGAGAAAACGAAAAAAAGACCACGCAGGATCTACAGCGTAGCCGCACATCCAAGAATAAATATTAAGAAGAGAGTGACCCTGGTAATGGAAATAGACAAAGTAGACGAAATGGGAGCAGGGTGGGATGATAGATTTATGATTACGGTAAGAGGAAAAGAGAAAGAAAGGTAGGTCTAGCTTAGGAAATGTTTGCGTGGCGTGGATTTGGGACTTTGTGAGTGTCTATGCAGATGAGCTTGCAGATGGGGCGTGGGCTTGGAGAAGAATCGGAGAGAAATTTTGGCGACTGTGGTGGATTAGGTACATCGATAAATGGGATCTGGATACATATACAAGTATTATGAATGATTTTTAAGATAAGCATAAGCTTTTATGACCTCTTCTAAGGGATCAAGGTACCTCCGACGAAGCTGGTCATTGTTGGTGTGGCGCATGTATCTTAGCCTGTCAGACGATGTACTGCCTCTTAACGTCGATGTCATATCGATACATGCTGGGAGTCCCCGAAATTAGAATTGGAAGTACCTTTACAGAGTATCTACCTAGTAGGCTGCTAGGTACCTAGTAGAGGGCGCCTACTCCCGCCGCATCCTGAGCCACAAAAAAGTATAATTACCAGGTAAGTACTAGCTAGCTGTAGCTGGTAAATGTTTCCTGGTTACATAATAAAACTTATTGCATTTAATATTCTCATCCATGGATGCACTGTCCGATTTTCTGATTCTAGACCTTGCAAATACATCATCGTATGCATCAATCTGTACTCTTCATCCTTCTCCATCACAAGCATTTTTTGATTGCCGTGATGGAATCGGGTTGGAGAAAGCGGGATACCGCTGCGCAAACGACCTAACGACTTAAGGACCGCCCGAGGACCCCGACAACCACATCAGCTGGATGTGCGCCGGTTCCCGTCTCGTCCACTTAGCATCGGGGATATCCAATGGGACACCGCATGTGCCACTATTTTCCAAGCTCGGCAATTCGTGACTTGCAGCTAAAAAGATGTGCTCTAGCCTTCTCCGGTATTCTATCCCATGCACAACTGGGAAACTAGCATCATTTTATCGGCTAGTCCCTCACCCGACGAATGTCTTCGAATTCGGCATATATCAATCTGAACTATCCGAATCATTTCACCTAGCAGCCCTAGGGATCTCGGAGTAAGGATCATCAGGGCCCCTTCTTATTCGTATTCTACGAAGCACCTTATATCTGGATTCTAGGCAATCTGACGAAATTAGGTTCTTATCACATTTTATCGATCTCTCTTTTTTTTGTTTTTGTTGAGAGGCTGTTGAAAATTGAAATACCCATACCCATCGAATACACGTCTCACACTCTCGTTCGATCTTTCATAAATTTAGCAACTCTTCGCGTGTTTTATCTGTAAGCCCTAAAGAGGTAGCTTGCATAGATGGATCGCATTCGTCAATGGAGATTCGTAGGATTAATTACTCAGCTACTTGTATACCTCCCAGTTGCTTATTCCTTATTCCTTACCGCTTCCAAGAGGAATAGGTCAGATTGATAAGGTATACCCTTACATACCGTGGACGTACAGCGTACATGACTTTACATGGATGGTATAACAAGGGAATAGACCCAATCAGCAATTACCTAAGTAGGCACAGCGACATTGTACGAGACCGGGAAGTGTGTTTCAACATCCGTACTGGCTCCGTGATGCCGGCTCGGCGGACCAAGCTAACACCCCGCGGTCTCCGAATTTATTCGGAATCTTCATATAATTCGATTCCGTTAAATAACATGTGCTTTAGATACCTACCCAGTAGGCTATTATTAGGCTGCTAGGTAGGTATCTGAAGGTGTTCGACCTGAGGAAGCGACTTTTAGTCGCATTGATACCTTAGGTACCTGGGTAAGGATCTTGCACGATGCACTGACCGGCGTGTTCGTTGTTTATGTTCTAATTCCAGAAGAAGCCGACGTGTCAACAAATGTCCATATTAAAAAGAGGACGAGACTGCGGCTGAGTCGGTTCATAACGATGTGATCCGATCAGACCTAGCGGATAATCGACGACTGACGTCAAACTAGCGTTTGTCATAGGACCACATCTGGCTCATTGACAGCCACAATGGCTGGATGATCGTATTGTCGGCTTCGTCTCGCGTAGACGATCCTGTTGACGATTGTCCGATTCTCCGGAACTGACGGGCTACTAATATTCCGCACGTCCCCGAGATCTTGCTCGGATAGCCCCTGATATATACGCATAAACTGCACAATATAATTATACGCAGCATAAAAAAGGATGGCAGTGTTGAGAAGATGCGCAGGGATAATCCAACCGGAAAAGTTGAATTCATCCAGCCATCCTAGACAATCATGGGAAAGCACCGTATGTTTGGTATGCGCTTTGAGAGCCCGTCCGCCACGTGGGAAGGTTGGCTTTTAACTGGTACAGCTGTTGGCTGCTGGCACCCGACGGTGTATTCGTACTTCGTTTGTACAGTACGTGAAATTCCTAGCCGTGCTTATAGCTACTTACAGCACTTCGACCTTCCGCTAGTGAGCCGTAATAGGCCATGGCCCTTGCAGAAATACCCTTGCCCTGCATAAGGAGCAAGCTAAAAAGGCTATGATTGACCCGAACCAGGCGGTGGGACTCCAGCAAAATGGATACAGTACACACAGTATCAGCTGCTAATTGGCGATAGAATGACGGAAGAGCAAAAGAAGAAAAACACTCCAAGAGTTGTCTGGTTATGTCTGGCTATGCCAACTCCACGCAGCAACCAAGAAGAACGAGTCCTAGCCAGTGAGACGACCTACTCAATAGGCAGTCAGGCATTGTTGGATCAAATTGCATCGATTTTATAGATTCCTATTCGTATTATGCAGTGACAAGCCGCATGCGATATTTCTACATCACATTTTTTTCTTGAAGCTGTTTAGCTCGTCATATTGCTACGCAGCACTATTTTTCTGTACTACTTAGTGCCTACTGGTACAGGATACGTGGGAAATAGGGGACCTCAGTTCTGGAGGGGAGCACCTATTAGAAGAAAAACAGAAGAGAAGAAAATCAAGAGAAAAGAAGCGACAAGAGACGGGGAGTTATCGTGGTCTCCGAAATACCACCACCATAACCCCATCGAGGTCCAGGCCCCTTCTTTATTCATTCAATCATCGTCGTCAAGTCCCCAGGCCCACTAGACAGTTCGTCATTAGGGGTCTGTGAAGCCCCAGGGCTGCCTTATCTTGCCGTACCGAAATATCATGGGCATCGAAGCTCAACGATGGGTGAGTAATGAATTCCAGGTTACCTAAAACTTCCGCGCCTCCTCCTCTTCGGACGACGAAATATTAATACTTTAACGCACACTCTTTACCTGTCGCTTGATAAATGTGCCACTTTCGGGTTGTGTTTCTGTTTCAGAGTTTCACAAGAGGGAGGGGGTCTAACATTTCAACCTTTCCCCCCCTGCGCTCTGATGTTCTCACCCAGGTCTGCTTCACCTTTACTGACAACGTTGTCGCACCACCTAGCTCCGTCCCAGACGCTGCCAGACCATTTCCACGATCCTTCCTTAAAGTTTTCCCCGCGATCTACCCCGCGAATTAATACCCACGACGGCGACGGCGACGATGATGATGGTGATAATGGCGGGTGGGATAATACTCTTAGACCTATAGCTCACGATCCTTCTACCTCTCGCGTCATTGCGCACTCGCGCGAATCCTCCCTCGAAAAGCTTCAGTCTGGTTCACTAGCCGGTATCCCTGAATCTCCCCAATCTCCTCCGGCTTCCTCCACCATCAACTCCCCCGGATTACGTTCAGCCGCATCGCGTCCGAGCCCCGGCGGCATATTCGAGCGTCTCGCCGATCCCAAAGCTGCCGCGTACGGACACCATCGCCAAACTTCTATTGTTCATGGCATCCAACACTCGAGGAATGGGAGCCACGCAAGTTCGTCTTCGAGTCCCCTTAGTCCGCAGATGATAGCGGCAGCAGGTGCTGGACTTTTGCCGGAACGCCCAGACTTGTCCACAATGAACCGATTAGATTCAGAATTGTCAACGCCGTCCTCTATGGCCTCGATGGCTTCGATAGCCTCTCGGCCGCTAACCGCCTTGTCGGGCACGACGGCCAACGCCTCTATCCATTCCACCGAAAAATCAGAGTCGTTAACGATACGGTCTACCCAGGATAGCAGTAGCAGTGGCACTATTATACAGAGGAAGGTTGAGCGGATGCATAGCAAAACTCGGCGCGACCATAATCATCACCATTCACATTCGTCGAGACATCATAGAGATGAGCCTAAGACAGTAGGCGAATATGCTATGCATGTATTATTTACGTCGGTTAGTAATAGCGGCCCTGGCACCTAGTTGGAAGGAATTTATGCTAACCTAGACAAAGTTTATTGCTATGGCTGAAGAGAAGCTTGATGACTGCATCAAACCGCCTTTTGATCCTGAGCCGTCTATCGAACATATTTGCGGCCCTGGGGCAGATCCAGCCTTTGATCGTTTTATCATCGCTCTCGGTCACATTGCAAGTCAAAAACCGAGACCCCTGATCGATTCTATTATGCTTTGGCGGAAGCATAAAAGTGAGGCTGCTAATGAGGCACGCGGTAGTCTGCAACAGATGAGGTCTAATATACCAACTGCCTCTCTTGTGAGGCGAAACACAGAGCCATTACAGCTCCTCACTGGTAACCCAGACGACGCAGCATCTCCTGGGACGCAAACTCTCGCAGAGAAGCAAAATAAGGCGGCTCATGCCGAACGTCGTTCTATCATCTCCATCTATATCTTGTGCCGAGTCCTCTTAGAAGTTATTAGTCAGAGTAGTCTCAGCTCTATAACCCCTGAGATGGAAGACAAGCTTGAGGCTATCATATTTGGCCAACTTAAGATTGCTGACATAGAACAGCTATATGTATCTCCTCTCAAGCTGGCTAATTGGAACCTTTTCGCCCAGCTGCTTGGAGCCATGAGTGTAATCAACTTTTCCAGTGTCGCAGAGCGGTTTATTGCCGATCTTAGTCAATCGCTTTTAAATCTCGCTGTTAAGAGTCCGACGACCCAAAATAGGGATCCGGAAGGACAAGTGGAGTTGGTGCTAGGAGGTATGAAGCATCTACATATCAAGATTGATACCGACGAAAACTGGGATCAAACGTGCGGCTTCTTGATATCCTTGGGTAAACTATTTGCTCAATCTCATGGCCAGAAGGTGAAATCGGCATTTTGTCAGATATTGGATACACTGCTGCTCCCCATTGCTGCCAAGGCAACAAATAAGCACTTCTCCTACCTGAAGTGGTCGGAAGTGCTAAGCAATATAAGCCCTCGCCTAGCGACAATGTTTGCAAAACCGCGTCATTGGTTGGCTGCGTTCCCGTTGACGGCAACGATGCTTTGTGTATCGTCCCCGGAGAATCTCACTACCCAATGGCTTCAGCTGGTTCGGACGGTCCAGCCAAGACTCAAAGATCGTGCCGTGCGTCCTCTATGCTTACAAGTCATCTCAAGGCTACTTTGGGCCTACTTATATCGAACTAATGATTCCATGGCCGGAGCTACTCGCAAATTAGACGAGGTGCTACAACTTGTCTTGCCTAGCTCCAAGCGTACATTTTCGGCCGCAGACACGGCATCTACGGGACCCTTGATACAGATTATTAGAATCATTGGTTATAAATATCCGGAGTATTGTTGCACGAATATCATCTTCCCCTTAATTAATGCAGAACTGTTCAATCTAAATAAGGAATTGAAAGTTGAGCAACTTGAGCCGGATAGGATGGTCATCGGAATCAGGGCATTCCTCACAATCATGTCAGATTTAGAAAAGGGTGACCTTGGACGACCTCCGTTTCCGCAGCACTATTCCTTCCTATCCGCCTCCGATCGGGTCCCTCCAAGCTCGCCAGCATCGACTTCAGCTTCTAGTGTTGTTCCGTCAAGTCCGCTCTTACCTGATCGTGATGAATCTTTATCACGGCCTGTGCAATTAGGCGCTTTGAGCGAAGGTGCGAGATCCAATTATAAAAAATTCTCAGAAATCCTTGGTAAAATTACAATTATCTGCGATAACACATTCGGGGGTCAAGCCGCACTAGATGAGAAGTTCAGTAGTCCAGGAGGAGGTCCAAAAACTCCTATTGCCGAGACGTTCAACTTCTCAAGACGCGATGACCATCCAAGTCCTGCAGACCAGAAACAGGCTTTCTACGAACTTCTCCACGTTGCTGTGCAGGCTTTGCCTCGTTGTCTACCTGCTGATATACCATTCAATACCCTCATCAACTTACTCTGTACAGGAACTGCACATGTTCAATCTAACATCGCTGAATCTTCTGCCCAATCTCTCAAATCTATTGCCCGACAGTCATATGCCCATCAAGTTACGGTTGGATTTGCAAGGTTTATCTTCAACTTTGATGATCGTTATTCTACAATGTCTGATGGAGGGATGCTAGGTCCTGGTCATATTGAGTCTACTCTACGACTTTATGTCGAGTTGCTACAAATATGGAGGGATGAGATACGGCGAAAGACTAAAGATGCTGCATCTGATCCTACAGATCTCAACGGTGCCGATAAACGCGGTATGAAACTGGATTTGTCCAGCATATGGGCAGAAGTCGAACATGTTGAAGCGCGTGGTCTATTCTTCTTATGCTCACAATCACGAAGAGTACGAAATTTCGCGATTACGGTTCTTCGACTGATCGTTGAATTCGACACTGCCCTAGGCAAGGACACCGAGCAAGAGAAGGATACCGTCCGCCTTATTGATATCCTCGAAAATGATTCGGTGCAAGTGATGAATTTTAAAGACGAACATCTATCTATAGCAGAACGAAGCCGATTGCAAAGGGGTATGCAAAACAGCAACAACAAAGGTGCCCTCATAGACCTTTGCACTAGCGACGTTTCGTATGATACAACCCTCTGGTTTAAGATTTTCCCTAATTTCATACGGATTGCCTATGATCGATGTCCCTTTACTGTAACCATCGGTCGTGACCTAGTGTGCAATCGAGTTCTACAGATGTACAAGGGCATCGTAGTTCTGTCAGAGCCAACCCGTGGCCTCTACTACGGATCCGAACCCGGTAGCGCTCGATATACGGGAAGGACACCAACCACACAACCCGACGTTCTGGTTGAACAGTGGAAATTGTATTTGGCTTTCGCCTGTACAACATTAACCGACTCGGGGACCGTCATGAACGGTCCTTCTCAGGGAAGTCAACATACCCGAAAAGGGTCTAAATCTGCCGAAAAACTAGTATCGGCAAGAACACTCTTTAAATTCTTGATACCGTTGCTATTCGCCTCTTCGCGCTCTGTTCGAGAAGCCGTTGTGCTTGCCATGGGATCCATTAATATCAACATATATCGAACGTTACTCGAAGAATTGCAAGGACATGTATCTCGATGCAACGACGAAGCTCGCGCGCGAATACATCAACGAACCAGTAGCGGTCCACGTAGAAATCCAAAAATGGATACGCTACGAGCAGAGCTCACTCATGTGTACAAGTTGACGTGCCACTTCTTAAAAGAGCCAGATGTCTACCAAGATGATTGGATTCTCGGTAACCTTTGCACATATACCAAGGATATCAAACTCTTTTTGATGGATGGCGAGGTTCAGATGGATTGGGAGTTCCAGAAACTAAGACAACATTACTGTGGCTTAGTCGAAGGACTTTTTGACGGCATTAACCGTACGAAAGATCCGTCCCGCTGGATGACATTCGAATCTCGGAAATCTTCGTTTACCCTGATGGAAGACTGGTGCGGATTCTCGCCCAATCAGATGCAGATCCGCCAAAGAGAAGACACGATGCGACAGTCCCTAATTGACAAGAAATCTCTGGGCGAACGGGGCCCTATCTCCGCTGGCATGGAAATAGAGAAGAGAAACCTGAAGACGGCAGCCCTGAGCGCCATGGCTGCTCTTTGCGCCGGCCCGGTTAGTGTGACTACTGAAAGTGGCGCCACCCTCCATTTTGACATGAGACGGATGCTTAATTGGGTAGATTCAATCTTCAGCTCTGGAAGCGATCGGGTGAATATTATCGGGAGAAGAGCATTGAAGAACCTAATCGTTTACAACCAAGATCACCCATATCTCCTAGAGCATTGCATTGCACGATGCTATATAACAGAGGTGCCGAAGGTGCTGGAAAGTTATTTCACGGTCATCACCGAGGTGCTACAGGAACATGTCGACTACCCATCGCCGTTCTGGAAACTCTTAGGGCTGTGCTTATTCACTTTAGGTAGTGATCAAAGCGACATCCGATCGAAATCTGCCCACGTTCTCGAAGCGCTAGAGGAGAAACAACAAGCTGCACAGAACTCCAAGATTTCGGATTTTGAGATCAGTATCGCGGACAAGACCAAAGCAGTCTACAAGTTGGCCCAATTCGAAATTTCGAAACGATTAGCCAAGCAACATCCGGAACTCGCATTCCACGTGTTCTCTGAAGTAACACTTTACTTTAAGAGTCTTCCCTCAGCTGCGCAACGGAATGTAGTCGCCGTCATCCTACCCTGGATCCAGACAATCGAGCTTAAAGTCGACCCGAACGGTGGCCCTACGGCGCAATCTTACGTGCTCCTCGCTAATCTGCTTGAGGTCACCATCAAATCCAGCGCAGCACTGCATAATGAAGTACAAGCGCTCTGGCAAGCCCTCGCAACCGGACCACATCCTGGAAACGTCAGACTTGTGCTTGATTTCATAATCTCCCTATGCTTAGAGCGAAGAGAACAAAATTTCGTCGAGTATGCCAAGCAAATCGTGGTGTTTTTGGCAAGCACCCCTAGCACTCCTGGCATCAAAGTAGTCGAGTTTCTTTTAATGCAGATCACTCCAAAGGCCATGGTCCCCAACGAAAAGAGAGATGCCGTCCAATCACCTCCCGATATTAGCCAGCTGCAATTACCCTACTGTGCTGACTTGTCAGAAGCACTACCTGTTGGTACCAAGCAGGCCGGCTTCTCCCTCGGACAATTATCCCTGATACTCTTAGTCGACTTGATGGTATCCCCGGTGCAGTTGGATCGTAACAACTTAATAGTCTTGTTACAAGTTGTCACGGTACTTTGGGATCACTATACCCCTCTTGTCCAAGAACAAGCTCGCGAGATGTTAGTACATCTTATCCACGAATTAGTTGTCTCCAAGATGGACGATGGTACTCCCCTGGAGACAAAGAAGTCTGTTGAGGATGTAGTCGATGCGATCCGACGTCACGACCGTGCTGTTGTCTGGAGTTACGAAGAAAGCAACGGCAAAGTAGACGGCCGCGACAATAAGGTCCCACAAAGTATGGAGCATCTCACTGCGGAGGTTGTCAAGACTTTTGAAGTTACCTTCCCAGGAATCAAAGAAGAATGGAGCCGTCTCTCTCTAACTTGGGCGACATCTTGTCCGGTGAGGCACCTAGCGTGCCGCTCGTTCCAGATATTCCGTTGCATTCTTACCTCGCTCGACCAGTTCATGTTGGGAGATATGCTTGCACGATTGTCCAACACCATTGCCGACGAAGATACCGAGATTCAGACATTTTCCATGGAAATCCTGACTACCCTAAAAACGCTTATTTCGAAACTCGAACCCGAGAAACTCACATCTTTCCCTCAGTTGTTCTGGACGATGTGCTCATGTTTGGATTCGATCAACGAGGTTGAGTTCCTTGAAGCGATCGAGATGCTCAATGAATACCTAGAAAAACTTGATTTCCACTCACCAGGCGTTCGACGGGCTCTTATGGATGGCCAGCCTCCAAGATGGGAAGGTTCGTTTGAGGGTGTTCAACCTCTACTCTCCAAGGGCCTAAGGTCATCTACCTGTCTCCAGCCTACTCTCGACACCCTGGATAAGCTTGTTCAGCTACCGAGCGGTCATCTTATCGGAAACGACAATAGGCTCTTCTTCTCTATTCTGGCCAATTTCCCTCGCTTCTTGCAAGCCATGGAGCAAGATGTTATTGACAAAGGAACCCTGCAGAGTGCGGAAATACTCTTCTCAGTCGCCGATGCCCAAGGAATGGGATCCATATGTGCTGCTCTAGGAGGATTTATTGATTCGGCGTATCGTTCGAGCAGAGATTTCATGACCCAGTTGCTCGCCGCACTTCGAGAGTTCTTCTTACCGCAGCTCGACTTCAGCCTGTTAACAACATTGATGGGTTTTCTCACAAATTGCATGCCCTGGATGAAGATCATGACAATGCGATTACTCTGCGTCGTCATTCCCGAGATCGAAATGCGCAAGGCTGAAATCGCTGGTCACGGCTCTGACTTGATCTCGCCGCTCTTCCGATTACTCCAAACCGAATATTGCATGGAGGCGCTAGAGGTGCTCGACAATATCATGACTATGTCCGGAACTCCGATGGACAAGCATTACGTTCGGATGAGTATGACTAGTGCCGCATCCAAAGACAAGAAAGACTACGAGACAACTCAGAGTCTATTTGGCATTCCAGAAGAGTCTGGCTGGTCTATTCCAATCCCAGCAAAGAAGACGGAGTTAACACGAGCCAATATCCATGCCGCATTCTACATGTGCCAGGCAAACCCGGAGAATGGCACACCTACAGAACCGACGCCAACCGAGGAAGTCGAATTCCACGAGGACAATTACCGTTACGGCTATTTCGACATGCCAGACCGAACCGAAACCATGATGTCGGACGATGCCCAGGGCGAGGGTCAGATGGCCGACTTAGTAACGAAGCTTGACAGTCTAGACGATTTCTTCGATGACATGTCGCAGACCTCACCTAGCGAAGGCCGCTCATCGAGAACCGTAACCGAATTCGGCCCCGACAGCTACGAATCCGGCGCGCGACTCTACGACGACGTCCTCCCTATCCTGCACCAAGCCTCAACCAACACCTCCTTCCAAAACGGCTTCGTTGACCGAGTTCCCGCTTCCAAGGAAACCAAACCGAACACCATGAACCCCAAAGCTTTCAACATGAACCTCAGCCCCACTGCACTAGCCAGACCGGGCCTACACTCGCGCTCGATAACGTCCCCATCGGCGCCGGCATCGTGGACGCCGCCGCATCTTAGCGAGCTGACGTCCGACGACGACCTCACCGAGGACGTGTTCTCGGACGGCGACGACGACAGGCCGGTCAACGGGGCAACTGAAAGTTCGTTCTTCCTCGAGAACATGATTAAGCCGATTGCGCAGACGACGAGAACGCATATGCGCCGGCTTACGGGTGGTGGTAGGTCGAGAGACCATGCGGAGAAGCAGAGGGAGCTGTTTCGTGCGAGGCAGTTGCAGGTTTCGCCCCAGGTGCCGAAGGTCCCTAATTCGTTCTTGCCGCATAAGGCTAGTCCGTCGACGGGGGAGATGTTGTGAGGATAGATGGCTGGTGGTGGTGGTGAGAGGTTAGTTGGGATGGGGGTGGATGATATGAATGGGATGGGGACGAGAGGATGTGAGCATGTTGGTTAATCTAAAGACTCCGAGATACATGATATGATATGATATGAACTGGTATTTTTTTGGTTTATACCTGGTGAGTAATGCAGCGGTGAGCATGGGGAGAAGGGTGGAAGTAGGTCCTGGTAGGATATATCTATCATTGGATCTTGAGATGGCGATGTATACCATGTGTAGAATAGTGATTCTATTCTGAGCCCTTGACGAGCTCGAAAATACCGGACAATAATATAAAACACTTTGCTTTACCGGATACACGGAGGTTGTTATCACATGAATGTGAATTGTTAAAATATTTATTTGGCCTGCCCGTGGACGTACCCGGAAGTTGGAATTAGCAAGGGGTTCAGGGGGGTGTGGTACCTAAAGTTAAACTACCAGGGGTATGATAGCGGGGCTGTTAACAGGGGCACGAACCTTAACGCGACGTTTTACGGGTCTGTTCCGCCCTGCCGCGGAAAGTCGTTAGAGCCTATTTTAGACGCTAAACTTAGTGTGTCTTGTGGGGGAGCGGTCAATTTTGGCAATTCAAGATATTTTTCTTGACAAGCTTCGATTTTCTTGATATGCGACGACCTCGAATAACGGTCTTTTCAGTGAACCTTCGCAAGATATACGAACAAAATATACGTCTACCTATAACGTAATAACCATAATTGGAGAAATTGATCTGAAATCGATCACCACCACCGCGAACTAGGCGGCGCGCTTCCCTTTACCCATTGTTGGCGGATTGATGATGCCGTAGTTAAGCGCAATACATAACAGAAGCAAGAAAAATGGCAAAGCGCAAGTCATACGGTGGTGAAGGCGGTCATTCGGGGAAGAAGCAAAAGACTGCTCACGTACATGACCCGCCAACCTCGGAAGAGATCTATAATGGAAGACAACTTCGTCAACTACTAGCTTTCGAGCAAGATCTTCGACAAGCTCGGCATGGTACGTCGTTTTCACTCTACAGCGAACCTATCCCTCGTCGCATAACACTAACAATTATGATACATAGGCCTCCAGTCGTTTAAGAACCTCCTCGATAGCATCGTCAACGGCGAAGATGAGAACTCCGAGAAGCAGCAAATATTACTCGAATATCTAGAAGCGGTAAAGCCTAGAGAAAGAGACGATGAAGTCCCGGTTTATCTACCTGACATAATGGAAACATGGGGCATGGCCGTCCAGATGAACAATGAGAATGTTATGTCTGCCGTCGCCGTCATACTCGCGCTGCTCCTCAAGGTCTTATCCGCAAACGTAGATCACGTATCATACGGCCTGGGAATATGTCGAACCCTACTCCAAAAAAGACAACAGGAATCTATCGCTAAGAATCTTTCGGCCGACAATGGCAAAGATTTTATAATATCGCCCACATTAAGGCTTCTTAGGGAAGTCGTGTGCTTAGATGGTGGTACACTTGCTGCGCCAACATTCAGAGCCAGAAACTATACGTTCAAATCGCTTGCAAGGAATATGGGACTTCGATACTTAGGAGAAGGTGTGGAAGATCCAAAACGGCCGTCTGTTAGAACAAATGCGATTCGATTTCTACTAGGCAGTCTGAGGCTTCTCTACGTTGAAGCGAAGCGCGATCTACTATCGCAGAAGGACATTGTCGCCGCTCTCATGAGACATATCAGAAAGGACCCTCCTTCGCTGATCTACGAGATATTAAATACTCTAAGATCATCCGTCATTCTGGACAAAAAGCTACCGAAGGAGATCAAGATTAGGATCCTAAATGCTTACTCGCTTATCAGGATAGCAGAACTTTATGGACACCCCGAAGATGTTACAGAGCAAGAGGGCGAATCGGAAGGCGAGCGACCATCAGTTGAAGATTCAGCCCATGCGTTTTTGCTTGCTGCTTGTACCGATTCCGATGCAGGTATCCGTCGGTCAGAACATGGTTATTACCCCGATGGCGTAGATCCTAATGCGGCACCGTCGAGTGCCAATGACGATCAGCCTGTGGACTTCGGTATCGATAGCATCCCCTGGATGAGCAAATTTGAAAACGATGTACCTGTGCGTAACATGTTGTTGGCGGAATTTATCCAGACGCTGCGGCCGTGGTCCAGCACAAAACAGAACGATCTGCTCGTGGCAATTTTCGAAAAGTCGCCAGAATTAATCGCCCATTATTTTTGCCACCGGAAATCATTCTCGTTTGATCCAAAGTTGACAGCGACTTGGATTGGATATGCCGCATTATTATACAATGCTGTTCAACTTCCGATCCCGTCCTTCTTTGGGCATGCCAAGGGATATGCGAGAGTTCCGCCTCCTACGTCTGTGGTACTTGGAAACATAATCCCATTGCCTATGACGCTGAAAGCGATCACACGATGTTTCTCGATTAAATCCAAATTGGCTTCTTTTTATGCTATTCGCCTTTTGACTTTGTCGATACAAAAGCTAGGACGAGCTCTTGAGATGTACCGAGAAGCATCACCGTCATCCGATTCACTTTGGGAAGAAGCAGCTCGTCGACTTCTCGATGATTTTTACCAAAGGATACCGGATATGAAAGATATCATCAAATGCTACCTAGCAATGGATCAGAATGATCTACTTCAACGGCAAGCAGCGAGTCGCTTGCTGTTGCTTTATTACGAAGTCATTCCTCAGTTCTCACTAAGGGCCAAATTTGATGTCTCGCCAATACTTCTCTCTACAATCAAGAAGGTTGAGACCTCCGAAGAAACGGGCGAAGACATGGTTATGTCTTTGTTGGAACTCGAGAATTTGTGTGCAATTGCAAAATACTCCCCAAACATGCGATGGTTTGCTCGAACTTCTGACATGTCCCATTCTCCATTTACGACTCTCTTAAGACTTTCTGTCGAGAAGACGACTGGACTGTCTAATGAGAGTTTAGGTAATGTCCTATATTGGGTTGCTAGCGAGCATCAATTGGTTGAAAACAGACCAAACTCTCAGGGGCTGTATCCCTTAATAGCAGCATTAAGAAGTCTTGAAAATATCGATCCAGCGATTTGGACATTCTTGGACAATTGCGCCGAGCGATGTGCTAGGACACCAGTCAAATATCTTGAAATGATTGAAGAGCAGCTTGAAAAGGCCAAGGTGGCTGAAGATAAGAACGTTATCACTTGTCCCCTCATGATGACAATTGCGGAACAACTTCCGTACTTGATTTCGTCGTCGCCTAGCAAAACCACACTGAAAGAACTGGTCCAGTTTCTTTCGGAATATCTGGGATATTCTCTTGCTTCTGGTGTTAACAAGCGTTTCTTGAAGGCCACCAAGGAACTTCTGGCTAGTGGTCTTGGCGAACAGAAAAAATTAGGAGCGAAGCTACGCATCCTAGAGAGAGAAATATCTACATCCGAAACACAAAACAATTCTCACCAAGATACCACCACCGTTACTAATGGGCTGGTTAACGGCGTCATAAATGGAACAGACAATGATTCAGACCACGAAATTAGCCCACATGGCTTAGAACAAAGGCTCTCGGTACCTATTATAGTGACCAAGGATAGTTCATTATCGAGATGGACATCTAAAACACCTGAAGAACTTGTCGAGGAGGGATATGCGGCTTCACTAATACGTTTGCTTCTATCCGAGCATTCGAGTATCCGGAAAGAAGCTCTTACTAGCATCGTTAAAGTGGCCGCGAAGGTCAAGGAATCGACATATGAGAACAATGAGCAAGTGTGGCTCTTGCTCATGGAGCTTGCAGAATCAGCCCGCAGTCTAATCGATAATGGTCCCCTGTCGAGCATGATCGTCACTTTTGCTTGTAAAGCTCTCGAGGTCCTAAGCAACCCCCTACATTGCCTCTACGAGAAAATCAATTTATTTCTTACTAGCAGACCAGTGTGGTCTCTGGATAGGATACCTCTCATGCAGAACATTCTCCAGGAGGGTCCTACCGACGATGGCGCATTCTACTCGGAAATCAGTTGGCTTCTAAGCTTCCTCCTCGACAGCTTACGGACGCCCGCGGACATCGCCCTATTTCACCAACGCAAAGTCTTCGAAAGGCTGTTTGCACTGACTTGCAACCCCTTCATGGGCCCTAATCTGAGGACCCAGATCTTGCGGATCGTGTATAGAACGACGACCATCGAAGGGGGGAGTGACACCCTGATCACGAGGTTCGGGACTGTAAGCTGGGTATTGGCTCAGAGAGATACCACGACGGATGCTGATGAACGTGCGATATACCAGGCGTTGCTGGGAAGGTTATGGAATACTTGTGATCAAAAACGGATTTCGGAGTGGAGCAAGGGTGGCCTTGAGAGGCTTGTAGCATAATGATACACATGGTATACCTACATGTATATACTAGTTAGGTAGTTACTGGTATATACAAGGGAATGAAATGGCCATATAATTAAGGCATTTTCGTTGTTTTTGTCATTTTTTGCGAGTCATTTTAACTTGGGTGATTTGGATGACTGTGTTAAATATGTTAAATGTATAATAATAGGCTTCGGACAGTACTAGAATCCCGTCATTGCTTTTGAAGGTTAGCGATGTGAGAGTTTGATAGAATTACATAAGCATTTGACCATTTAAATGACCTATTAGACCAATTCAGGCATCAAGGCTGAGGTGTGGACCCACTCAGGTTGCACGCTAAATTGGCGGTCGCTGCTTAATCCATGGTACAGTAAGGGGCCAGCTGCTCAGTGCTGTCATAAAAAGCTAGGTAGGTACATTGTACCTGCCCCATGAGGAAAAGGCACAGGCCACTCGACACTTCCCACACCCACATGCAGTGCCTTCGTATCTTTAAACTTCCAGAACCGAAAACTTGAAGCGTTGTCTCCTCAAGAAAAACATTTGGACAAAATGTTTTGACATTGACCTACCACTTTCACACCTTGCCTTCCAACCGTCCACCGTCCAGCTGTACCAACAGCACCAACAACACTTACAACACTTACAACACTCAAACACTTTAACAAATCCCACTATACGGAGCACCTGCACTAATTATTATTTCTGCATCAATCTAAAATCTCAAGGACCACTTACCACATTACCGCATTACCGGTTTTATTTATAGTTACAAACTTTCTTGACCTCTCACTTCGATAAGTCGTTGTGATATTGGTCGTCGCCTTCCATCTTCAAGTGGTTCACACCATCATCATAATCTCACCGGTCGCCTCTTCAATTGGACTCTTCCTATCGGACGATTTAAATCACCATTTCCAAGCCAAATCGGCTTTGGTGATTGACGACTCTTGACCCTAGGCCTATAATTCCTTGAGCCCAACACACGTCTCACCACCAAAAATCCTCCTATCGCCCTCCACCTTTCGCTCTTTCACCCCGCACACGCCAGGCGTTTCTCCAAAAACAACATCAAGCAGCCTTGTCAATCCAAACCTATCTAGACCTTGTTCAGATCCGAATCGCTGAATTTCGTACTACCCCGACCACGACTTACTACGACTACGTGCGCGTAAACTACGGCCTCGGTCCACCACAAATCTATATCACTCAACTTTAAACAACCCGTCATATACACAGATGCTATGGCAATACGATACTCAGTAGACGCGTTAGTTTTCCTGCGCGAGTCACCACTATGTATCAAGCCAGGCACCCTGCCTCCAGCGGAAGAATGGATGGGGTACGTTATGACTGATAATAATAAGATCGAGTCTGCATCTAACTCTAATCAATATTTTAGACCACCTCCCGAAACCTTTCGCAATAGCCAAGGCAACAACAACAACAAACCTGGAGGAGAACGAGGTAAAAACAATGACAGCTTTCTGTTAGACCAATCTAACCGACGACTAGGTGTCGATCGACATGCTTCGCGAAATGCTAGTAGTATGTCCTCACACTCTCTTCCCTTTTGACTTCCTCTGACGTGGATCTAGCTGCCGAGGATATTATCCTTGGGCCACCACGAACGACATTCTCATCGGCAACACTCTCAAGAGCCAACAAACCTTTCGAGAGTGAGAAGAACCCCAAAGACACTGATGCGCGAGATCGGTTTGCTTTCCGTTCCAGGAACGGCGACGCTGATAACTCTGATCGTTTCCGTGATCGTGATCGTGAGAGAGATCGCGATGGTAGGAACAATTTCCGCCGACGCGGCGATGCTGACCAAGACAGCGAGGGCTGGAGCACTGTGAAACCCCGTAAGAGTTTTGGGCATGAAGGTGCTGAACGATTCCATGGCCGCATGGGTGATCGCCCCGACCGCTTTGGAGGAGATCGTCGATCACGCGATCAGGATGACCGCGAAACTACCGACCGGCCCCGTCGGGCTTTTGGCGAGTTTAGTAAAGAAAAGGAGGGAGATGAATTGGAGAAGCCTCGCAGAAATGGCGTGAATAGAAACAGAGCGGAGCAGCCTTGGTCAAGAGACAATACCAACGCCAATACCAACACCAACAACGGTGAGGCTTCTGTGCCTCGAGGTTTTGATCGATCCAAAAGTTGGAGGGACAGGAATGACGATCACCAAGGCGACCTACACCAAGATAAGCCGAGGGAGAGAACATTTGAGCGAAGATGGGATCGAGATCGGGATCATCGTCAAGAACGTGAACCGGAATGGCTCGATGAACCCGTCGAAGAGCAGGCTCAGGCTCATACTCAAGAAGACTTCAAGAAGTTCATGGAGAGTATGAAAGCAGGAAAGAATCCTGCAAAGACTGAGCCTGCCCCTACTCCAGCCGCCGAAGCACCTGTACCACTGGAGAAGGTTGAGAACGAGAAGACGAAAGTCAAATCAACTCCGGCTATTGAGATAGGACCGGATAAGTTCTTTGCTGCATTTGGTCAGAGCACAAGCATCGAAACACCTGGAAATATTACCGAGGCAGCTAAGGAGAATGCCGTTCCTGCCGTTAAACCTAAGTCAGGATCTAGATTCCAGAAATTGTTCTCGACGCAGGAAGAGTCAAGACGCCAGGTTGAACTCCCAGCTCCTGCTGCTAGTGCACCCCCACCAAGCGAGATAAACCCTCTCTTGGCTATGGCCGGGGCACATCCACAGAATGACGTAGCCGAGAAGGTTGCTTTCCAAGCACTACTTCAGAAGCTCCAGAAGCAGACGCTTCAACCTACCCCTCCGCCGTCCGGCGGGTTTGCAGAGCCTCCTCCAAGTCATACAATTACTTCGCCCGGCCCCTATCAACCTTATATACAAGAGCGTCGTGAGGAGCCGCTCATTCGTGGCCCTCCACAGGGTCAGGAAATTCCTACACCTAGACAGCACCTAAATCCGCAATATGCCGGGATGCGCTCGGAGCAGCAGGTGCTGCAAGAACTCATTGGACAACGCCATCTTAGTCAGAGTCAGAATGCGGGGCGTTCTGATCAGCCATCAAGGAATAGCAACAGTAATGCCGAATTCCTTATGACTCTCATGCAAAGTGCCCGCGCAGCTCCCGAGGGCCGGGGACCCGAGCAGCTTGCTATGAGAATGCCGCAGCCTTCTAGACCTGCGCAAATTCTTCCAACACCAGATCGAGAACTCGATTATCAGCACGAGCGTACCATCTCGCAGCACCAGGTCGGTCGCCCCACCAACCTACCCAGCTTTTTTGATGAGGCGCAGTTGCATCACCGCGAGCCAGATAGCCGTCCGCAACAGCCCACTCAGATCCTTCAACGCCAGGCTCCTCCTGGTTTGGATCAAATGCACCCAACCGCTTGGATGCAAAACAGCGGACAGCAAATGCCACCCCCGGGGCGACCTATGATTCCTCCTCCGGGCTTGGCAGGGAACCCGCGCAACGGTCCCGTCCCGGGTGGCTTCCCCCCGGGAAACTTTCCTATTGGTGGATTTCCTCCGGATGGAATAGCCGGTCCGCCGCGCAACATGGCTCCGCCTCCCGGCTTCTTTGGTGGCCCACCGCCGCCAGGATTCATGCCTCCAGGTATCCCTGGTTTCCAGGGTCCGGAGAATGTAGCATTTGGATTCGACCACCGCGGTATGCCTCCTCCGCCAGGTGCTTTCCGTCGGAACTAGAACTTCTGGGGATAGTTACGTCACGCAACGTTGATTAATAAACATTACCCTGTACCAACCCCGCTTATACGTGAAGTCGACTTGAAAGGTCTCGATAAACTTTGAATATTTCTCCCCCAACGGTGGCAATTGTACTGGTAAAGTTGTGATCGCGAGGAATCGAAGAAGATAAGAAAGAGTAAGGCTGAAGAAATGGAAGCAATTCCTTTTGCCGTTGTTGGGGCACCAAAAAAAGGATCTATAGGCAGCCTAGGTACCTATAGTATGTATGATTGTAATACCCTCCCTTTTTGTTCCCTCTCGCTGCCAAAAACAAAAGAATACTGGCATCGGAAAATGAGACGCTCTTCCTGCTAGTTAACCGTGTGTTTTTCGGGGGGACCTCTTCCTTCTACGTGACTATAGTGGCATGGCACTATCAGGTATACTGGACAAGTCCGTTTTTGTGTATGCGTGTTTTCCGATAACGACGTAGCTTAGCTAGACGCAAAGGGATAGGGATCTGGGATGCGGAATGTGTTTCGCAGCCCGGCTCGGGGAATTGATGATACTGTACTGAACTCGCTCGCGAGGTTGTCTTATGCTTCTTGCTTGCTTTCTCTGTTTGATGCCGGTGGTTGTTGAGTGAATTGTATGTATGTATGTGGCTTAAGAATTTTGCTTTGCTAAAGCTTTATGATTTGTTGTAAATTCGAATTATGTATAGCTCTTTACTGGGAGTACCTAGGTAGAAGTAGGATTGCTTTTTTTCTAGTTCTTTTTTGGATTCGATCCTGGACCTCCGGACTATCTCCCAGCGCACCGGACTTCGGGCGAAGGGATGATGACGATCGAGAAACCGAAAAAAAAAAAAAATCTCGCTTGTAGGATTGAGAGAGGACGTGGTGCTTACCCGTATTATGTTTCTGGGTGTTGGTAATAGCATGGCATTGTTCAGGTAAATACTACCTACATACATGGGCGTTATTAGAAATATGGTGGCGGTTCAGGGCTCGATGACTAAAGATACGATTTGAGGAGTCAGGAACACATACGGCATTATTCAGCTATGATTCGAACTCGTCTATATCCGTAGCTCTTTGCCCCCGTTCAGTTTATCTCCTTATCCTAGATGCCATTACTGATGGTAGTCAGCGTGTGGAATGCGTGGTCATATGACCTGTAGTACGACCGGCACATTATGAAAGGCAGATAGGTTCGTTGGCTAGTATTATCTATCGACTTAGATTCATGGGCTTATATTTAACTACTCTAGGTACCCAGGGTCAGTTATGTAAGTAGGTCTCGCTCGATTAGTCTCGAGGGCAATCCGTTCCTTATTTCTCACCATCCAGAATTACGCAACCACGTATCTCAACACAACTCAGCGCTCGCTCTATCGACCCCGATTATCAACAAGTAGGTCAACTCCTCAACGCCATGCTCTAGTTTATATGTAATATGCATGCGCCAATCCACTCTATCCGGAATCTGGTTTGGTCTGATCTGTCTCCAAGCGCTCGATAGGACCATAGCCAACAACCAAGAAAGGGCACCCAGGTTTTTCTATTTGATTTGGCGGGTGCCTCTCATTGTATAACTGCGTATTGAGGTCCATCCTATTTCTAGTCGATGTAAATCTTTCTTCGTTCAACTATCCTTTCTTCATCCCAAAGATGTTCCGCTTCTTCTTTTCCTTTTCTAGCTTTTGAGGTTTTCCGCTGCTTGAGGATGTCATATCACTAGCGTTAGATGGCCTGGAGGAGTGAAGGGACATGCTGCTCATTGCTTGAGTGGGTAATGTAGCAGGCTCGCTGGCTAGTCTTGGACCTCCCGGTAATCCACCTGGTCCAGGTGGTCGTACTGGTGCTTTCTGAGCACCTCCGGGAGGTGGGCGCTGTCCTGGTGGTCCTGGTGGGGCTCCCATTGGCGGAGGAGTAGGCCGTTCGCGCTCGAATAAGTGTGCTGGTGCTCTTGGGGGCGGCCTTTCCATGGGGATATCAAGTCTCCTCTTATCCACGCCAAGGTCACCCACCTGCCTCACAAACAGCTGCGGCGTTAACATATGGCTAGTGGCTAAGAAGACATCACGGTTCATAGCCGCGCTGACCTCATAACATGAGCGCGACTCAGAAAATGTCGCCCCGCCAGCCATAAATACAATGATGCGTTGCCTATTATCTACGACACGCCTCCCGGCACCAGCCCAACTAGGTTTCGCCGCTCGCAAGGAACCCTGGCCAATGAGCGCATCTTCATTAGGGTCTAGCGGGGGCTTGATATAGGGGAATGAGGTCTGATCTAAAGCGCCCCTGCATAAGTATTCCAACATGGTCTTCACCGCAGGATTAAACCGTGACATATAATTATCCTCGGCGATCGGTGTTTTCGTGTCGATAGGAAATAAGAGTCGTAGGTCTTTGCGGACATCCTTAAGACCATGTGTCGTACGACCTCCAAGTAATTCCATATTTGATATGATTTCGCCGTCTTGTGGCGGCAGTGCTGCATGCGCTAAGAGCCTCTTGATATCTTCGGGTATTACTCCATCGCGATAAAGGAGATACAATATTATGAGACGAAGGCGGTCTGACTGTGACACAGCATCGTCATCTAATAGACGGACAACTGTATCCAGTACATTTTTGGGTTTCCGATTGTCTTCATCCAGACCAGTAGCCATGTCTTGTTCTATAGGTGACATTTCGTTCAGCTTGTGATGTTGAAAGATGTTCATACATTCTTGCGCCATCGTTAGATGGAGAGAATAAGCCTCTTTCATCTCCTGGAACTGCGGCAACCCCGCCATCATATCTTTGATCGCATTTAAGCTAGTCGTGTCGCTATTTGCGTTGGTAAAATGCGGATTTTCGTCCAAGAACCTCTGGAAGTCTCCCATCAATTTATCGATGGTATCCTTCATATGCCTGTGTCGATTCTCCACCCATACTTTATCCTTGTCGGTGAGCTCCATATCCTTCTCTTCGGCATCCGGCGATCCTTCATTGACGGTCATGTGGAATGTCGTCTTGTCTCCGTCCTTAATTGGCAGCAGGTCATGCGCCATTGCTTGATATGTAAATTCGTGAATCAGGGGAGACATCAGATCCATGGACCTATCGGTCACTATGAGGACACCTTGCGGACGTGAACTCGGCGGTGGAAAATTGGGATTCCATTGTGCATATTCGTCTAATTCCTCAGATATAAATCGGGCAAGATGCGATGATAACACACTGGCCTCATGTATTGGGTTCTGTGGTCGGTAATAGCGAACCTTTGGGTATTCGCCGAGAGTCACGCACAAACCGGTAACCTGTCATTCTTTCAGTCAGCTAGAAGGCGTGGGAAGTAAGCTCGAGTCTCTCTGCAAACCTTCTGAGCTAAATCTTGCATATGTTTTCGAATCAGTCCATTGCAAGAAGGGTGGTATAAAATCGGAAAACTCCAGGGGTCTCGAAATGTGACAAGATGCGATTCGCGGGGGAAGAAATCGATGGACAGGGTCTCGAAACCGGCGATGGCCTGCTTTGCTAGGGCAGAACCGTCTATTCGTCTCCTTAGCTGGGGATCGAGCACGGTAGTCCATACTAGAAAGGTCCTTTGATACCTTCGGCGTTCGATATCGGCCATGAGACAGTCGACAATATGCGGTTGCGGTGACAGGATGTATATCGCGTCCATGGTCGGGTTCATCTCTCTGCGATCTTCGATGCTTTCGATGTCTGCAATACTCCCTTCAGCTTATGCGCCAGAAGCAGAACGTGGCCGGGTAACGTACTCGCAATGTTATGATTGAGGATATCATCTTCCTTAACGACATTGTCAATGATTTTCTTGGAATCACTGTCGACGACTAGAATTTTCCACTATTCGTAGGCTTCATTAGTATAACCATAACCGATATCGACCATGGAGGAGGCTAGATGAGACTGCTAGATCGTATAAAGGGGCAACTTACATCACCGGCAGTTATGTTTTTAATAGTAGTTATGAGAACTGTGCGCAAATAAGAATCAATATTGTTAGCAAGATGTGCGATGAATTGGACCTTGCTGACCATTCACGATGGGTTTCTAGCCTTATTGGGAGATGGAAGATGGGGGAGGTCTCACTGTCGCGTTGCTCTTCGATCACAGATACCCCCATCTTGGCTATTAGCCCGTAGGCGCTATCTAGCCCTTAGAGATAGGTTATTTCGATGGGGTTATCCGAGTAGAAAAAAAAGGTGTGGTGTTGTTGGTAAAGTTGGTAAAGTTGGCGAAGTTGGATAAGCTACCTCCTAGAGGCAAGCTCCTATAAGTACCTAGGGCTAGCTAAAGACCGGTGTGATGCACCACTGCTGCTGGCAATTGCTTGCTAGTAGTACCTAGGTAGCCGTTATAAGCTATCATGTGCACCGGTGATTGAAAGGTAACGGGTTAGGCGAGCGGTGAGTGCTGAGTGCTGACCGTTTAGAGCGTTGAAAAGGTTGATGAACACATTGGAACTGACAACTGACAACGTGTGGAAGTAGAGGGAGGATTGAGTTTCAAAGAGACGGGGCTACAAGAATATGATAATGTGGTACTTGGCCCTTGGCGGGGTCAATATACACTAAATGGCTGGTCGTCAGCGGTTGGGTTTCAGGGAGCCAATCCACTAATGCGTCCAACTTTTGAACACTACCGCAGACACTAGAAGCCACAACGCTTCCCCACCTTCCCACTTCGTCATCCTTAGTCAAGAGACAGTAAAGGTTAACTGCTGCTGCTGTCACCAATTTCAATCTAAGCAACTTTGTATTTATTTAAGGTTGCCGCGTATGTTCTAATGACAAATTCAAATTGTCTATCCAATATTAGCGAGAACGGAAAAAGAAGTGCATAATATTAGTTTTTTTTGTACATTTTGTGCGGCTCTGTTTCCTACTACTCGCGGACCGTATCATTTAGAAACCAATGCTAGTCTATAAAAGGGGTATCTCAATGCGACAAGTCGCTCTCAAAAAAGGCATCTATACGTTTCGATAAGAGTCTTCCCCTGTCAACCTGTTCCCAAATATCTCTCCACATCCGGGTTGCCATAGAATTGTCTTCGGAGCTTCTCATGCCGTTTCTTATCCTCTAACGCCATCTTCCTTATCTTTTTCGCATCAAAAGTCTTTGGTTTCTCTTTCTTCATTGGTAGATTCTTCGGTACCTGAACACCTATTCCTAAGGTGTCGTTCTTTGGCTTCACTTTGATGGGATATTGCATGCCTTGCTGTTCAACCCCCAATCCCTTTCGGGAGTCTGGATCCCAGCCTTGGGATTGGAGGACGCTTAGACCCATTCGCGAGCGGTCTAGTGCTGAAGGTGGATGAGAATGAGCCATGCATACTTGATGAGCTATCGATGCTTCATGTGGTCGAGGCTCTGCTTTTATTTTTTCGCCAGACTTGGGATTCTCATCTAGCGGTAACTGACAGATTTCGCAGATCTGAGATGTGGTGGCGTCCGAATCTTCCGTTGATGCAGACTGGCTAACTTCCCTATCTTTGGGTAATACTATGCTTAAATATAAATCGGATACGGAGTGTGAAGTATTGACAGGCGCATTTTCTTCTGTGGTTTTCAAGTTGCCTGAGGATGCCGGAACGAAGACTACTCTTTTTCGTTTGAGTCCTGATCCAAATGGTCGTTTATTTTGAAGAGGGACATCATATTCGGGATCGCTCCATTCTTCATCGGCCATTATGGAAGCCAACGATTTTCTGAGTTGAATTTCAAGCGCGCTTATGAATGGTCGCGAACTTGAATATATCCAACTGTCCTTTTTCGATGAATTTGGGGAAATCAAAATGAAGAAGGGAAAGTTGAAAGTTGAAAGGTGATAAGAAGAGCTGATAGGCGCCTATATGATGAGGCGAAAGTCTGGAAGTGACAGGGATCAGCTTATAAGTGGGACGCTATCCCGGGCATCAATCAGCCTTGCATTTCCGATCTATCACCCCTGACATTTCCTGTTAGTGCAAGAAATTCCAAAAGCTGTCGTCACAAACCCCCTGCCTTACAATTACAGTTTACGTAGCCTGTATTTTGTACTGCCTTCCACGTCGGAGTGATGGAAGTAGCTAACAACTAAATTTTGCTATCTTTTTTTCTTTTTTCTCGTTCATTTTACTTCCTTCAACATTTCTGTCACTTCCGTTAGATTATTATGCCTATCCCATTCCTTTGGGAGACATATGTAAATGGCGCCCCGGCGTGGGTGCCCGGCTGGGCACGCGATCCGTGGACCTTACTCCAAATCGGAGTTGCCGCCGCATTTCTCATTGTTCTGAAGCGATATTTCAGCGGTGCTAGAACTCTAATGGAACGTAACATGCATGGCCGGGTAGTGATGATCACCGGTGGGACATCAGGTATAGGCGCCGCCGTCGCTCAAGAATTGGCTACACGAGGAGCCCAAATCGTACTCCTTACCCGATTACCGCCGTCGAACCCCTTCCTCGCAGACTACATTGGAGAATTACGCCAACAAACGAAAAACCAAATGATATATGCCGAGCAAGTCGATCTCTCTTCTTTGCATAGCATCCGTCAATTTGCTACAAAGTGGATTGACAATGCGCCACCGAGACGATTAGACATGCTTATTCTATGTGCTGCTACCGTTACGCCTCCTGGGAAGAAACGGACAGAGACAGAAGAAGGGATTGAGGAGATGTGGATGGTCAATTACCTCGCCAACTTCCACTTATTAGGAATTCTAAGTCCGGCACTCCGAGCCCAGCCGTTTGACCGCGACGTTCGAGTAATTATTCCGACATGTTCATCCTACATCCGATCCCCATCGCTTAACAACGAGTTGCTGAAAAAGGAGTGGACTCCGGCGAAAGCTTATGCTAGAAGCAAGTTAGCTTTGATGGTGTTTGGACAAGCCTTCCAGAAACATTTAGATGCGTATGAACGACCCGATAAACTCCCAATGAATTCTCGAGTCGTCTTTGCCGACCCTGGATTTACTCGTACCCCTGGAATGAGGCATTGGTTGACTCGTGGCACGATCTGGGGCTTGATGGTTTACCTATCTTCTTATCTAATCCCTTGGTTTTTTTTAAAGAGCCCAGAAATGGGTGCTCAGTCTATTCTACATGCCGCAATGGACCCGGACCTAAGCAGAGGACCAGGTGGGAAGTTTATCAAGGAATGCATGGAGATCGACTTCGCAAGGATAGATGTTAAAGATGAGGAGGTCGCAAAGAAGCTGTGGGAAGCAAGCGATAAACTTATTGAAAAGACCGAAAAGGATCAAGCTGCTTTGAGAGTGTTAGAAAAGAAACGCCAGGAAGTCAAAGATAAGGAGAAGCAGGAAAAAGAGAAGGCTGATGAGATTGACGCCTTAATAGGTTCTATTAAGAAAGGAAAGGAGGCTGAAAAGAAGACTTCACGACGGAAAGGGAAAAAGGCGGCATCATGAATATACGAAGAAATAGAGGGACTAATATTGACGATCCTGCTTCCGACTTTTCTACAGTACAATGCAAAAGAAACCATTCCGACATAAATATGAAATATGTTACAAACGATGTCATAACTTATGAGTACGATTCTCTAGATAATCGAATATTTAGAGTTCTTGAGGCATACGCAACAGTATGCTCAGCATCTACAAATTTATGGATTTGATTTGAATCTTCCCAGCCACCATTGGTAGATGCCGAAACCGCTAACTCGACTTCATACCCCTGGTACCTACCTACATAGTACCTAAGATAAACATAATCATATCTAGTAAAGCATAGGCTGCATACACGTACAGATTGCCCTAGTACGATAATGGTAAATTTCTTGAGAATGACTTGCTAAAAGATACCGAGATGTGGAGGACTTCAAGGTTTACTTCATCCTTGCGACATCAAGTACATACAAACTTCGGAATGAAAGCCGAGCCTACACCAAAGTCAAGGTAGCACTTTTCGGAATTCCCGATTAATTTTTAAGAATACAATTTCTAGACATCTACATGAAAATAATAGTTCTGTTTTCTTATTAATTCAATAGTAAACAAAACATAATGTTACGGCATTCAGCTTCGCAAGTCTTTGGTGGAAAGCACCCTGCTTTATCCCCACGTGGGGATGACGACATTGAACCTCGGGTTAGTTTTATTCAGCTTCCAACTTATTCACACCCATCATTTATCCACCCATCCCTATCTACTTACACATTTACTAACTCTAATTCTAGCCCAATTGGCTGTTAATCTCAAAGAATTCACGTCCCGTAGTCGAACGATTGCATCAATTACCCAATCCCGATTTAAGTTCACCGCATTTTGAAGAATCCGCTCCGATGCTAGCCCCGATAATCCAACCTCTGCCGCACGTCCGTCACATGCCATCTACGTCGGCCCCTTTCTCTTCGGCATCAACTATGATAACACCAATAGCGACAAGAGATGCTTCGAGCTTGCACCCAGTATTCTTCACGGCGAGGTTACGGAAGTCGCCATTTGTACTTAATGCAGCAGGACTAGTCAATCCTGTCGCGCACGGCTATGCTTATGAAGAATCACGAAGGAGAGTCGGCGGGGCTATCCCGGCTATGTTATGAGGAATGATTTCGCGAAAGGAGTTATGAAATGGAACAGAAATTTATATGACAATTGGGCCAATCTTAAAGAGTACCTAATCATGGGGCAAACTATCAAGTTCGATCAATCTGATTGAGGCTAGGAGTACAAGTTGTATGTACATGAGATAAGAGCAGAAAACCTTCAGAATCAGGGTATCGCGGTCGACAAAGGGAACGGCGAGGGCTGCTCTTCCATAAGCCTCGATACCAGCTCAAGCCCCCTTGATTTACCAGTCCTATCCTAGGAAAAAAGGGGGGAAACGCCCATAGAAATACAATGTTGCCTCAACGTACGAGGTCTGTCGCTCTCCACGATAAACATGTAGACCCTTAAAACAAGCCCAGCCGATCCGTAAAATGAAAAGAGATTATTAGTTTTGATTCGTTTCTTTATTTCTTTCGCCGGCTCATCCCGTAGCATTCTTAACCGCGATCACTATCGCGACAATGATCAAGACAAACACAACAACGAGCAGCGCCATCAACTTGACGTTCTTCCACCACATCTGGCGTTTGAGACCCCGACTCCGGACTCTGAACTCGCGCGCGCTGCCGCCAAGACGATCGGTCTTGTCGACGAGGAGATCGATGCGCTCGCCCCTCTCGAGTAGGCCCTCAATATTACGTGTCATGATTCCTCGAACATCATCCATCTCGCGCTGAACGTTCGTGATAGCGTCGTCGCGGCCACCGCTAGTGGTTCCGAACTCGACCATCAGATTCTTCAGCTCCGCGTTGAAGCTGCCCGCGCCGTAGTTCGGCATGTCCGCGAAGTCGGCGTGCTCCGCGTCGAACTCGTCGAAGAACCGCTTCCGGATCTCGAAGAGGAAACCAAACGGCACGCGCCGGCCCAGCGACGACTCCGCGATCACGAGGAAGGTGAGGCCGCCGGCGGATGGGTTGTTCGGGTGCGCGGACGACGCCTCGGAGATGTAGTGGATGTGGTGGGAGCCATGGGTGTACGTGAGCTTCTGCGGCGAGTCGTGGTCGATCTTGGGTAGGATTAGGGAGGCGAGCGACGAGGTTTTCGAAGATGACGACGTCGTGCATTCGGAAAGGATGGTAGTATGGTGCGCGATGCACGAGCTGTCTGTTTATTAGCCTATTCATTGGTTGAATCCGACGGGTAAGACATAGTAGGTCGAGACGCACTAGAGAAGTGGAGTTTGTGTCGATGAAGACGCCATGGCGAATATAGGGATCCTATCCTAAAGAGATCGATTGTTCGGATTCTTGGATTGGATAGTCGATAAATTAGGAGAGTATAAAGCGGTCGCTAGGATTGTCAAGGGGGGAGGAATCGAAAATTTGATGAAGACAGTCTTAGGATAGGAAATAGAATTGAACAAAGTCTAAGTCAGCAGTTCCGCAGCGTTGGGTCTGAGATGCCTTCTAGCCAAAGTTAATGACGACGGGAATGCGTTTAGTGTCAAACCACCCAATAGTATAGGGGAGTACCTGCCTGCCATTAAAACTCCGTGCGAAAAGTAAATACAACACGGTGGATCTCTCATGAGAGCCATACCTATAACGGTTAAACCGTGGGATTGACGATAAGAAATTTCATCCCACCTTAGATAGATTGCGTATCGATAACTCTCATATTATAGCAAAATGTTGAAGTCGACGATTTCAGATTTGCCTCTAGAATTTTCATTTTCAAAGGGATTAATTGAAGGATTAGTCGCTGGCTAATTTAAATGGGAAGGGAGCATTTCTAATATGATTCCCAACCCTTCCACTCTTTATACGCGCCATGAGCCTCCTTCTCAGAACTGGATCGGCTAGATCAAGCTGCGCATTTCTCGTCTGCCGCAACCATGGCCGCAAACATGGCTTTGCAACCACGGCTTCTAGCGCCAGGGTAAGATTACTTGGGTAATTAGTACCTAGCAGCAGTTATTAATATACTTGCAGGTGTATAACAAACGTAAATCAGCCGCTGATGCCCATCATGCTGCCTTCTTTGCTCGAAAGGATGAAACGCCACGGCAAATTGAAATGGGACAAGGACGAGACATGAAGAAGACGTACAACATATTCCGCAACGTCATGCTTGGCAGGTATGACCTAGCAATGAGTACATGGCGGAGCTGGGCAGCGAAACAAAATGAATATAAAGGTTTCGGGATCAACACGAGACTTGATTTCGACCGCGAGGTCAAGTTGTTCAGGGTCTCCCTTGAAAAAGCTTGCGACATAGCAAGTGAAAAAAATATGGTTTCGAAGGGCAACAACCCTCTATTTTGGGGTCTACGCAATGCCTTCATCGAAAGTGATATGCCTGGCCTCACCGACCAGTTGACATATGGCTTTCAAAATTTCCTCATGCGTACGAGATTCCCCAAGAATATCATCGCCACCCATAAACAGATTGCGGATTTCCGGTTTCCGCATGAATGGTTTCCCGCCACAAGAGCCTTGCAGCGCACTATATACCTACACGTAGGTCCAACGAACTCGGGAAAGACTTACAATGCCCTGAAAGCATTGGAGAATGCCAAGTCCGGTATCTACTCGGGGCCGCTTAGGTTATTAGCACACGAAGTCTATTCTCGATTCTTAGCCAAGGGTAAGAACTGCGCCTTGATAACCGGCGAAGAGCAACGAATCCCGGAGGACGATGATAACTACTTCCGAAGCTGTACTGTCGAAATGACCCCTCTGAATCTGCTGGTAGACGTTGCTGTCATCGACGAGATCCAAATGATCGGAGACGCGGAGAGAGGATGGGCATGGACACAAGCGTTTCTTGGCGTGCAAGCTAAAGAGGTTCATCTCTGTGGAGAAGAACGTATCGTAGATTTGATACAATCATTATGCGCCCTTATCGGCGACAAGTGCGTCGTCACACGATATAAGAGATTAAATCCGTTAGAAACTATGGAAAAGAGCATAGGGTCACTCAAAAATCTTGAAAAGGGCGATGCTGTTGTCACCTTTTCGAGGCTCAGCATACACACGCTAAAGAAACAGATAGAAGATGCTACCGGGCGTCGGTGTGCTATGATCTACGGATCACTGCCACCGGAAACTCGCGCTCAGCAAGCCTCGCTCTTCAACGATCCCAACAGCGACTATGATTTTCTTGTTGCCAGCGATGCCATTGGCATGGGCCTCAACTTGGAAATAAGGCGAGTGGTTTTCGAACAGACACACAAACGCAGCAAAAGTGGTTATCGGCAACTATCAACTTCGGAGATTAAACAGATAGGGGGCAGGGCTGGTCGATTCAGAACAGCCCGTCAGGCGGCCAATCCCGAGCTAGAATTAAGCCAGCCGATAAAAGCTATGCAACCCGGATTGGTAACAGCTTTGGATGATGGTAATCTTCAGACCATCAAGGCTGCCTTTAATCGAGAACCGGAACCTATACGGACGGCCGGCATTCAACCTCCGCCTTCCGCGATCGAGCGATTTTCATCCTACTTCCCGCCAAGGACACCATTCAGCTACATACTATCCCGCTTACGAGACATCGCCCATACTTCTCCGAAGTTTCACCTTTGCCAAGTAAAGGAGATGCTGTCTATTTGCGACCTGATCCAACCATTTCCTATGTCTGTCTATGATCGTTGCGTCTTCTTGAATGCGCCGGTCGCTCTGCGGGAGAGAGCGGGATCTTCAGTTGTGCAAAGTTTCGGAAAGTGTATTTCCCAGATGGGCGGCGGCGATCTTGTCGACATTAAAGCTGTTGACCTTGAACTCCTCGACATTGATGAGTCCAATTTTAAGAGCAACCCGGGCGAATACTTGCAACGGCTAGAAGCCCTCCACAAAACGATCACGCTTTATCTTTGGCTCAGCTATCGATATACTGGCGTATTCCGTAGCCAGAACCTGGCCTTCCATGTTAAATCGATAGTCGAGCAAAAAATCGATGACCACTTAGGCAAGGTTAGCGTTTCCGAAACCCAGCGCAGGGCGAGATTGGAAAGAATTCGGAGGCAGGCAGAGAAGACGAAGCATAAGAAGAAGGTGCTCCTTGGCGACAATGATTCAATCGACGGCCCTCAGCACGAATTACGAGGCGAGTGGAACGAAGAAGGGCACGAAGAACCCCTTTTTAACGGACCCGATGAGTTACGACCTATTACTCAACCAGAATCAACGTCCACGAGAAGCCACCGAACACATCATCATGAAACCAATACGCATGTACGTGCGCATGCTTAATATGAGCATAGAAAGCAACGCGGTTAGGTATGTAAAATAACAGTGTACCATATAGCAAACTAGAAAAATAAAGGATTTGTAGGATAAACCACCTGGATACAAGATCCTCATAGTCTAGTATGCTAGGCCAAAGTTATATGTATATAGATAGAATATGCCTAACTAACAACCACTCCAAAAAAATAAACGGACAGTAAAAAGAATCCCCCTGACTCCTTTTATCAAATTGGCATTATGGAGGAAGGTGCATGGAAGCTTTATTCTCCACCTGCATCACGCATTACACAAAGTGCCTAAGGCAGGTGGCAGGCATAGTATGGATACCTCATTTACAGATTATAGGCAAGTGCGAAGGACTCCAATGCCGTCGATTTACATGTAGAAGGGGATACATGTAAGGCAAGTGCTTTATAGCAAGATCCATTTCGCCGTGGAAATAAGATGCCTATGTAGTACCCAGGTACCCAAAAAATCAGAGATGGTCTATGCTAACATTAAGTCGTCTAGATGTTTGCATTTATAACTAGGCCTACTCGGCCTTCTTAGCCTCCGTCAGACTTCCTACGAATTACCATTTCAATAATGATTCTTTAACAATATTCTCGTTCATTCCTATATTTATATTTAAGAATGCCGAAATATTGCCATGGAGGACGGATCCGAAGACATTAGTCCTTGGTCGGAATGGGTTCGTCGTAGTAGCACTGCTAGTCGATGGAGACTCCGCAGCATCTCCGGTGTTGACGGCCCTACAAGCAGGTTGCCCTCATCGTCGGTGGCATCTATGACAACCGGGAATTTAGCTGCTCGGCAATCTACCAACCAGTCCTACAACAGTGCGCCTGTTTCTCCTAGCACGTTCATCGACCCGCCACGACCGGCTAGAGATGGACACGAATGGGTCTGGTTTCCTGCGGGCTACTGGGCCGAACGTGAGGTCATCGAAAGCCCTAGGAAGGTTATGAAGCATTTTAAGTGGCGCAAGCGCTCCGGCAAGAGTAGCTCCGGAAAAGACACCCAGGAGGACCTACAGCGCTCCCCGAGTAATTCATGGGCCCAGGCACCCCAAAACAGCCCCTTTCTCACCGAAGAAGCACACGTCCAATCTCTACAACGGCCAGCGATATCACGAAATGGCACCAGTAGTGGGAGCGGCGGATCTACGTTCCCATTGAATCGACCCTTACAGACACCTCTATCTAGCCCCTATCTCACCGAAGAAGCCCATGTCCAATCATTGCAGAGGTCTCCATTAGTCGTTGATTGCCTTAACTGCAACAGTGGCATATCCATACCGAGACTGACTTCGAAACCAATCCAAAGTTCGCCGCTTATAAACGATAAAGGAGACTCAGATTCCGCTACTCCTATAGTAACGCCTTTAGAGAAGTCAGCAAGCATCGCAACAGCGTCCCTTTCTTCCATTTTCCACAACTCGACGACTAGCCAGGAGGGCAAACCCAAGAGATCGTTCATGGCGAGGATTCTCCCGGATCATAAACCGGTAAGTTACAAACCTATGCTTACCCCTGCCGCCGTAATTACTCTCTTACCAGAATGCCAATACTAATCTTCCGCGCCACTCATATAGAAGATCAAGAAGACGCCTGACGACGACGACGATGATGATTTTAACTATGGCTACATGAAGGGCAAAACCGGAGGCGCGAAGACACAGGTCATAAGCCAAAGCCAGAGCCAGTCGGCCATGCGCCGCGTAGTATCACTGTTGCGCGAGGAAAGTAAGGATAAGAAAAGCCGCGGCGACTGGCCCCACAGAATTTTCGGGAAGAGCCCTTGGCACCGCGAAGCCTTTGCTGGCTCAGAAGCTAGTGTCGCAAGCTCCGTCTCGAGCTCCGTCCGCGATGTGCTTCGCGGCCGAACCCCTTTCACTAGTCCAGTCTCTGATATAGGTATGATTTTGGATGTTATATCGCTTTATTGTTCTCCCTTGTGTTCTTCTTGTTTTCTCCCTTCCTTTTCACCATATTTATCCCCTTCTTACTTCAGAAGGGACTAATTTGAAGAAAAGGGGGCAGGCGAAAGAGGACTCAAGGTGAGAGAGAATACCCACCGAAAAAGTTTAGAAAGAAACAAATTAGCTGATATATTGGCATAGACCGACTCAATTCTTTCAGCGCACAATTCCCTGGCGGTGTAAGTATATCACTTATTAAATATCTACCTACCTAGTACTTTTGTTAGAAAAATTATTAATCTTGTGACTAATCGTCATAAATAGGAAGCAACACGTATAAAGACACCACCGATCCGCGAGAGCGGCCACCACGCCGGCCGACCACGGTCATTCTTCTTCGATATATCAACGCCGCCAGCACGCGATGGCAGTTTGGGAAGCAGTGCAGAGCACAGCGACTACTACCACACTCCCTTTCCCACCACCACCACCGAGCGTGATGAGAAAGACAGGAGTAGCCCAAAGAAGGAGAGAGAAACGGAGAGGGAGAAGAGAGATCAGGGCGACAAAGAGTGGTGGGAGGTGCCGGTAGCAGTCCCACAGTACGGGGCCATGGCACCCAGTTCCTTCGAGTTTAACATGCCGGAACATCTACCCAACAGCCCCATGTGCCCAGCCAACAAGCGTCACAAGTCCGGCGGCACCGGAGTGTGCGTGTACCACGGCCGAAGGAAAAGGAGCGGGCCCCACGCCAAGAGCAAGAACAGGGGCAGCGACGAAGACGCGGACAGAACCGTATGGGCGGAGGCAGAGAATAGATAAGCTAGAATTACAATGCTTATTAAACGCAACACGTCACTACCACCGTAACGATCACCATCACCAACCAACCTGCCAAAAGCTATCCATGTGAATTTGTAGCTGTCTTCTTTTTTACAGTAAAGTAGCGATGCGATGTTACATGCACCCTCTCGACACTTCCCAACCCAAGCCAAAAGCAACGGAGATAAATAGAACTGCATGCGTGTCCCGAAACCAAAGACCCTCCAACTCCGTAGAAAACAACCTAAAACCCTTCTGTGAATTCATGCGTTACGCCACACCCATTCCTCCCACGAGTAATCCACGTCCCGCAACGTCCGAGATAGTCTGAAGTCCCGCAGATACAACCCCGACACCGACCGGCGCAACGAGCGGTTCCCAGACGTAGGCGTAGGTGTAGGTGTAGGGATGAAGGGGACGGGACCGCGGGAGCAGCGCGATTGTGGTGGTAGTGGCGACGCCTAGTCCTGCGTCTGCACCTTGTGGTCGCCCTTGACGGCCTCGGCGTACGTCGGGGGCGCGGGGTCGTGGTGCCCGTTACTAGACCCAGCACCAGCCGCAGCGGTCGAGGAGGAGCCTGGGTTCGACGCGGTGCCGTAGTTGGCGTGGGTAGGTGATTGCGGAGTCGCTTGCGGCGGACGCTCGGATTGCGGCGGGTGCGAGACGAAGACGTAGGTCACGCGCCCGTTGCCGGCGCCGGACTCGGCGTCTTGGGGGGTCGCGGCTTCGTATTCGTAGAGTTCGGGGAATTTGGAGATTATGTACCAGGAGTGGATTAGGCCGGGGAGCTGGGTGGTTGGTGTTGGGTTAGTAGATGGTGTGGGAGGATGGGGGGAGAGGGAGGGGGCTTACGTAGCCGAGCATGCAGAGGAGGATGTTGATGATGGAGTCGGCGGAACAGAGGCCGGTTTTTACCCAGACTGTGATGGTTTTGTGTCAATTAGTTAAGCGTTCTACAGAGCGGATATGTTATGGGATGTTTGACAGGAATCGCAGGTCGTTGCGATGCGGTGCGATGCGTGGTGCGGAGCCATCGGGTGCTGGCTGATGCGCGACGCAAGGCAGACGAATAGCGGCGGGCGGGGGCAAATGGTGATGGGTATGGAGATGGAGACGGGTAATGACGTACCAGGCAGAGGTGGGAAGAGGATGGCCAGGAGGCCGAGGAATAGGTCTGCGGAACAACACATGGCGACAGTCGATCTTCGAGGACGAAATAAGGGTCTATAGGAATGATCGCGAGAAGGATTGATTAATGATAAAGGAAAAATTCGAAGTGAAGTTAACGTAAGTTGTAGGTAGGAAGAAATGTACGAGTCGTAGGGCGATGATGACTGGTCCTTATCACGCGAGCTGACAGTATGGCGTAATACTTCATACATGTAGCTTCCTCCTTTAGGGGTTCCTGTGGGGTTCAGCTGCGCTAGGCTGCACTAGGCCGCAGACGCTAATGCTAGCCCACACTGTATTTTTTAGGTACCTCCCGCCTGTAGCTGAAGAACCTCAACCCGTAAACACTAAACTTCTAAGTTCTAACTCATCTAATTACCTTTAATGTTACTACTATTCATTAACAAACAAATCTAGAAGGTTCAAATCTCAAATTGATTTGATAAGTGCTAAAGATTGAATATACAATAATTATACAAAAATACAGGTTTCGCTAGATTTAATTAACTTGAAAAGATCCAATCCTTCCAACGGCGTATAAATTAATCAACCTCATTTACATCCTCAGCAGTTCGCGCTATAGGTTCCTCTACATTCTCTCCAAGATCCTCCGTGCTCTCAACAGTTGCCACTACCGGGTCTGTCTTAGATTCACTTGGAGCCGCCGGGGATGTTGGATTCACTTCAGGCCGTTGAAGATTCTCGTCGTTCTCATGAGTGCGTACTTCACCCACTTGTTTGATATTCGCAATGATGTTTTGAGTCCGAGTTTCCTTCCCCTTCTGATTTGATTTTTCGTTACCAGCGGGCCGGTTCTGGTCCTGGGATCCTAGGTTTATGTCTTCGGTCTCATTAACGGTGGCCAGCTCATGTTCTTTATATCCTCCGTCCCCTATCTTGAGCTTCTTATCATCTGAGATATCGACCGGGGGGTAATCTATTTCATCTTCAAGAAATGACACTGGCCCTCGCCTGTGCGGGCGTTCCTCGCTTCTACTAGTAGAACCGTCCGTGTTCGGAGTACGCCCATTTATTAAAATCGATTTCCGCGCAATCTTCGGGGCAGGTCGCTGCACCCGCGGGTGTGGGTGTTTATATCGAAGATACTCTATTAACTCTGATTTACTTAGAGTATGTAAATTTACGCCTTCATCATTCTCGCCGGGCATAACGCTCGGTCGATGTTCACTTCGGTTTATGGGATTAGTTGGCTTTATTGGGTCGTTGCTTGATGACGCTGTCCCGGAACTGGTCTCAGATTGATCAAAAATACTAGGGGCGGCGCGTGATGTCGGTGTGGATGATTCATCCGAGGCCAATCCTGGACCACCTTGTCGAGGTTGGGAAGGAAGTTTTACCAAGTGCCAGTCTTTCTGGGAAGTTGCCGTTGGCACCTCTACTTTTTTCTCTTCTCGAGCATAGTTTTTGGTCCCCTGAAGAATTTGCTCAGCTTCTAAAGAATCGTCAGTCCATTCATCCTCCTCCGGCGATTGAGAAATCCGAACTCGGGGGTTGGGATGTTGTTTAGCTGGTTCCATGCTTTCCCCGTCTTTCTGTCGGTTCAAGACGTCTTTTCTTCCGATCGCTGGTTGTTTTCCTTTCTCGCTCGAGCCCACACCCTCAGAAGTTTCTCTCGTATCAGGATTCCTATTCCTTTTAAACCGCGATTCGAGCCTGGACGATGATTGGCGGTTCGTTGTTCGTCCAACAGTGGTTTGAAACTTCTTGTCGATTTCTACTCTGAATGCCCATGGGAGATCTTGATAATCCTCTCCAGCTCCTTCTAAGGCTCGCTCGGCCGCCGGTCCCTCGCGTTCTAGAGAGTACTGAAGCATATTGAGGATCCAAGAGTCCAACATTGATATACTATCCGAAAAGTTGGTGATGTCGAAAAGTCCAGAAATTTTCTGCTTCAGATCTTGCTTCAAGTCCTCCGTATCGGATATCAAATATCTCGATGTCAACGTTTTCGAATAACCGCAGACATCCCCTTGGGTTATCCTTTGTAGGTTACAAAGTTCTTCGAATTCCTTATTTGGGTTGGCGGATAACACGATCAGTCTCTGTAAGGCTATAACCTCGGTTTGATAATCACCAAGTTCTCTTGAGATGTTCATTGCCATCCTGATGGGGCGTTCAAACCTGGGCGCCGCATCATCCACCTTCCATCCCGGATTCTCGCCGTGTACAGGAATGTACTGAGGTAACTGAAGTCTTCTCGAATGGAACACCAGACCTGGCCATGCCTTAAGTTGCTCCCCATAAGAGCGAGCGTGGTGCGGCCCTTTCACATCAGCGAATTGGGCCTTTGCCAACATCCACCTTATAAATGGTCGACTTCTCATCTTGTCGGGGTCGTTTTCTATAATCGAAAGTGCAAGTGGCTCAGTTTTCCTCAGCATATTTTCAATGTCATCTTCAGATCCTGCTGAGAATTCAAGTTCGTAAACTATGTGGGATACAAGAATATCGAGAAGTGCAAGGGTTGTCGATGTATCCGTTGTCATTTTCGACCAGTCTTCAACTAAGCTCGTGTTGCTCCAAAAACTGATAGATACGTTTGCTACGGCAATGTCACGAAAATCCCATATGCGGCCTTCTCTTAGGAGAAGGCTGTATAACTCTTCGTGAAACTTTGAGGGAAACTTTTCTTGGAGGCGTTTTGGCATTGCAGAATCGTCTATGAAATCACACAGGCGATAAAACAGAGCAAGCATTTTGATCTAGCTACTTAGTAAGAAGTACACGATAATAGGGGATTATAGGTAGACTTACCTCAGTTGAAGTTATATTTCTTTCACTGGCGGTAATCACGGCGTAAAAGTCGTCGATGGCTCCATCAATAACTTCCCGTTTTGTCGAGAAAACACCAGGTCTATCTGGTTTGTAGTGAGCAGAGATTACCTTTACCAATTTCCAATATATCGTAAGTAATATTCTGTCCTCGCTATTGACGAGTTTATCGCACGCATGACGTATGGTGCCATCATCTATCTCAGATAGAGTGATATAATCACCTTGCTCGAGTAACATTTCTATATATTCAATAAGGACCTGCGGCCTTTCCATGTGCTCACGGAGATGTTCCGCAAATAATTGTTTAGCAGAGATGAAGTGACCAAGTCTTTGGAGACGGGCAAACTCTTCAAGGATTTCGTCAAGATCTTCCTCTGCCGACAACGCTAGATGAACAGTAAGATCGGTGGCATGGGGTGAGTCCCAAACGCCATTAACTTTTCGTTTCGAAGGAACCTTCCGCGGGGCAGAGGTAGGTTGCGCAGGCGTTATAGGAGTAACTTCGGTGGCCTTCCTAGAAACGACGCTCGAGGTTTCGTTCTCACGGTGACTCGTGCCAACGTGAGTTACAGGATAATTTCTGGGTACAATCTGTTTATCCTTGTTCTTGTCTTTATGATTCAAATCCCATGGATTTTGTTGATCGTCCACTGATTTAGATGGTGGAGACTTAGGATTTAGCCCAACATCGCTTGTCGGCTTTGCTTGCATTTGGCGTACTGACATGATGTTGGATGAAAAGATTAAAGATGTGTTAAATTCGCATGATTTAGGAAATCTAGTAGAGTGTTAAGAAGGATGCTGCGATTACCATTGCTGTCGTCAGCTAAGTTCTATCGAGGTAGAATCTTCGTGAAGGACTTCACGAGATGAGCCCCGAAAGGCCACCAGAAACTTGTCCGCGAACTAATTGCCTATAAATAACCCCACGTAAGTTCTGTAGACGCTCCCCGTTCTTGCTTATCAGGCGCAATTGAGGCAACCTAATAACCTGCATCTCGAGAGGCTTTGCATCACTGTAGGCTAGATTGATTGGCTAATTGACCGACTAAAAAGCTAAGCCCCCTCCCCTCTTCAGCTCCTTTCGTCTCTCTACACAAGGTAAGGACAACCTTGAAATAGTAGGTATGTATTCTACAGCCTGATCGGCATGTCTTGTGGTTTTCTAGACTTCGCTCGATAATACAATGTCATTGCTTGAAAGCAAACATCATCCAATTTATAGTGGTGTTGCGCTGCCCTGGCAAGAACGCTTCCAGCTCGGTCGTAGGTATGGGAAATACGACTTTGGGCGGTTTGAACGTCTGGAGGGTTCCAACCATTACCTTGGCAAAGGAAAGATCGGGGACGTGGATGTCGCATGCAGATTTCGATTCAGAGAGTCGCGATGGGGTGTTCTGACTCCGGACAAGAACCCGGGAGGTGTCGTCTACCTGGATTTGACATTCACCGAACCACAGGAATGCCGCCTTAGGGGTGCAACTATCTTGTTGACTCTAGACGAAAAAGATGAAGACCTCCGCCGCCACTTTAGTGCTGAAAATCCGTCAACTAATGTCAAAGTCCCCGTTCAGATCACCAAACATGGCCCGCAAATTCTCCATGGGCAACTAGACGAAGCTCTTAAGATCGAAAAGAATTCATTTACCCCTTGGATTGACGCTGGCGGATTTGCTGGTGCTGGTGGCATTGGGCGAAATTCCGAGAAGAGATATATCCAGCGGAGCCAGTGGAAATTCTCAAGTCAACCTATTCCTAACCGGTTTCAAAAGGCCACAACTCTTAGATGGGATTTGGTTGAAAGTGAGCTTGATCGGCAGCCGAGGCATGACAACACTTTCCACACAGCATTCGCGTTTGAGCATGACGGACAACCGTTTTTCATGCAGGTCGAAGTTGCTGGCTGTTTAGAAGGGATAGCCTCACATATACGACAGAAGGCGAAACAGAAATTTAAGAGGTTTAAATTCGGAATTGAACCCCAATCCGCAACGACGTTGGTGAATTTTGGAGGGAGGAACAATCCTTACCAGGACCCTCTTGATGAATTGGCTCAGAAAATACCGGAAGACATGATGGAAAGAAACCGGAAGCCCGTCGCGCAGATTCAAGGAAATCAACCAGTTAGTGGACCAGATTACGAGATTGTCGATGAAGGGGACTCGTCGCAGACCGGACAAGAGGACGATCTCCATGTTCAATCACCTCCACCTCAGAGAATTGAAAATTCACACTCCGTAGCTCTAGAGGAGATACAGGGGGAAGCCTTAGCGTTGTTGTCTTTAGATCGTCCCTCAATAGGGGAATATAGATTGGACCGGACGACAGAAATATTACTGCCGGTCGACCATCAGCAACGACAATCCTGTGACGGAAGGTTATCGGCTCCCGATATCCAACCTGGACAATCGACGGCCTCAAGCACCATCGTAGACCAGGAACAGGACGAAGGGACTCGCAGAATAACCCTTATCGAGCCCAATGCGAATCACGAAGAAGTTCGCAGGCTCCTCAGCGAGGCAGCCCTACCAACAGTTCTTCAACTGATGATTCTATGGCTCCTTGCGGTCGGGATGAAGATATCGCTTCTCTCAAAAAAGATTGATTTGCCACGTGCAGGAAAGGCTTGAAACATCGTGTAGCGAGACAAAAGTAAAGGTGTGAACGAAAGGTAAGACTCTTGTTTTGATCGTCTATAATGACAGGGCAACTACCTAATCATAAAATTTAAGGCAAATTATCTCGTGTGTATTGATAAGATCCATAGTGGCTGTACCGGTAGGGAGAGGAAGGTGGCGGGAAAATGATTTCGAGGACGGACATCCGGAGTTACGAATTCATGATCAAGGTTACACCACCGGTTACCATGTGAATAAATTATTCAATACGCAGTAGCTGTATCTAACTATGAGAGAGGCAATTGCATGTATCTTGCTCATTTTTAAAGAATTGGATCAAGCAGTGGCGTTTACGTACTTAGGTAGGTACCTACCTACATACATATGTACCTATATGTAATAAGTTCCTCTCCGGCGTCATTTATCTTTGCACCTTCACACCCGAAGCTCCTTCTCAATAAAATGACTACGTCATCCTTCAAACGCCCTCTTTCCTAACACATTACAAAACAACTAACCGCGGCCAGAATAGACATAAGACATAAGATCAAACAACCTTACCAATAAAAAAAAAACGGTCTTTCCTCCTTCGATACTTGCTCAAGGAAAGCCAATATCTCAGGCTCAGTAGCGAAGTGGTCATCGCGCACCCTTCGGGCAGTTCTGTCCATCTCTATCATAGAGAGAATGAGTGAGGTCCTGGGTTCAAATCCCAGCTGAGCCCTTTTTGACGCTGACAAGGCCAGTGAAAGACTATGCCCTCCTCGTGGCAAAAATCATAACAACTGGTGTTCTAATTCTAGCCTTTTTGCCCTCCAAAGCAAGCTCTAGCTCATCCCAGACGTCCTGCATTTCGGCCTCTGGGATATACGGCACCCAAGTAGCTAGATATGCCTTGAACCACTCAATGTCCTTCATCCCGACCCATTCTTCGTCATCCTCAACCCAAATCTTCTCTTCCTTTTCCTTGACTTTCCTCTCATCTACCAGGTTATTCATCACAAAAGCGTTGACGTCTCCCCGAGCGTTGATGTACACTCTCTTGATAGCTTCCCATTCTCCTTCGGGAAACTCTATATTTTCAAGGGCTGTGTTGATCGTTCTAAAAGCACGGTCAAACACCTCGCCTTGGGCTTTTTTAGAATGTGCGCCCCAAACCCCCTTCCAAGCATTCTGCACCCGTTCGTTCCCATCAATCAGTGGGCGGGCATAATACGTGATCGCAAGTGTACCACCGGCTTTAAGTTGCCTGCTAAATTCACTGATAGCAGCTTTGGGGTTAGTCCACTGGATGCACTCGCACGCCGCGATTAGGTCGATCGTTCCAGAATCAACAGAAGTTTCCTCCGCGGTTTCTTGGAGGAAAGTGAACTTGGATTCTGGGAGAGATGCTTCTTCAATAAGGAGCTTCTTAGCGAGAGTAACATAGCCGTCGTTGGGATCCGAGATAATAACGCTGTCGAAATGAATAGCAAGAGTGAACGAGACAATTCCGCAACCGGCGCCAATATCATGGCCTACGGTCCATGTTGCGCCCGGCTTCTCTGCGTGGTAGTCAAATATGCGCTTGAAGAAAGATGTCTGATATACAGGGCGGTAGACAAGATAGTTCGACCAGTTGACGCCTTGCTTCGGGGAGAATCCTAGTTCATTGACTGATACATTTGCCATTGCTAGGTGATGTGTTAAAGTGAGAAAAAAATACTGTCGCGAAGAGGAACTCAAGCTTTCTTGACTACTTAGGTAAATATGGATATTAATTACATGTCCTTATCTGATGAAGAGGCATCCATTATTATACGTATCTTCACAAAGCTGAGCTCCTTTTCAGGAAGTAACATGGAAGGCGGGGAACTGGCTCAAAAGTTGATGGTCACATATTAGAACATCGGCATATGCTTTTCGTGATGAACGAATAGCGATTAGATGTCCCCTAACCACCAGAAGCTGAGATAGTAGGGTGGGAGGGATGGATACATCGTTGACGCGGTGGCGTCAATTTACAGGGTCCATGCATGCAGGTGCTCGAATCTGCAATTATTTGCAAGTACGAAACCTAGGATTTTAGGTGAGGTACCGGAGTCATTGTTCTTTCCTCTATTCAAAAGTAAATCTAGAGTTTTAGACTTGTAACTGCTCAGGTAGCTGCTTAGGTGAATTGAAGTTTAAGAAGGCACGACGCGACGCGAAATATCAATTAATCAGGGGTGTTTAGCGGGGCCCGCGGGGTCCGAAAATGGGTAGTCATCGGTAACAAGACCCAAAAAAGATGATAGAGGAGAGCAGCCAACCATCAATGTTGCAAAAGGCGATAGAAAAAATAACAGGGCTCAACCGGGATTTGAACCCGGGACCACTCACATTATCTCATTAGATGAGACGGACCAAGGTCAGCCCGAAGCGAGTATCCTACCACTAGACCATTGAGCCTTGTACAATCGCACATTCTATGCTTATCAAAAATGGCCCAAACAAGTACCTATGTCCCTTTCTTCATCTTACCCATCGGCCCTTCCTGTTATGGATTAGCTCCGCTTTAATGTCGGGCAAGAGCAACCGGGACATCCCTGAAAGAACTGATTGGAGTTCCAAGGTTGAAGTCATACGTAGGTACCTAGGTCAACTTTATTTCTCTCCTAGGTCAAGTGCCCGAATAGGTAGGTGTGAGCTTGCATTTCTCCAACGCGACTTTCGTCCAAGTGACAAACTTGAAATTCGCCTGGACTATCTAACTTCATCCAGCTTCATCTCCTGTTATCTTTTGCCCGTGTTTATGGCCTGTTCCGTACTAAACGTCTTCTGATGATCATCGTCTTCAGACTTACTCTTGTTGTATTGTACGCAGGGTTCTCGGTCAAGGAATATCAAATTCCCAATCCATAGCAGATGCTTGCAAGGCCCCCGGTCATATTTTTACTCAAGACGACACGCGACACATTAATAACTTCAACGACGATGCCTTGCCTGGTCGACAACACTTGACTCGACGTAAGAAATGTTTCTTTCAAGTTTTCTCGGTGCCCCGTCGGGTCGGAGGGGTTCCATCATATCGAGCAAGTCCAAGTCGTCTAGACATTCTCCTGAAGTCTCGCCGTCGCGACCTCAAGATTCCGATGCCTCCTCTTCCCCTGAATACCTCTCCGATGAGTCGCAACTTCAATTTGCCGCTCCAACACCCCAAGATGTCCTCGACTTAAATAACAACCTCGAAATGCTCGCCGCCTTGTTCCCCGATGTCCAAGTAGAGGTCTTCCGGGAAATGCTCTCATCCTTTTCCGAGGAGTCGCGGCTATTCATTATTACGGACAAGTTGCTGAAGAATCCCGGCTTATACGTGAAGGGTCGACGGAGAACTAGCGATGGCACTAGTTCCGACACGAACGCTCTGGTCCCACGAACCGAGGCCTTTAGAACGATAGAGTACAAGAAAGCAGTACGGGCCCTGGCGATGCAAGAATTCAAGGGCTTATCAAGATCTTCTATCGACGCTGTATTATCGGAGTCCAACTACTCGTATCTCGACGCACGACCGACCCTTGTGGACCTATCCTCGAAGTCATGGAAGTTCACTATATCTTCTATGTTCTTTCGTCGCAAGCCGGTTACCTCAACTGAGGCCGAAACGCACCCTCTAATAATATGGCGAGCTTCTGACGATGGGTCATTAATTCCAACTTTAAAAGCAACTGGCAGCGCCGAATTGGATAGAGAATTATTCGAAGAGTTGATTGTTCCATTAAAGCAACGCGAGCAGCTTTCGAGAGAAACAAGCGACCGAGCCTTAGCCATCTCTCTACTCACAGAAGAGGCCGAAGCCATGGAAGCGACATACGAGTGCAACTGCTGCTATTCCGATGTCATTTTTGAGGAGCTTACTACCTGTGATGCTGAGGGGCATTTAATCTGCTATCGCTGCGTTCAACACTCTATCACTGAAGCGATATTTGGACAAGGATGGCAACGCAGTATCGACAAAGAAACGGGTTCTCTTCGATGCCCTGCCGTAGCATCGACGGAGTGCGCCGGCTGTATATCATCCGAGCATATCCATCGGGCTATGCGCGAGGAGAAGAACGGGGATGAGATTATTCGCAAGCTTGATCAACGTTTGGCAGAGTATGGTCTCCTATCCAGCGGCTTGCCTCTGATCCGGTGTCCGTTCTGCACCTACGCGGAAGTCGACGAGCTATATATACCGGCTAATTCGCGTAGGCCTAAGATTCGTGCAAGCAACCTCGTAAATCTTATCATCGTCTTTATTTGCTTAGTCTTATCACCATTCTATTTTCCTATTCTAACACTTGTGATCGGTTATGCTATGCTGTGTTTGAACGGGTCATTTAGGGGTTACGTATCCTACCACCTGGGAGCCGCCATTAGCCGGTATCAGCGTCGTCGTCGCGGGTTGAAATTTACCTGTCAGAATCCGGTATGCGCTCGGTCATCTTGCTTGTCATGCTCGAAGGCGTGGATGGATATTCATATCTGTCACGAATCGTCCCTCGTTGCCCTTCGTACACAAGTTGAACTTGCGATGTCAATGGCAATCAAGCGCGTTTGCCCGCGGTGTAACACGTCGTTCGTTAAGACGGCTGGATGCAACAAACTAACCTGCCCCTGCGGATACAAGATGTGCTACGTTTGTCGTAAAGACATTGGCCCAGCAACCGAAGGTTACGCACATTTCTGCCAACACTTTAGACCAGAGGGCGATGGACGACGATGCAAAGAATGTAATAAGTGTAATCTATGGGAGTCTGAGAATACCGAAGAAATCCTTCGGGAAGCTAAAGCGGAGGCCGAAAAGAGATGGAGGGAATCTGAGAGGCGCGAGCTCTCCGACGCTGAGAAGGCATATCTCGAGGACGACGTAGGAACTATCGGTCAAAAGGGTCAAATGACTAAAGGTCTACGACAGTTGCTTCCAGGCGGCAAAATCCCGAGTATTGAGGAGTTCTTCGATTTCATCATAGAGAGCTTATTTGTATGACGGGAAGCATGGGATGGACATAGACTTTTCTCTGGGTTTTCGCTGGGTTTTTTTGGTGGTTTTCTTTTTTATTAAAGAGGTGCATTATCTGGCTACTGGTTAAGCGTCGTTCTTGCAGTCAACTTTGAAAAAGAAAAAAGCGAGCATCATCACATCGGGATCTGGGCATACAAGAGAACACGGCGTTATATCCGACTAAGGAAAGGTGTGGGTACGTATTTGATATACCCGTCGACAGCATCGTACATGCAACGACTTCATCGTGAGCTATATATTCTAGGTAGCCTTACAACATTTGTCATCGTAATTTGGTGTATTGCAGTTTTTAGAGAAAAATATTACTGATATTACCTTCGTATGATTGATTTGACGAGGGACCCTAATGACAGGTCGGAATTACGCCACAAGAACCAAAGAGCCTAGAGATAGGTATCCAACCTCTATGGCATATATATTCATGCATGCTAAACCCATCTGATAAAAAGTACTTACTCTTACTATATATATAAATGATTTTGTAGCAAAGACGCCGAACTCAATTTCTCCCATGCAAAACAAATGAAAAGGTCCACTATCTTCGTCGTCTCATCTCATCTCAACTCATCTTCTTGTATCCCGCCCATTCTACCTGTTTCACCCCACTCACTCACCGAGACGCCACTTAGACGCCACTCACAACTTCCCCTCTCTGCCATCCCCAACCAACTCCGCCGCGGCGCCGGAGATAGCCAGTTTCCCGGTTTCCTTGACCTTAGTCTGGAAGATGACCTTGTTAGGGCCCTCCTTCCACATCTCGGTAACTAGAGTCTGGCCGGGGATAACGGTGCCAGCGAACCTGACCTTGATGTTCTTGAATGGTCCGAACTTCTCGTACACGGCCTTGCCCGCGATACCCATGAAGCAGAGTCCGTGGAGGATAGGCACCTTGAATCCGCCCATCTTGGCGAAGCCGGGGTCGATGTGAAGGGGGCTGCATGAGACGCGTTAGTTACTGGAAAAAGCAAATTTAGATCTAGGGAGAGGGAACTCACTTATAATCGCCGCTAAGCCTATAAACAGCAGCCTGCTCCTCCGTGGTGGTGCTTTCAACAACGATATCAGGCCATCTCCTTGGGGGCTTGTTGGCTGCCGTCGCCGCTCCTCGATCCGCTGGCTTCTTCTGTCCATCGAAGCCGCCGCAGCCTCTCAAGAAAACAGTAGCCTCGTTGTAGAATAGCTCCTCACCGTTCTCGGCGTTGACTGTTGTCACGCCGCTCTTTAGAACCGCTGCGTTGCCCTTGTCCACAACTTCGATTAACTTGGCGTAGTTCTTGGTCTTAGCTGCTGTCGGGATCGGGTACTTCTTGACCTCAAGGTACTGCTCACCGTGCAGCAGCATCATAGGCGAGAAGTTGGGTACCACGTCATCGAAGCTGAACGGCATGTTGGCGTCAAACTGCGGAATCACACCGAACGTCGGTAACACCTGGAAGTCCTCGTTGCCCTCGAATACGTAAGCTAGCTCGGTCCTCTTGGCACCGACACCTAGGTTATAGAGTGTGCTGTCACGTTCCGAGTAGCTGAATTCTGTTCCCGGTGATGAGGTGGCAATGGCTTTCTGCTGGGCGGCGAGGTATTGATTACCGGGCGGGGTCTCCTGAACAAAAAAGCAATGTGTCAATATCAATAGTTCATTCTTATGCTAGACTACATGATAATACAGATACATGATATTTAAACAGTAATCGAACAGAGGGCACCAAGGAAAGTGAAGGGTTCTTCATACCTTAGATGCCGCTCGCTTGTTCTCGATGTTGGCCATGATCTTCGCCACCGAGTCCTGGCTCTTCTCCGGGTGGTCCGCTCGTCCGTCATCGAAATCGACGATTTGAGCCCATTTCTTGACGACCTCCTCGGGTACTAGCTTGACGTCCACGGGGAAGCCGGCGCCTCCAGTTCGTTGCCATCTTGTCCGGCCGCACCAACCGCTGCCAACTTCGTATAAGTAGCCCGTAGGGTTCTCAGGAACCTTGTCGCTGCAGAGAGCGAGGACAAGAGGAGCAATATAATCAGGCTTGAATGCCTGGACTAGCTCCTCGGGTAATATTGTGCGTGTCATGGCTGTACCAGCATTTGGTGCGATAGTGTTGCAGTAGATGTTGTATTTGGCGCCCTCTAGAGCAATTGTTCGGGAGAACCCGAGAATACCGGCTTTCTGTAATGAATTAGTTTCAACTATATTTCAATGCCATTATTAGTGTGGTTACTTACGGCTGCCGCATAGTTGGCCTGACCAAAGTTGCCGTAGATACCACTGGTTGACGTAGTGTTAATGATACGTCCATACTTCTGCTTCAAGAAGTAGGGCCAAGCTGCCTTGGTAACCTTGAATGTGCTTCGGAGATGAACATTTAAGACGGGGTCCCAAAGGTTGTCATCCATGTTGGAGAAAGCCTTGTCTCGCAAAATACCGGCATTGTTGACAATGATATCGATACGGCCAAAAGCACCGATAGCGCCTTGTACAACCTTTTCGCCCTCCTCAGAAGAAGCCTTAACGCCAGCGGCCTTGCCGCCTAGTTTCTTGATTTCCTCGACAACTGTATCGGGGTCGACTAAATCGTTCACGACAACCGATGCGCCATGCTTGGCAAAGGCAAGGGCGTATGCTCGTCCGATACCAGCACCACCACCGGTGATCAGGGCTACGCGACCGGTAAAGTCTAGCTTTTCACCCTGCTCACTTGGACCTAATTTCATCGATTCCTCAAGGAGTTCCATGAAGTTATTGGCCCCGGTTGGGTATTGGGGGTTCGAGAAGTCGACGACCTTGTTCCACTGCTTGAGAACAGCACCTGGTGTATAGCTGTCATCTGCCTTCAGGAGAAGACCGCCCGACCTCTCCCACCTCAACTTGGCAACGTGGCCACCACCAACCTCGAAAATTCCACCGGTCTCATTCGTGTTATTCTTGTGTACCAAAACGGCGACGAGAGGAACAACCCATTCGGGCTTTAAGGCTTCCAAAACCTCCGGAGGCATGACAGTCTGGGTCATGCGACTCGCTGCTATAGGAGCGATGACATTGGAGATAATATTGTATTTGATACCCTCCTTTGCGAGGGTCTCGGTGAAACCAACCATAGCTAGTTTAGCAGCAGAATAGTTGGCTTGACCGAAGCTGCCGAACAAGCCGGCAGCGGATGCGGTGTTGATTATGCGGCCGTACTTCTGTTTACGGAAATAGGGCCAGGCAGCGCGGGCGCATTTATAAGAACCCTTAACGTGTACCTTCATGACCAGGTCCCAGTCCTGATCCGTCATATTCTTAAAGCTAATATCCCGTAGGATACCGGCATTGTTGAGTAGGACATCGATTCGGCCGTATGTTTTGATGGCGGTTTCGATGATCTTTTCTCCATTCTCGACGCTGTCGTAGTTGGCCACCGCTTGACCGCCAGCTGCTTTGATCTCGTCTACAACTACATCGGCAGCCTATTATTTATAGAAGACACATTAGAAGGCGTTCGATGGTTACTGGATTGTGATGAATTAGGGCATTGTGGATGTTTATTTTACCTTTGTCGAGTTGCCCTCTCCTTTGAATGAACCTCCGAGATCATTGACAACGACTTTGGCTCCCCTTGAAGCGAAGAAAGTAGCGTAGGCCTTGCCTAGACCACCACCAGCTCCGGTGACGACGACGACTTGGTCGTCGAATCGCAATTCTCCTGCCATCTTGTTGAAGCTCTCGAAGTTAGGGTATCACGGAATTAAGTTTTTAGAGACAAGATAGTAGTACAAGTGTTAAGGTAGGATGGCTTCTTTTACACAATTGGCATTTCTGGAGGAAGTAAGAGTTGATGGCGAAAAGATGATTACGATTGGATTTATTGGAGAATGGGTTAATAATAAAGAGCAGCTGGGTAAAGAAGCAAGAGCTTGCCAATGTACCGCATTTGAATTCCGGCTATTCAGCCGAGGCAGCTTACAGAGCTGGCAGGAATGCCGAGGGGACCCAGATGCTGGTGTAAGTACAGGTGGGTCCCGGACAATGATAACCTTTACCATGCCATTTTCGGTATAGTCGGAGTTGAGGTCCTCCTGCACTTTTGCTTTGCTGGACCTTCACATGTCGAACAATTCGAGGGCGCTTATGGATCTGAATGAGGTCATGCGTGGGTTTGCGCGTCGTATACTTTTACTACTAGGTACGCAATAATGTTCACCATCACGTGTGTATTTCGTCTCATTTATGTATAGGTGTCCTTCTCTTCGATTAATGATTGATATAAATCGTCTAACTACCAGCCATTCTCCCTATAAACCCAGTCTAACAAGCGAGAGTTACCATCTAATGTTAAGCTCAAGTTTGGGTAATTAACCGATACAAGTACCTAGGTAGGTAGTTTGACAAGAGCCGAATGTTGTTTTGATTGCCGATTCTATGTTAAACCCCTTTTGACATACTGGACAGATAACTATAATCTTAAGCTAAACTTGGAAAGAGCCATATCCCAACTAAAGATGAGTTATTAACATTATTTAAGAAGGAATTTCGAAGACTATTAGATCATTGGTTTACAAGAGGTTGGCTCATAAGCACAATGTACAGAGTAGCATCGGAACATTTAGAAGCCATTAACAATCCCCCGCATTTCCCCATCTCCACAGCCCTAGTACCACAGAAGTTCTCCGTGAGGAATCCCGTTGATAGCGTGCCTACCTAGGTACCTAGTTTGTAACGCTACAAGGCTTGGGGTAACAGACGTCAGCCGCCTGAATAACCGAGCATATTGGCCTATCACAAGGAAATTTCCAAAGCTGAGAGACAGCTGTAAGGTCACCAAAATGTCTACAACGGAGATAATCGACGATAAAAGCCCTATATGCATCCCCTTCATCCTTGAACAGTATAAAAACCACAGCGCCTCAAATCCTACCAGCCCCTTTATCATTGGCCTTAATGGCGTACAAGGCGCCGGAAAGACAACTCTAGTCACGGCACTGGCTTCAAAGTTGCAAGATGGCGAGGGTTTGCGAACATTGGTTTGCAGCATCGATGATTTCTACCTACGACATGAGGATCAGGAGGTACTCGCAACATCTCACCCGGACAACCTCTTAGTCCAGGTTCGAGGAGAGCCTGGTATGTCAGCTTAGTCTTAGTCACAAATCGAAGGCTGTTTTCCTTTTCGTTGGTTCCTAATATTATGGTGATATAGGTACACATGACATGAATCTTGCCCGACACTTCTTCACAGCATTGCGCGAGGGGCAGCCAATAAGAGTTCCCCAGTATGACAAATCGGCCTATTCGGGCAAAGGTGACAGAGTCCCGGAGTCGCAATGGGAAGAGGTCAACGGCCACGGCCAACCCAAGATTCAGGTAGTCATTTTTGAAGGCTGGTGCGTTGGCTTTCGACAGTTAGACTCTGCCGAGGTGTCAAATAAATGGAATGCGCCCAGTCGAACACTGAACAAGCATTCTCTAGAACACCTGAATTTCATTAACGAGCGTCTTGGAGACTACGACGTCATTACAGACACATTTAATGCATTCATCCATATCGATGCCGAAGATACTGAGTGGGTATACGACTGGAGGCTAGAACAAGAAACAATGCTGCGGAAGCAAAGGGGTACAGGTATGACGGACGATCAAGTCGTCAAGTTCGTCGATGCTTATTATCCTGCGTATGAACTCTTTTCCGACAGGCTGAGAGAAGGGCTGTTCTCGGACAAGCCAGGCCGTCAGTTGAGATTAATTGTCGGTAAAGACAGAAAAGTCAAGCAGACAGTTATCATTTGATACATGTGAGCAAGTGGGTATCTTACCAAGTAACCTCTATGCATACCTAATAATCCCGACAACATCGTTCATCATCTAGCACAGGGGCTATTTTAGATGAGCAAGCATCGTGGAGCCAGCTAGTGTAAAGCAACGGTAGCAAGTCCGACCGACCAAGTTAATACACATTCATAAACCATCCCGGATGTCCCTTTGAAATCCGAGTTCATAAAATTCGTTGACCATAGCAACCCGATGAAGTGGTGATTAATATACTGTTTTGCGGTTCATCCATCTCAATCGAACTCCTTCCCTATCATCATGCCTTCACCCTCGCTTTTAAGTTCTGCAAGAGTATAATCGATCCCTTGAATTTTATTCCTAACAGCCTCACCTCGCTCAGCAATTTCATTCTCGAAGCCCTCAATCACAGATCGCTTCATTTGACGGGCTTCTCTAAGTCGGTGCATGACGTCCCCGAATCTTTCGAGGAACCAATCACCGGAGGCCTCCCAGTCGTTGATGGTCATTTTAGAGAAGAACTCTGTCTGACTTGGCTGGTCTTTGTCGAAGAACATATCAAGTTTCTCTGGTAGGGTGCCTCGAGGTGGTCCTATCGCTGACTGTGCCTCTGCTTGAGCCGGGTCGAAATCGAATGCTTCCTTTTTCAATTCTGCGTAGTCCATTGCTGCTAAAGCGCCGTCATCATAGTCTGTTTCGTGTTGGCGCTTTCTTGAGTTAAAGGGGCGCTTATCTGCCGATGGACGAGGCATGGCGCTTTCGCTAAGCCCTGCTCGGGCCTTACTACTCCCCGCAGCGAAAAGCTGTCTACTCAGGTGAAGCTTGGGTTTCGTCACAGGCTTCGGTGGAGGTGGCGGTTCGATCACGCTCTCGGTTTCTGATTCGTCGTGATGGCTCACCATAGGAGTATCGGTGTCGGCAAATATGGTTGAACGTTGGGGGTCGTGCTGTGTTTTCACTCTCAAATGGATAGAGTTCTCCGATCGTACTTCGTCTAGGTCATTACTGGGGTCTTGATAGGGTTGGCGTGCAGGTGAGGATACGATATTCTCTACTTGAGGATAAGCAGCTCTTTCTGAAAAGGAACCACGGCGGTTAGTACGTAAAGTTAGGGCCTTCGGATGATGGAGCCGCTTGGCAGAAGGCGTCTTCTCTGGGCTCTGGTATGGGCTATCCTCCGACTCTTGATCAGGTTCAGGTTCAGGATCGGGGGAGGCGACTATTCCCTTCAGACCGATACGATGACCCCTAGCATCTGGTGTTGAAGCACTCCTAGTAAGAGGACCACCTACTACGTCTATCAAGCCGTTCGGTCCTATGGTAAATGGAGCATACTGATCCGGTATATTGACATTATCCTTAACGATAGGGCGAGGTTGGGGGGTGTCTCCTCTCTGTTGGTGTTGGTAAGTAGGCACACGAAACCGATATGCAGAAGCGGCGGCCGCGTTCGCATCAGGGTTACTACCGCTGTCGCTAAACAAGGAACCGTCGACAGTTGACCCTTCCCAAAATGGTGCTGGCCTCCTGGAAGAAGATTGAATAGGTTCGGAGGCGACGCCCCTTGCTCGTGACATATTAAGTGACGTATCTCGGGCATGACTAGTACGACCGGTCGGAACGGGTAGCCGAGCGGCGGCGGCGGCGGCAGCTCTGTTAGAGTTTGCGTTGACGATGGGGGCGCGTGATCGTGGGGGTGAGTTCTGGGTCGTTTCTTGTATTGTTTGGGTCTTCTGAGTCGTCTGGATTGGCAGGGTTGCCGGTGGTTGTAACAAGACGTGGCGCTGGGGAAGATGACTCTGGCCCTGAGTATCATGTCCTGGTCCGGAGGCAGAGGCGGTGGGAGCAGGCTGGCTACCATTGAGCCCATTGCTGGTTACCCAGGCCTGCATTTTTGTTTTGGATTGCTTCAGGAACTGTGTAGGCGGCATCTGGACGTGGGCAGACTTTGTGATGGACCGAAAAGAAAACAACACAAGCAATATTTGTTTACTTTGCGTAAGCCTTGACTATAGCCTTTACGCGTTTCTATTGTTGAGATGTTGGCGTGGTCCAATCTCGACGTGTTCGGCCAAGGATGGTAGTCGAATGGGTGGACGAGAGAGGACAAGAAAGATAGAGCCGTATTATTATGTATGTATTATGCCGCCATGCTGTGCCCGATGCGACGACGAGGTTGGGTCGCAATGATCACTTTGGAAGTACGAGAGGGACTGGATGCAGGGTGGCTGACGATAGTCCAATGGATGAGATGGCGAAATGAGTAGAGAATGTCAGGATGGTTCGACTGGAGGGGGAATTGAGGATGACAAGAAGCCTCGCGACAACTCGTTCCTGCACTTTCGACACTTCCTACTTCCTGCACGCCTGCACGTCGTCCCAGTGAAATTTACAAGGTTTAAGTCGCGTCTCCAATGACCAGTACCTGCCGAGTTTAATAGGTTGGGTGGGTCTAGACTCTATACCCTAATCCAACGGATCTAGTGGGTTTTAGTGGATCAACGTTTCGAGCACGGATCACCCCCGGATTCTTTAGTTCTTCTTCTTCCAAAACCCCGACCACTGCAGCACCGACAACTTGGCAACCCCCACGACATTGTCTAACAGGTCGCCTCACCTCGCCCTCATTTCTCCAGATGCGCTAGATGACTTGTTCTTGCATAACCTTCCCGCCATCATGTGTTACTCGACCATTCAGATGTTGCGAAGCGTCTATCTACTTGTTCGAAACGAACAAATCGAACGGTTCTTCCCGATGCAATACTACCTAGGTCGCGTCTAAGTCCTCGTAGCCGTTGGGCAGCACATATATCTCTTATCCAAGACCTCTGCATTTGCAGAACATATGTCTACGGGTTGCTTGTTGAGAATCTCCAATTGCTCTTCATCCCGCCGAGCTCTCCACACCTACTGCTCCTCTTCTATGTAGATAGCATGCGAGCACGGAGAAGAGGTACATACCAGACATGGTGGTGTCAATCATTTCAACTCCCGCGGTCAAACTCCAATCGATCAACTATGAGGCTATAGGCTACCATGAAGGGACAGCGTCCCACCCAGAGCTTCTAAACTTTTATGAATCCCCTGACTCACTTCACTCAGACAATTAGCTTTCTCATATACACCAGCTTTTTCATATACACCACGTTTACTACACCCTCCAACGTTAGTGGTTGATACCCAGTATGGGAAGATTAAGTCGCAATTATGAGTTGTTAAACCAGGTCCATGAGTCCTCTGACTCTCGGTTAGGTTGAAAGGAGGGGCGGCAGGACACGTTTTGAGGTGGGAATAAACGACCCTATACAACATCGAGATATACTTACTTGGCATTCTCTCACCCTCCGTGACTGTCACAAAGATGTCGTCTCCTTTTCTAAACACCTCATACCCGAGACGAACATACCAGTCTTCGTTGGGAACCTATGTGTGACGACAGGTTAGCATCGTTACAACCAGTAGCAGTGCTATCACATCTTACTCTCGGCTCAGGAATACGCCCACTTCCATATAGAATCTCCCGTGTCTCAGGTTCAGTCTGCGATTCCTTTGATAAGGTGTCCAGCGCCACTATTTTTGCGTTCATCGGGCTCTGTGTGGCTATTTCTTCGGTTCTAGACATGGTCCCGGCGCCAAACCCACCACCATGCAGAGCACGCGAGATGTAGAGCCCGTGAATCCAGACTGTTCCGGTAGGTGGAAGACCCAGCTTCACATCGTCCTCAGGTTCGTGGATGGCAACGCAAACGTGGCCAATTGGGATGAATTCGGCCATAGTTGGTTGCCGCGGAACAAGCCGAACTTCTGTTGCCGTCTCTCTCAATGGAGTCGACTCCTTTTTTCGCATTCTTAGCTCATCCAATACGTGGTCAAGTGACTACACCATACATACCTTCGGGTAGGCTTCGATGTGCTTCTTAATCAGCGCGTCCCTGTCCGGGACTGTATCCGAAAACACCTAGCCCCCCAGGTTACCATCTGTGGACAAATCAGGATGGAATAATAAAACCTACAGCCCAATAGAATATCTTTTCGCCTTTCTTTGCGGCGTCTACCCACTGTACCAAAGAGAATCAGGAATTGCCATTTAAGGAAAGCCTAAGTTGCCGCTGCTGTTGTCGTTGTGACACCTCAGGTTGGTGTGACATCTCATGGTTCATACCTAACTCCCCGTCTTTCAAACACGAAGAGCAAAAGGGGTGGTATTCTGAAGATGTGCTCACCTGGGGTACTTCATCGGCTCTCCATCCACAAGCCACACGCTGATCATACATCCTTTGTACATGCTCCGAACTCGAGGGGTCCCATGGTACGAGCTAGTCCAATCCACTACATCAGCGTTCATTCTCGGCACATATATGTATAGTATATCAATGAAGGTGAGGAATGTTTAATTATAATAGCCCCGAAAAGCAGGTTGGTGTTTAATATGAAACTGACCTCTATCTTCCAAGCATGTCTAGACATAATTGGCATCAAGTTGTGTGAGATGAAAAAGAGAATGAGAAAAAGCCTGATTGTTATTTCCAGGAGCCTATCTGGACGCTATCATCCCAAGTATCAGCTTTATAAGTAGCACTTTAGGTACTAAATCGTATAATCTGAGTCATACGGCATACGGCTATGATCCTTCATCTGAGTTGCATTTATGTACCCCGGTATCTTATGCACTGCTTTTTTCGGACTTGATATTCTGTATTTGCCGTCAGTCAATGCTATATGAAATATATGTACTTAGGTACCTAGGTCCCAGATATCGACAAATATGTCAAAGACTCTTCTGTCCGAACTCGGTCTATTAATGCCAGGAAAGGGCGTGACGAACGGACCACGTTCAGCACCTTCCATCGGACTTAAGAGGCCGAACGTTGTATCAGATCATAAGGTTCAACATCGCAATTCAATTCGCCGAATGCGATTGCCGATTTTAATAGAGACACAGTATCCCACAACAATTCCGTGAAATTCTAGAGTTCTTCTTGTTTTTATACAATTACATGTTCTCTAAACTCATTCGTCATGGGAAGGAAGCGCAAGAGCGGAGAGGAGCAGCCCGAAGCCACCCCCACCTCGTCTTCCAAACAGCCAAAACAGCCAAAAGCAAGTAAGGAAGAAGAGAAGGAGGGAAATGCCCCTCAATCGCAAAGTAGCAAACAACCCGACAACTTTGAACTATATCCGGCCTCCAAAGTTTATCGTCTGATAGAACCTGGTCCCGTATTGCTGGTATCGACAGGGTCGCTGGCCGATTCAACACACAATGTCATGACAATAGGTTTCCATATGGTCATGCAACACGAGTCGCCGCCTCTGATCGGAATCAGCCTGGGGCCATGGGACGCTTCCTTCGCAACCCTCAAAAAGCAGCGCGAATGTGTGCTAGCCGTACCATCTGTTGAGATGGCCGACGTGGTCATTGATATAGGTAATTGTTCTGCGGACGACAACGAGGTCGAGGAGGCTGGCGGCAAGTGGCAACGCTTCGGACTAGAAGCGCTTCCAGCCACGAAAGTTAAGGCGCCTCTGGTCGGTGGTGCTGACGTCATCGCGAATATCGAATGTGTCGTCGAGGATACGAGGATGGTCAGCAAGTACTCTATGTGGGTTTTAAAACCGGTCAAGGCCTGGATCAACCCGAATAAGAAGCCCGGAGAGGGCGGAAAGATGTTTCATCATCGCGGTAACGGAACATTCGTCGTCGATGGAGAAATTCTAGATTTGAAGGACAGGATGGTCAAATGGCAGGAATACCAAGATTGAATCGCCGTTTTATGATTGTGCCTAACGGCTTTATAGTACCGACTACCTAGATTCGTAACGACGATCGGCATTTTATTTTAAAAGTTTACTGGACATCCTGCTTCTTCTCTTCTAGTTCGCTTTCGCCTGTACTAGTAGCTACTTCTGTCGCCACTTCGGTCGTCTTTCCGGACTGGTCATTCTCGCCCTCTTCTTTCGGTTCCTCTTTCGGATGGTTCCCCTGCGTACCTAATCGAATAAAAGGAGAAAACAGCACACCCAGTGCAGAGAGTGCTACTGATACCTGGAAAGTTCTTGTGAATTTAAGCATCGGGTCAGCCATACCCTCCGGGGTCAATTCTATGGAGCTAAATACGGCGGTCGAAATTCCCATGACGGCGGCGTTAGCCAATCGGATGACTACGTTGAAGATACCACCTGCTAAGGACTGCTGATGCTTAGGTAAAGACTGCATCACATACATCTAAAACGAAAAAGTCAGATGAATTATTTCAAAGAAGAAACCAGAGTCAGACTTACGTTTGCCACGTTGAACTGGAAATCCGCGCCAGCGACATTGAGAATCAGCGCTGGGAACATGAATGCCCAATAGTTGCTATCAGGCTTCATGAAGGAAAATAGCAAGCTGGCCCCGAGGTAACATATGGCGCCGATGATCATAATAAGGGTATTATTGACGACATGTAAAATTCGGCCGGCAATGATGTTCCAAATAAGTCCTGCAATGGCCATTGGGAGCAAATGCACCGCAACCATGAGGGTCGAGTATTGCTTAATTTCCTGTAAGAAGAAGGCGGTCCAGAAGCCGCTAGATGTGAAACCCATGGTGCCTAGAAGGACAACGGCAATAATCTAATATCATCAGTGCCGTGTGGGAATACGTGTCGAGTCTAAAACTTACAAGACTGAAATTCCTATCCTTCCAGATATGGGGAGGCATTAAAGGAGTAGGGTAGATCCTCTCCCATAACACAAAAATAACCAGTAATGCAATACCAACGACTATCAGCGCAATTACAGTTGCACTTTTCCAACCATCTTCGGGACCAAGGCTAATTTCATTAGTATATGAAATCTTTTTTTTTAAAAAAAAAATCGAGGAACGCTTACGTCAAACCTGCGGTAAACATGCCTGTTCCAAATATCGTTAGGATAGTACCGACATAATCGAATTGCTTCAACGAGCTTAACCGTTCTCTCAGGGGAGCTCGGTCGAAGTTTTCCACATTCGGCACAGCCCAGATCGCGTGGACCGTGAGAACTGCCCAGATAATACAGAGCATGATGAAGGCTGCTCTCCAACTAGAGAGCTGCGTCGCAATACCGCACAGGATAGTGCCGAAGACGAAACCCAGAGGGTTTCCCGCGCTAAATGCCGAGAAGGCCATGTTCTTCCGTTTCGAAGGCGTTGAATAGGCGGCCCCTAGAATTCCAATCGCTGGAGGCACCACCATTGCAGAACAGCCTCCAAGTATACCGCAGACGATCAGCATCCAGAAGGGGTTCCGCGAGAAGGCAACCAATAGCACGAATGCACTAAAAGACGCCATGCCGGTTATGAACATGGCTTTGCGGCCAAGTAAATCTGCAAGTTGTCCTAGGGCAAGCTGAAGAGCTCCGGCGACGAGACTAGAGTTACTGTCAGCATCGCAGGATATAAGGTCAATAATGTGCACTGTTCGTACCTTGTCGATGCGCTGATCCATGCGATCTCACCTTGGGTCATGCCCAAGTCTTTAGAGACGGGAACAGTAATGATCAAGGCGACACCTGTAAGGAACGAGGTGGTGGCGGTCGCGACGGTGGCCTGGAAGACGAAGGAGACCTCCTGAAATGTGTTCTTGAAGCATTCTGGCCGATCTCCGAAGCTCGTCTTAATTCTCTGGAGTCTCGAGAGACCATCTTCTTCGTGGCTATTCACAACCGGCGCCTCCTCTTGGATGCTTGCGCTTTGTGGTGTAACATCAGTTTCCTCTCCGATCCTGGCCCGATCGAGAGAGATTTTAGTGATCTCATCTGGTGGCGCCGCCATGGCTTTCGGTGTAAGTCAAGGAGGTACCTAGATCGGTAAACTTGTTTGTTCCTTTTCTCCCTACCACGCAGCTAAACCGTTCCGTTTCACATTCATATAACTGGCAAACTCTGCGCTCGAGCTCGCTCGCACATTGACATTCCCCAACTGTTGGTTGCGAGAGTTTGCTTGGTCAATCACGGCTATAAGGCTATTAAAGCGCGAGCACTGTAAATTTTTAAACCCAGCAGACCTGGTCCCCATACCTGGTACTAGTAGCGCTGCTTACATCCCACATCCCACATCACCCATCTTCTACCCCTGAGGGCTCTTCATTGGCTGGACAACATCAAGATTATGGAACCCCGTCCGGGGCGCCGTTATGGGGCTCATGCGGGTCGGTACTCATTTCGGAGCTCGCTACGTAATGTCGGATATACACCTAACAAATACTTGTATGTTGTTTAAAGTTAGCTGTTTTCAGCTTGATCACTCTCAGGAATGAGTCAACAGCATCGTATGACTGGCCACTTATACACACCTATGTACATATCCTCCTCCCACATGTATCACCGCTTAAGTATTTACGATGCCAAGCAAGAGGAACCAAACCTCTGATAGATGGCTGGCTGATGGACATACCCATTTACCTATTTGGGAAATACACCACAAGTGTGGTGATACCCGCCACATGCAGATGTCCGGTGGCTTTACTGCTAACGAGCGCCACATGCAGATTTAGATGACCGGTCTATGATACGCAAGACTGTTCTACAGTTGTTCAACTTACATTTCACACATTACGGAGCCTTGTTCTGACTATTGTTTTGTTTAGACAAGCTGGCAGTATCACTATGAGGTGAGTATTTAAAGCGAAACTGAAGTCAGAGATGCAATTTTAAGCCATGCTTCCATCTCAACGGTCTCCATACAATTAGATCGGCCAACGATTCATAATGAAGCGACGAAAATGATGAAAGAGTCCCACTCGTCCGCACCCGCAACTTTCTTACACACATGGTGGGATGTGGGATATCGTCGTTCTGGACTTCATACGAAATCGAAGCTTTACTCTTTTCTCGCCGATTTTCTCCCTTCGAATAGAACGGTTCTCGCCATTGCTTTGTTAAGATGTTATTATCACTCTCGGAGCCTGGGTATTACGGCAACTCTACCTACCTACGGAATTATCGAAATGCTCCTGTTCTAAACCCGATGCGCCAGAGCCGAGCTTCCAACCAACACCCCCAACCCCCTGACTCCGTTTGTTACTCGGGGCTCTTACACACCTCGGCTCAAAGCCTAGCTTTGTAGCAAGCAGATGATATCCTAGACTATCATGTCTTTCCGAGTCAGTAAAATATATGAGATCTATGATATAGCGATATTATGGCAAGAGGTCCGAATTTTATAGGATCACTTCGACTTCTCTGAACAACGTCACGCCTGCTTTAAGTTTTCTCCGTTTATGATTTTAAACAATCAAATGGATATCAGTTAAGCTACCGCAGTGCTGTAAATATGGACAAATATTAATATATTAAAAGCCATCATGGACATCTTACCAAACTCAGCATTCTTCCAAACAGTAGGGCTTCTTCGGCCATACAGGAAACAGTACCCTAAGGTTCCCAGCAATCATCAAAACCAGGATCTCAATACAATACCACTCCGCGAACAACTCAATTTAACGGTGTTTAGGGGGTCGCTCCTCCCACACTTCTGAATTTTCCGAATCCCCATAATACCCGTCCTGATCATCTTGATCTTCAGAGCCCTTCTCACCGCTTACGGAACCGGCTTGCTTTCGCTTCGTGCGGATGTATAAGTTGCCTCGTATATGCATAGTCGGAAGCGCTCGTATGCACTCCTCGAACCGAGAGAGCGGTACCCCGGTCTCGAGATCGATGTAGACGTTCCCATCGACCTCGACGTGCCTCACATCACCACCGCCGCCATCGCCATTATCTTCTTCGTCGCCGTCTGCTTTGCCCTGACTTGGCTCGGACCCCGAATCCCCAACAACTGTCTCTTCATCTCCGGGCAACCCATGGTGTTCCTCATCCATAGGCTCCGGATTTAGCTCCGGGTAAAGCGGGCCATAATCCTGCCCCTGCTCCGGAAACCCATACGCACCGGCGCCCCTATCTTCACCATCATCTTTCTCGTCATGGTCTACCGTCCCATCGCTACTAGCATCCTCCTGCCCCGTCCTGACAGGCCCACAGTACGCCCATGGCGGCGCACGCGACCCCCGCGCTCCCTCCCCTAAGTCCAAGGTCTCGGATCCCTGGTTCCGCTCAAACGACCAATTCGACCCCACCAACGTCGTCCCGCCCCATTCATCCGACGAATCCCCTCTCCACCGTTGATCTGACGCTGAGTATACCGACGACGCTGCCGGGTAGTGTGGATCTACCCCCCACGACGTCGGTAGAACCTGCGGTCCTGGCGCGGGTGCCACGTAGAACTCCGCGAACGGTGTGCATTCAGGTGTGCTGGGCGGGATATTCTCTTGCCCAAGGGGGACGTCTGGTTCTGGGGTTCGCGGCGCTAGGGATGGGTCCATGGTGTTGGCGTTGGTGCGGTTAGATGTAAGGTTTTCGTCCAGGACGATACGACGCGCTGTGCATCGTCCTGTGAATGCTCTGGCTGGATCTCGCGTGCGTGCGGCTAGGGGCACTTGGTAGCGCCCGCGCCCGCGCTCGGTGGGGGTTTCTGGTGAAAAGGCTTGACGGGCGGAGAGGTTGTAGGGGATGCCGAAGGGCCCTGGCGGGTCTGGTTGCTCGCCTGGGTAGACCGTTTGGGGGTCTGCGTTGTAGGGCCCGTATAGGCCGCGCATTGCTGCTGTGAGGTCGTCTTCTATTGGGCCGTAGATTGTGGGGTAGCTGAATGGAGGTTGCTGCTGCGTGCTGCAACCGTGTGTCGACGCCTCTGGGGAGGCGGGTTCCGAGGAGCTTGGCTCGCACTTGGGCGTTTTGGTGCCGTGGTTCATTGTGATGATGGTGAGGTTGTTGGTATCTAAGACGATAGGTGTATGTGTTGTCTAGGAGATTCTGGGTTCTCTATTGCTGTATGATTGGCTTTGCTGTTTTGGAGAGGCAGGGTCTTATCCCTTGGTTAATTGGTTGTTGGATTTGAAGAGGTGGTCTAGAAGGAAAGGCTTGGAATAACTAGGTATATTCGTCTCCAGACGTTGCGTTTCTCGAGAAGAACAAGATAATGTACTGTATGGTAAAGTGCTGGAGAGGTGGGTTTGTTTATCAATATTTATAAAGATATTGATGGTGGACTGTGGGTATAGTTGAACTTTGTCTACATCACGAGCGGAGGATGGGAAGTGAGTGTAGATAGTATTAACGTCAAAGACCGTGATCAGAGGAAGGGAAGAACTTAAAGATGGAGAACATTGCATATAGGTACATATATACATTTTTCTAACGGTTGCTTGAGTGACGAACTGAGAAGAGACGCGTGATTCATATGTAGACTAAGCTTTCTTGACCTACTAGCTTTTCGTAGATGCGAAATCTTTTATATTTATATTATCGATGAACTAAGCAATAGGAGACGTGGTGATTTATTGTAGGTACCTAACTTGGCGATCGTTCGGTTATGTGGTTCTAAGAGTCAGTCTGTTTGTCAAGGTACGAGTATGATATCTTAAGCTTAGTATGACAGACACGTTGATGAATCACATATTTGACGGGAAGATCTTTAGGTTCAACGATATTTGGGTTAAAAATAGGTATGATATTATATCCCCTTAACTCCCGATTAAGTCCGTGGACTTCTAAGGAAGTTCACCACTCCACCGCAATAGCTGACTAGGTTATCCAGCCTATCGCATTCCTGCGCCTGGTGTTTCTTCCATTCCGCCAGGGCGTTTGTTAGGGTATCACTCTCCAAGATAAGATCGAAATGTAGGCGAAGGAAGACGGCCATCCACGCCTGAGTGAGTTCGTAGTCGCGCCGTGCCACGAGGCGACTAGTCATGGCACGAATGAACTGGAGCAATTCATTCGATTCATCATTATCACCGATTACGAGAGAACGCAGTTCTAAATCAGCTGTCGCCGGTGACAAAGATTTGAGGTATTCGATGAAATCATCAACTAATAAATGTTAGCTTACAAATGATAGTATTGCGAAAGGTGAAAAGAGTAAGTCTTACAATTGCCAGCAGAAGCCCCCGTTTGTAGTTTGCTAGCGAATGCTTGTTCCGCCCTGTTGTGGTCGAAGCGAGTAATTCTTGATTGGCTCTGGTCTTGGCCGGTTTTCAAACCTGTTGCCTCCGAATTTGACGATTCGGTATTAGCTGCTGATGGTAAGAAGAATGGCGCCTTCTCTGGGGCTTTCGGTGCTTCTTTGGGTTTGTTTCTCTGCTTGATCAGGTCAAGGTGTAGTAGAGTCTGCCATCTACTTCGTGGCACCAAACTTAAAGTCATCATGTCAGCACTAAGCTGATCCAAGTTAGGCGGAGCGACATCATCTTCCGCTTCCTGAGATGTTGCCTCATCGAACGCGGCTTCAAGCGGACCTTGGCCTCCTTCTCCCGATGCTGTTGGACCCGATATCTGTTTAATCGACTCCTCCGATATTTGTCGAGTCGGAACATGAGTGAACAGAGTCTTATTGTTCCAGATACTGACACCTAACTCCCCTTCAGTTGCCGCAGCTAGATATTCGCCTGTTGCCGAAAATGCTAAAGCTGTACACGGCTTTTCTAATCGGATAGCATCGATTAAATGGCCAGTTGGCAGGTCCCATACTCGTATTATGGCGTCCTGGGAGGCTGCTACTATCCAACGGCCGTCGTTAGAAAATATGAAATCGTTTATTTTGCCTTGGCAACCCCAAAATTCACGGATAGTCTGATTTGTTTCGATGTCCACCACTCGAATAGAGTTGTCGTCGCAGGAGAAAGCTATTAAATCATTCGCTGGGTGATAACAACAACCCGTTATCCCCGTCATCGGTGCCCAATTGATTTCTTCTAGTAAATTTCCTGTAAGTAATTCCCAGAATTTTACCTTTCCGTCTAGAGAGCAGCTGATCACGTATTTATTCATAGAGTCGACAACGATTCCGGTGACAGCTTTCGTGTGCTTCCCCGTCCCTGGTAGGAAACCGGTAGCAGAGCGGGCCTGGAGCTGTACCACAGTGTCTGCCTGCCTTAATTGCTGCATTTTGACTTGTCGCGCTTGCGCTGGTGTGAGTTTCGATGGGAATCGTTGGCGATGCAATCCCGACTGTAGGTTGAACATATCAACGGATCCACCAACAGATCCGACGACTGTGAAAGTTCCGCAGGGACTCATGGTCACGGTTGACACATTTGCACCGTCGCCGGTCTGGAATGCCCATCTGCCTGCTCTTTTACGGCCCCAGAACCATGTCCGAGCAAACGAGTCATCCTTATGCGCTGTAACCACGCTCTCCCAACCTGTCATGCCACTAACTTCAGCGTTGATGGGCTTTTTCTGATTTTGAGATTTTTGCCACAAAACCTGCTTCCCAGGCATGGCGCCCATCCCGCCATCTCTGTTCAACGAACATGCTATACAAGTAATTTCCGGCGCCTTTAAATCATCGAGTGTGGTAGTTGGGCCACGGCTCAAGGTGCTGCTGTCAAGTATTCCATATTTCTTAGCCTTTTTGCGGATATTGCCCTGACTCAGTTCAGTGCTTTGACCATCGCGACGAAGACTCCACCCCCAGAGACTTCTGTCTCTGCCACCACTAAGAAGCCATTTGTTGCCTGCTTCAGCACCATCGAAATCAGATGGCAAGAATTTTAAGCATGTGACCGGTGCCGCATGACCGCTTCTCGTATGTAGGATTCGTGGTATCGGTGAAAAGGGGGTCTCGTCGAATATCCAGGTCTTCAAGGAGTTGTCCCTGCCGCTCGTGACAATGACTGGCTGACCAGCAAGGAACTCAATCTTGCTTACACCCCCACGGATCGAGGCTCCCTCTTGTGTCGGGGGGTTGTGGGCGCTTCTAAGAACACCCATAATTCTCCCACCCTTATTAAGATCCCAGAACGTAACATCGCCGCTTAATTCTGTTGCTGTTGCCATGACTCCATTCTCGCGCCCATCTTGACCTGCGCCAATACCATCTGTACGGAACGAGATACTCGTGACAGGCGCATCCTCCGTACCCGCGTTAACTTCCAGCACCTTCTTGTCTGTAAGCACATTATGGATGACCAACGGGCCCTCAGCATATGCGATCGCCATTAACGAAAGCGCGGGGCTCGGCTGCATGCAGGTGACAGCACCACAGTTCGAAGATGGTGGTAGGAGAGTATAGATCAACTTTCCGGTAGAAACATTCCAGATTTCGACCCAACCGTTCCGACGTCCAGCAAAGATCTTGTTCAGGTATGTTGGCATAGTACATATACCACCGGTAAGTTCGTTATCGCCCTTCCTAGAAGCCATAGTAAACAAGGTGGTATAATGTTCTAGAGTTGCCGACTTCCACACTTCTATCCTCGTCAAGCCGCACGCAACAACCCAGGAGCCGAAAACAAGAATTTGTCTGATAGGCTGATGAAGATCGGGTGGGAGTTGCAACTCGCCTACTTTCTTCCCTCTCTGGAATATCCAAATACCCTGTTTGGAACCCTCGCGAGGGTCGCCCCAAGCGGCAAATACTTTCTGTTTCCAGGCACATGTCGCAGTGATAGCGTATGGGGTCTGAGGTCGGGTCATAAAGACGAGGTTGAGGCCGCGTTTGAGGTCATAAGTATGGAGAGAACGGCCTATAGAGGTTGTAACCTGGAAGGTGGTGTTCCCCAGAGGGACGGATGTAAACGGGACATTGGTAGGAGAGACGAGACCGATAGTCTAACACTTCATCATTAGAATCAAGACCCTAAAGAGTCTACTTAGGTAGGTATATAAACATACCCGATATGGAGCAAAGATCCTGGACTGTTGCGACGAAGAGGATTGAGGTTTCGCGACCGCATTGAGCTTCTGTCGCTTGACCAAACGTCCTTCATGCTCTGAATGCGGCATTGTGATAGAATGCGAAATGCCTCACAGCATGGACAAAAGATCCCCTATTAATCGCACATAAACTGTCCGGGTCTTGTCGCATTCGATAATCGTCGCGTAACTCTGCTTGAAGCTGCATGTAGATGGAACTTTTTTTTTCTCGAGTCGGAAGTAAAGCTTTTTTTGGCCGACTCCTGCCATACAGTGAAGTACCTATGGCCCCACCATACATCCACGGATGTACATGTACCACGCTGCAAGATCTAGACAATTTACCCATCTAGACGTTTAAGAAAATATAGAAATATTCTGGTATATGATTGAAAGTATAAAAAAATATAAATCATTAGATCCATGAGAACTACATTCTCATATCCCCCTTTTGAACGTCGTTGAGCACTTGAAATTTTAAAGACTTGAGGGTATCTTTGACATTGAATTTCTTATCGTTATCGTTATCGGTTGTACTCGATTTTGGATCCACTGTACATAGATACGGTCCCCCACATGATAATCAAGGTGTTTCGGCTCCGGATTCTACAACCTTGAGAATCGATCCTTCCGTCAGGTGATGTTCCGAGGTCACCTTTTAATAAATGCTTAAATGCGCATTGCGTAAATGCGCTTTCGATGCGACGTAATTCGGTCGTCATTGCATTTACAGCTCTGCTTTAAATGGCGCCTAGCCAGGCTATTTGCTTCCAGCTTTCACCGCCTCGCTGCTTGCCGAAAACATCGAAAACGACAGTCGTAGTGCCAAACAATGGTCGACGGTCGTATCTCCAGTGAACACCACACAATCCCAATTATTAGGTCTTATTGGCTATTAGCCCCTGACTATTTAGCGTACTACAGGGACGTCAAATATATTGGCATGTGCTTGATAGGCTAGCATGAGATAAATAGTAGGTACCTAGTACCTGAACACTTCTATGTTTAAAAGTGCCGACCAGCATCGACATCTTCTTTCGTACTTATCTGTAGTGTGGGATGCAAAGCTGAGATCAGAGAATACCTGCATACATTTAGGTACCTACCTACACACGTTATCAGGGTTGTCTAGGTACTCATAAAAATTCACATGTGGTAACCTACACTATTATTCTAGTCGTTTCCACCTTTAGCTCTCCGTTCTAAGAAATCCCTTACCACCTGAAAAGTGAGACCTCGAGCTTTGTTTAACGGTCTAGAATTCTCACTGGTCCGTTTGCCCGCCACGTATTCTTCTGGCCACGGGTTACAGATGCAACTGTTGAAATCCTTCACTCTTCCAATGAACTTTCAGTGAGGCTCTCATAATGTATCCTTAAAGTTGTCGAATTCCTGGTTCCCGTATACGCGACCCACTTCCAACTATTACTAGGTTATTACCTGGTGCGGTAGACTGAGAAATAAATAGGGTCTCAAGTCGATATTCTCTTCAAAAAGGATTAATGAAGCCAATGCCCGAGTTTGTCTCACTATACAACTTTTATACTAAAAAAAAACTTAATTGCCTATCTCTTCATTCATTTATTCGATCGCAGATACCTACGAATTGGTTGCGCTGCATTAACTACCGGTACCTGAGACAATTTTTAGTCAGGGGGCGAACAAAATTCTATTTGCCACTGGCTTCGAAGTACGAACTTCGTCTTGGCTATTAGACCGTTTACCTATTATTAATAAGGAGCGGGTGAGTAACCACATATTCTGCAGGAGCATCCAAAAGCAACTTCCCAATTTCCCAACATCTTACGGAGTATTCTGTAAATACATGACTAAACTTTTGGGGATATTACAGATTAAAAAAGGGGAAAAAGCAAGACAAGGTTTAATTGTTCGTTTTGATAGGTTCCCGTGAACTTACCAAATGACGAAATAGTATAGTAAAACCTTCTCACTACGGCGGAACACACACTATAGCACAAGAGTTTAAAAGTTTTAGCGGGAAACGGCTTCCGGTGTTGTACCAGGTGTACCAGGTGTACCCGTGGACCCGTGTCTCTCGATAAGGATGGAGACCGATAATAATAATAATCCGGGTCGCAGCAGCTCCGGCAAGAGACTTTCGGCTTCTTCTTCTTGGTCTGTGTCTCAAACCCGCACTCGCTCTTCTTCATCCTTAGCTAGTAGCATCGCCAGTTCTATAACTGGTGGGAAAAGCCGACATGCTGAACCAGTTGGCACTACTGATGTATCTGTCGAGCCTGCACGTTTGTCAATGCCTCTGGCCAGACCATTAAAGCTACCCCATCTTCCGTCGTCTCCATACACTCGACGCGAGTCATCCAGTTCCGATATTTGGAGTCAAGATTTTCATCCCTCGGCTGCAGGTGTTGACGAAGTGGCTGTCGAGGATATCGATAACACTCCAAAATTAGTGCCCGGCCATTCTTTTCCAGATACAAGTTCTCCCTACCATCTGCCAGATCCTGCCGTTAACCCTCCTTCTTCTTCCTCCGACTACGAAGCAGGGAAGCGAATTTCTGTCTCTTCCATCTTTTCCCTATCTTCGTCCCGTGGCGTTGCAAGTTCTGCTCCGTCCACCAACGGTTCCGACAGTGGTAGTGCTCAACGCCCCACTTCCATCATGGCCTCCGGCAAGGGTTTAGGCCCATCTCCAGGTCAATCTGAGTCCAGTGTGTCAAATGTGACAGTCACCACGTCTTCTAACTTGAATAACCAGAATCCCGTCAGCGGTCCTCAGCTGACCCCGCGGGACGCTCATGCCAACCCTTTTGAGCTCGTAAAACGAAGCACTGCACCCCCGTCCAATCCGGGCCCTCGACCACAGGTGACTCGATCTCGGAGTAGGGCAAAGCGCCGGTTAAGTGGTAGCACTGCAGCGAGTAGCCACAGTCCCAGTAGTGACCGGGCTCCTCAATACAAGGAGAAGGAAGAGACTAAACCAGCACCATGGGGTATAATTGGTGTTTGCGCTCTGGATTCCAAAGCCAGAAGCAAACCAAGCAGGAATATTCTTAACAGGTTGATCGCAAATCGCGAATTCGACGTAATAGTATTTGGGGATAAAACAATCTTAGACGAAGGTAAGCATACTCATCATTAACCCGGTACCCTGTAAGTAACATAAGATACTAATAACTGAGCAGAGGTGGAGAATTGGCCTATATGTGATTACTTGATATCTTTCTACTCGGACGGGTTTCCTTTGGAAAAGGCTATCGCTTATGTTAAAGCTCGGAAACCATTCTGTGTAAATGATGTTCCGATGCAAAAGGTACTTTGGGATAGAAGACTCTGCCTGCGAATACTCGACAAAATAGATGTACCGACCCCTAAACGTGTCGAGGTAAACCGTGACGGCGGGCCGGGTATATTAAACTCGGATGTTGTAAAACATATAAAGGATGTTACCGGCATCACCCTCGAGCTGAGTGGGCCAGAAAATTACCGTGTCCCTCGCAAGGTGGAGTTACTCGACGATGGGGACATTCTGAGCGTGGACGGCACTTTACTAAAGAAACCATTTGTCGAAAAACCAACTAGCGGTGAGGATCACAACATCATCATCTATTTTCCAAAGTCATCTGGCGGAGGCGCCCGCAAGCTCTTCAGGAAAATCGGCAACAAGAGCTCGGAATTTATCAAGGACCTCATTATTCCCCGCGCCATTACCGAGCCGGAAGGCAGCTTTATATATGAGAAATTCATGCAAGTGGACAATGCCGAAGATGTTAAAGCTTATACGGTCGGGCCACACTATTGCCATGCTGAGACGAGAAAATCGCCCGTTGTCGACGGAATTGTCCGGCGCAACACCCACGGCAAAGAAATCCGTTATGTTACCGCGTTATGCCCGGAAGAGAAGGAAATCGCAAGCAAAATAGCAAACACGTTCGGTCAACGAGTTTGTGGTTTTGATTTACTTCGAGCTGGAGGCAAGAGTTATGTTATAGATGTCAATGGTTGGAGTTTTGTCAAAGACAACGAGACCTATTACGATCACTGTGCGAGTATTTTAAAGGACATATTCGTCAGGGAGAAAATTCGTCGCGGAGGGCCAACGCCACCCCTACCATCTCCCACTATATCCGACATTGGCGACCCGTTAGCGAAAGCTCTACTAACTAATAAGGAGAAAGATTCGCAGACAAGTACAAGGCACCCAAGTCAGACAAAACTCATAGCAAGTACTACAGGTACACTTTCATCCGAGGATAATGCAGAAAGCAAAGATGAGCAGAGCGCAGGAGTTCCCGTTCCACCTAAGTCAGATTCAGGGGCGACGGGCATCGCAGCAGGAATACGGAACAGCATTATCAGTCCGATAGTATACCTTGCTGGCGGGTCTACTTCGAGTAGCGTACCAGCTACAGCCCCGCCAACTCTCCCAGCTACCCCTTCAACGACAGCGGAGAAGATCGACGAACAGACTGAACAGCCAACGCCGCCTCCGCCTCCGCCCAAACACTCATGGAAGCTCAAAGGCATGGTGTCTGTCATTCGACATGCCGATCGCACCCCGAAACAGAAGTACAAGTTCACATTTCATACACAGCCATTCATTGACCTTCTAAAGGGCCATCAGGAAGAGGTCCTTCTTATTGGGGAGCCAGCCTTAGCTAGTGTCCTCGACGCGGTCGAATTAGCTATCAAGGCTGGCGAGGAAGATCGAAATAAGCTTAGATCTCTACGCAATGTCTTAGTAAAGAAAGGAGGATGGGCAGGTACGAAGGTTCAAATCAAACCGATGTTTCGCAAGAAGAAAACGGCCGAGATGTCGGCTGAATCAACTCCCAGAGTTACCGAAGGGGTGAAGATGGAGACCGAGGTTAAGGACATTTCGCTGAAAGAAAGGCCAGGTAACAGTAATCAAGACCAAGATCAATCTCCAACGATACAGCCATCGACGGCCGAAGATGGTCAGCGCGAACTTGACACGTCGGAAGCGCTTGTATCTGATAATGAACTTCAGCCGAGAAACCCGCCGCGACGCCAAGATTCAATGTCAGGGGTAACAATGTCAAAGTTTACCGCAGCCGACAATAGCTTTGTTCTCGATAAGTTGCAGCTCATCGTCAAGTGGGGAGGCGAACCGACTCACTCGGCCCGATACCAGGCCCAGGAATTGGCACAAAATATGCGTAACGATTATCTCTTGCTAAACCGTGCTATTTTAGATCAAGTACACGTCTTCAGCAGTTCAGAAAGGCGAGTCACTGCTAGCGCACAGATTTGGGCGGCGTCATTCATCGATAAGAACGATATTCCTGAAGACTTTATTACTATACGCAAGGATCTGCTCGACGACTCCAATGCTGCGAAGGATGAGATGGACAAGGTCAAGAAAAAGTTGAAGGGGTTATTGCGCAAGGGAAACGAGCGACCGTCGCAATTCGCTTGGCCCGAGGGAATGCCCGAACCCGCCGAAGTACAGACACGAGTTGTACAGCTGATGAATTTCCATCGTCGTGTGATGCATTACAATTACAGCAAATTGCAAAGTGGCGCCGTCAATTCACTCAACGCAATCAATTCTCCTAACTCGGACAAGACGCACGCAGAAGGATCTAGCACGTCTATTGCATCATCACTCTCCCAGGCAAATGCAATCAACAATATCCAGACTCGATGGTGCTGTGGTGAAGATGCCGAATTATTCCGCGAACGGTGGGAGAAGCTCTTTGCGGAATTTTGTGATCACGAGAAGGTCGATCCTAGTAAAATCTCGGAATTGTATGATACAATGAAATTTGATGCCCTACACAACCGCCAGTTCCTCGAGTGGGTCTTTACTCCGCCAAAACATATGTTAGAAGAGGAATTTGGTATTACTATAAACCGCGAAGGCAAGACGTCGCCTAAGGAGTCCGAAGACGGCGTCAAAACTGCTGATAACAGGTCTGACAAAAGCCAAGTTCTGAGCTCCTCTCCCGAGGAGAAGGTTGACAAATTAGATCGGCTCGACAGGGCGGAAAGGGCCGATAAGTCAGAGGCGCAGAAAGCTGTTAAGCGCATTTTCCGACGAAGATCATGGATGAAGCATCCTCACGAAGTCGACAGGCCCGCCGAGTATTTTCACTTACCCAAAGGGAATAATCAGACTAAAGCGAAGACGGATGAGTGTTTTGAACCTCTCAGGGAGCTTTATCAGTTAGCCAAGGTTTTGTTCGATTTCATCTGCCCACAAGAATACGGCATCTCGGATAGCGAAAAGGTATGCTCATCCCTGGCGTCTTGACATGATTTGGAATTGACATTTATTGACGTTATATTGCAGCTCGAAATTGGGCTCCTTACATCTCTCCCCTTGCTCAAGGAGATTGTCCAAGATCTCGAGGAGATGCAGGCATCAGACGATGCCAAATCATTCTTTTATTTCACCAAGGAATCACACATCTACACGTTGCTCAATTGCATCCTCGAGGGTGGTATCGAGACGAAGATTAACCGTAGGACGATCCCAGAACTTGATTATCTCTCGCAGATCTGCTTTGAGCTATACGAGTCGGAGACGAAGGGTGCAGTAGATGCGCCCTCCGCCGATCAGCCTACGTTCAACTACAGCATCCGCATCACGATCAGCCCCGGCTGTCATATTTTTGATCCGCTGGACATACAACTGGATAGTAAACATTGCATCGGTTGCGCGCCGCGCAGGAGCCTGACGCCTCACGCGGACTGGAAGAAAGTTATCGAGACGCTCAGAGATAAGTTTCATCAGTAAGTTTCCACAACGTAGCGTTGCCGACGTAATAGCAACAAGGGAGAGGCGGTCTCCGTTATCCTTGATGGGATTGCTGACTGGCGATAACCAATAGGGTCAAACTACCCAAGACGTTCCTTGCGGTAAACCTCTCGGACGCCTTCACGTTCCAGGAGAAGGAGCGTCAAAATTCCGAGGCAGAATGTCTCGAGAAGGACAACGCTAGCAACGATACCGACGTCCTCGAAATGAAGACTCGAAAACCTTCACACCCTTCATCGACAAAAGTCGATCACGGTGACGACACCGAAGCACCAGCAGTTATTGATGAGCGGCGTCTTCCACCTCCTGCTGCAACGTTTAATACGGCTGCTCTCCCTCCGGCCGCAGATGCGCCGGGAATAACGGGCCCCTGAAGTCAGAAAATTTCCAAGGCGGGAAGACCATTCGACCATCAGCAGCAACAGCAGCGATGACGCTAGACGAGATGACGGTCTGCATGAGCGGCACGGAATCCGGATAAGGAGCCGGCGAATTAATAGATGTTGCCTATATGGTACCGGGAAAGCCAGGCCATTAATATGATGTTTCGTCTCCTTCCCCTTCCCGGCCGCCCAGCCAAGCGGTGTGCAAAGGGGGAGGAGAGAAAAAAAAGCTCATAATGGGACCAGGGATCGAACGAGTAAGACAGGCATTGCATACGGCGAGAGGTCGAGAAAGGAAATGGTTCTGAGATAAGCGTCATGACGTGCGTATAATAGAAAAGAGATGGGCCGCCGTTCGCGTTCGATGTACTGGTCTTATGTATGTACACTGTTACCCAACAAAACGAATAAGACGAGCGGCCGCATGTAGGTGGTACAGCATATAGCACTTGCAGCAGAAGCAGCCATCATTAGATGAAGAGAGGAGAGATTGAGAGGTAACATGCGAACCAAACCCACGTGGAGTTGGTGTGCTGTGCGTGTGTATATGCGCAGATGGCGTATGCGCGTTGTGTGCCGTGCCGTGTCGAATGTCAGCAATGACGGGTGATTGATTACCTACCTTACATGACATACCTAGGTCTGCTAGGTGTGTAATATGTACGTTACGGCATTCTAGCATCTCTCTCGCATCGAAATCTCACCACACGTACCTCTAGAACGTACATGGATACTATGTACCTAGGTATGTAGGTAGAAAATAGAATACACCATACCTTATTAATATGTTGAAGAGAAAAATAAGGAAAGGGAAGAAGGAAGAAAGAAAAAAAAGCTTAGATTCGCTCACACATAACCGATGCCGGATCGCCGATGCGAGATGAGGAGTTCCCTAGGGTGCGGCGTGTCCCGTTTCTGACCCTCTTTCCATCTCACGGACGTTTTGACACATCACTTATCACGACGATGATGCATTATGTAGAAGGAGAAGGGGGAGGGGGGAAAATTACATACATACCGTTTTAACTTCTTGTTTCGTTTCTTTGGTTGGCGGTTTTTTTTCTTCTCCTGGTTATGCCTCACTTTTTCTTCTTCGTCTTCCTTTTCTCGCCTTCTTACTTTTTTCTCCTTCACCGCCACCTACGGAGGTGGTGGAAAGAGAGATTATTATTTACCTTAGCTGCTTAGGTAGGGAGGAGGAATCAGGGATGACATGAAAGTTTTGAGAAGGGAAAATTTTTCTTATTGCCTTTTTCTTTGCTTTTCTTTTCGATTCGTTTTCCCTTCTTACTTCTTCTAGCCACAGTAATTAGATAACTGCCGCTCTTTCTTTTACCCCCTTCTCGGCGGCGCGGCGAGCCCAACTAGCCCGTCCGTCCCGTCTTGGTCCCTTGCGTTATCCATCATCAATGCATCATAAGACGTCACCAAAGGCTAGGGAGATTCTTCCATCTTAGGACTCCCTTCTTCTAGAAGCAAGGAAAAAAAGGAGGAAGATAAAATAAGGGAGGGATACCGTAAATAAAAGGGCAAGTCACAGCAAGATAATGATGAAAAACAAGCTAGAGCGTTCGGAGAAGCATCTAGGTTGGGTATGTAGCGCTATTAGAGGAGCTCGTTAGAGATAGGTAAGTGAATAGGTATGTAATAGAAGGTAGGTAGGTAAGGTTATCTTCTGTATTAGACAACCCTGGCATCTGGAGAAGCGAGGTTGCAACGTTGGAAACCGCGCCTTTCCACCCCCTCCCCCTCTCCTCCCAAAAGCGTCGCCTATCGTTCGGTTCAGTCGGAACCTTTCATGTAAGATACGGACTGGGGGGGATGAGGTAGAGTGGGAGGGGTGAGTTGATGGAGGTGATGATGAACGGGGTTCTAAAGCTGTGTACTGTATGTATGGCTGGTTACAGGTGTGCGTGCGTTCTTGCCTCACTTTGCTTCCTCGCAGACAGATGACTAGCATCGCATAGCATGACTGATCTGATGGCGGGATGCGTAACCGTGACGAACCAGATTGTGTTGCGTCGTTGTGCGCTGGCGCCGCCGCAACTCACATGTTTGGGTATGATGCGCGCGGCACTATTGCAGGTTATGTACGGAGAAAAGCGTCGGTCAGCTTCTCCGAGGTCACTTTCATATGCTAATTGGGCTAGTCTATAGTCATTCCTCGTAACCCAAGGGAAGGCCACCGCAGATTCGCAGATGACAGATAGGCCAGATACGGATACAGTGCCATGGTATGGTAGTCCTTAACCGAGGGCCGGTTTTGAGGAGAAGACAGAGAAAAAAAAGGTGGGAAGAGGGGGGGTGGAAGGGATTTAAAAAAAATATGACAGCTCACATTTCCGGCTCGTCGTACGAAATCTGCGCTATCGTGAACAGTCGCTCGCCCCGCCAAATTTCAGGAACCGGCAAGGAATGGGGGGGAAGAAGGGGCCTAGAAGGTCGCCGGAAGAGATCCAAGAGCGCCCGAAGAATCGAATAATGACTGTCGGATCGCTAGTACGATAGGGGAACAAGCCACTAAATCGTCGACATCATACGGCAGACGGCTTGCCGCGTCACCTTAGATTGAGGCTGATTCTAAATCTTCCGGTAGGAGTTCCGCTCAGCAGCGTCGCAGTCCAACCCGACGCCTCTTCAAACGAGGCTGATACTTGCCCAATAAGAATCTCACTATCTCGTGATCAGGCTCGGAGTAGCTGGCCGTCTTAGTAGTAGGGCTCAGGGGTGGGCGTTGGTAGTGGTAGGTTGGGCCAAATGGATTGCTTGCGTCCATCATCAAGGCTCCGGTTTTCTAATTTTACCGAACCATACTTGACGTTTGAACAGTCCCTGCTTAGTCGCGACTTTGGATCCCTCTCCTTGGGGCTCCCGTTTAAAGTCGAGGGACCCAATAGCAACCTATTGCCCGGAAAACGCCAGCTGCATGACTAGCATGACAGGCATAGTGAGAAAATATTACATAGCAGCGCCTAGTGCTACTGGCTAGCTGGCTAGGTACTGTAGTACCCAAACAGCCAAAACTAGGAAGTGGAGCTCCAGCCCATAGCCTTGCCTGCCCTGTATGTCTGTCCTGGCCGTCCTGCCTGTCAAACTGATGAACGACGTGAATATGGGACGTTTTAATATAAGACAAGCTAGGCAAGTACAGGGTCAGGCCTTGCACGAGCAATAAAAGCACGTCAGGCTTACCAGACCTCCGGCGCTCTACCGGTCGGATGTCCCCATACGTTTGTCGACTAGGTTGTGTGACGTGGGATCATTGAATGTGGGGGCAGCGAGGTTGACGAGGATCATAGAAGGGAAAAGAGAGGCGACTATGGTGGGGGAGTTGACAGGGAGTTGACAGGGAATTCTACAGTAGCCCCTCAATAAGAAACAAAAATAAAATAACATTGAAGGATAATAAGTTAATAATTATGTTAATGAGGGGGGAAAGTGAGAGACTAGTCTGATAGCCACATTAATATTGTACCCATATCGGACGGACCTGCAGCTAGGTACTTACCATAATAGTAGCAGGCCTAGTAACAGAAACATCGTGGTCATGCGAAAGAGCGGTAAATGGCGTTGCAATTTATTATCCCTTTGACCGCCAGACATGGGTCAGTTTTTATTCCATAACGAAATAACAGGGAAGGTATTAACCTTTTAACTTATTACAAGTATCCAGGGACTGTTTCAGCGCGTATTTTATGGTATTTTTATCGCGTTGGTATATATTTTTTAAAAAATATAAATACTTGAATTTAATTAAATTTAAAAAATTAAATTAATAAATATTATTTTTTTTTTTTTCGTAAAAATGTTTTTAATATTTTATTTTAAAAATAATTTAATTGAAATTTTTATTTAAATTATTAATAATATTTATTTTACTTATTTTTTAATTAAATATTTAATATTTTATAATAAATTTATTTAAAAAAACGTTTTTTTAAATTTAATTTAATAACGATAATTTTAACGATATTTTTAAATTTAATTTTAATTTATTTAATTTTTTTAAATTAATTAAATTTATCGAAAGTTAAGTTTTTAAAAAAATTTTTAATATTATTTAATTTTTAATATATTTTAAATTTATTTTTTAAATTAAAAAAAATTTTAAACTTTTAAAAATTTATTCGTACGATTTTATAACGAATTAATTTATTTTTTATAAACTTTTTTATAATATTTAAAAATTTAAAATATATTAAAAATTTTTTAATTATTTTAAAAAATAATTAAATGAAAATATATTTAATAATTTTTTAAATATATTTATATTATTTTTTCTTTTAATTTTAATGAAATAATTTATTATTTAAACGAATTTATATTAAAAAAAATATTATAATAAATTAAAATTTAATTTAAAATTTAAATTTATTTATCGATTTAATTAAAATATAAATTTTAATAAAATTTATGTTTTTTTTTTTTTTTATTTAATTTATATAAAATTATATAAATTATTATAAAAAAATAATTATTAACATATTAATAATTAAATTTTTAATTATATTTTTATTTAACGATATATTAATTATTAATGTTTTTATTTTATTTATTATTATTTTAAATCGTGAGATTTTTTTTTTCGAATTTAATTAATTTTTAATAAAATTAAACTTTAAAATTAAATTTTTTTAACGGTTAATTTATTAACGTAAGTTTTATTTAATTTAATAATTTTAATTAATAAAGTTATAATTAAATTTAAAAATAAATTTTTAAA